ACAAAAAAAAACCCACATCTGACGCAACGCAAGTTTGATGGTCAAATAAACCCTTTATAATTCATACCCAGGATTTTGGTTGTCCTTAAACATTTATCCGTCATTGACGTGTTCGTGAGAGAAATCTGAGACACCAGACCAGGACACCGTGCCAAAGCAGATGCTTACATGTAAGCGAGAAGGTCAAGCTTTTTAACATTTAGTCTGATTTGATGAAACCTGTGACAACAGGGGGCCGTCGGGTTATTTCACACCTTACGTGACGTTCCTCACAGCGTCTTTGAGTATTTAGAAAAGCGCTATATAAATTAATGTATTACAATTAATATTAATAACTGTCAGTGAACAAAAAAAACACGTCATCACACAGCTACACTTACAGGATATTCTTGTTTAGCTTGAACCTGTAATTTAACCGTGGGGCTTTATGTAAAATATTCATTTTCGAGAGTTGCTTCAACTTGAGGCAAATCATGCAGACAACCTCAAAAGATCACTTAAGTGGTGAATTGCAATCAAGTCACTGGCAAATACATCGCACACAGCTCAAGTAGGTTAAAGAAATGCCTTCAGAAGGCGCAGAAAACTTAAATGTTCCTTACCTGTGTGAGGGAGAGTTTTCGGCTTAGGCGGACTGTGTCTGAGCGCTACACTCCGGGAGGGTTTAGTGTCTGGATGTGACTGCAATGGAGGCCAATAAATTGCAGGACTTTATCGGAGCCCGTGCTGCAGCCCCTTTCCATAAAAGGAGAACTTTCCTCACGGCGCCTTCTGATTGGTTCTGCCGCGTCCACTGGGTGTGGCGCATGCAGATAACGTTTCTGTGCTCTGACAGGACAGAGGGAACAAGCAACAAGAAAACTAACCTATATACTATATCCATACAATCAATCTGGGATTGCCCAATGTTTCATAAAACACATGCTGTTGTTTTTAATCGTTCATTACCATGACCATAGTGTGGGTTGCATCAATTGACATCGTTCTTGCTGCAAACCCCATCAGTCTTGAGTATGAAATAAGTTCAGGAATTTGGTTTCATGCACAATTTCTTGATACCTGATAAACATGTTGTGAAGTAATTCCGTCTAGAGTAATAGATTTAGTACCTCAAATAATCCTCATTGCCTACGTACATTTCCCGGTTAAGCATTTGATAAATACACCCATTCTCATATCCTCTGTTATATCTTTATGCATCAGATGAATATCTAAATCTAGAAGATGAAAACAAACAAACAGAAACATGGTTAATCTTATTTAAGTGGGAGACATCAAAGGAATGCAGCAGAACTGAATATCAGTGAAGACTGATGTAATGCATTTTCAAGCAACATTCCCGCAGTCATGACAGATGATTGTGGTGGTTAGCGGTGCCAGGACACGGGGTTGGTTACAATCTCAGGGTCACTGACAGCACTGTTAACACCCTGACTGACACGTCTGCCCTGGCATACCAGTGTCTCACAATCCCCACACACACATATACAGAGAGGGTGACATTGATACAAGTTGTCAAGCTGAGGTATGTTCACAGCAAACACTCTGGAGGCTGTAAATCTCTTATCTCTCAGCACTAGCTCGGCTATGTTAAAATGAGTGGGGGGGAGCAGATTAACCACGCTTTCCTCAATAAAATATTATAAAACAGATAAGTCATTTCTGTAAACAATCCTATAATTGGTGTCCTAATGCTTCTGCATGGCCTATTATGATTAATGATTATTCAGCACTCACGTCTGTATGCAGGTATACATATGCACATGCACACATCCAAATATGTCACATAAGGCAACACCTTTTGCATCCTCTATGTTGACCGGAGACAAAGTGGGTGGGTCAGGGTGCTTTTTAACTCAATAAGGGCACCGGACAAAGACTCATAAACTTACACTAGGAATTCTCACTGGCCCTATGTGTTCCTAATAAGGATATATGGGAGCAGGCTCAGGAAAAGAGACAGGAAGAAGGTTTACAGTGCTTCACTCCTGCAGATCCACGCAGGAAGTGATCACACACAGACCTACAAATGCACACAAACGTCCATATGTCAGGAGCTATGGAGCAGCTCAGGACAACATAGAGGGGGCAAATTGGCTGATCAGGGAATTAGCTTTTCAGTCTTGCATTATCCTGCTCTGGACACACACAAACACCTGAAACACACACACACACACACACACACGCACACCACACACACACACACACACACACACACACACACACACACACACACACACACACACACACACACACACAAGTTTAGATCCAGGGCAGGACAACCATCCCTTTAAGAGTTCCTTTGGATGACGTCCATATAAGGAGATATTGGAGTGAGTCACATGGGGGGAAGAATGCACTGCACATGTCATGTGACCATTCTGAGGAAATGAATGAATCTCCATGTTTTAGGCTGTTTCGTATGTGTGTGTGTAAATGTTTTTTTTTAGATTCGCCTGTTTTCACATTGAGTTCTTTATCATTCTCAGCACCCATTTATTCGTATAAAAAGGATAGCAGCAACGTTTATTTTTTCAACTTTGTACTCATTTACTTAACTCCTCCCTGACCTGACAGAGAGATTTCTCAATATTTCCTGTGCACACTCATGCTGTTTCAAAAGCTTGCTATCCTGCATGACTCGCTCATGCTTTACACACACACACACACACACACACACACACACACACACACACACACACACACACACACACACACACACACACACACCCTCCCTGCATTGGTCACTCACACAGTCAGAGAAATTCCCAGGGTTGGCTCTCGGCTCTGACTAAGACCGTATATGGAAGAAGCTAGCAGGTAGCTTCTGTTCACTTTTCACTCATCATCCCTCTTCCTCTCTCCACTTCTCTCTCTGTCTCTCTCCATCTCACTTGAACACACATTCATTCTTCCTTTAGTGACCACACTTCCTGTCTTTTTAAAAATCAATCACTGCCTTAATTCTTTTCCCAAGACAGGGACAGTTATAGGAGTGCAATATAGGGTCGGCGTAAACATTTCACTCTCTCCCAGTCTTCCCCAGTCTTTTATGGCATCACATTCCAGCTGAGTTTCATACAAAACCTTGAGAGGAGTGGCCTAATAAGTAATGTGTAATACTCTTTACGATGTATTATCATACACATTTCTAAACCAAGACCCCTGATCTTTAAAGATATATCTTGATTTCATTATTATTAAGGCAAAGAGAAGTGAAGGCAAGGGAGCTCCATAATATTATATAGATGAGTTAAAATCACTGAACATATCCAGTAATTTCATGGTGTTGGGGCCTAAGTATTGTCCTGGCAGTCATCCAGCGACATTAACCCGGCAGGTAATTTGTTTTGTATGAACAATTCCCAAAGTGCAAACTAAACATTAAGAAGCAGAAAATGTATTAGTAACAGTGCAAAATAGAGCTCGAACAAAGGTTAGATTAGGAGGCACATGAGGTGGAAAACATACTTTTCCTCCAAACTAAAGGACAATAAGATTAGTTTGGATTTAATTATTATTTTTTAAGTCATTGTATACATAGTCTTTAAGGCAGATGACGTCAAAAGGCTGAGAACGTCCCATATCTCTGCATTTTTATCATTTATCTTTATTTCTTAACTACTACAGAGCAGCCAAATACTGTATTACACTCTATGCACATATCTGTTCATATTCCATATACGTATGATAGCCTATAAGATTCACATTTTGTATTTCTGTCTCATAGTTCTTATAATTCATATTTCCATCTATTTTATTTGTTTTGTACTTGCATTTAAAATTCACAAATTTTCAACAGTTGGTATTTCATTTCACAATTCCATTATTTTTATATTCTGCGTAAGAGCGCCCAATTTTTTCGCAGGGGTTAAATAAAGTATTTCTGATTCTAATTTAGGCTAGCTACTGCTTTTTGGCGTGGATACAATATGTGTTTTCGGACCAAACTGTTCTGGGGCCTTTTTGAAATGGAACTATCCACTAGGGAGTTCCCTGAGAACTACACATCCTGGGAACTTTTTTTCTGTCTTCATTCGAACCACCATGGTACCTACTGTGAAGCAGGAGCTAAACATGTTCCTCTAATCTGGGTTCTAGGAACTAAAATAGTTCATAGTTCCTGTGGTGTGGAATGAATCAAAAAGAGAAGGTTCCAAAGGTTCTTAGAACTAAGCCTAATGTTTCACGTGAAGACAGTGACTGACTCAGACATAGTGATGGATACTTTGTTGTTTCTGTCATCATTAAATAGTTTTAATGATCAGTTTTGGTTTGTTGCTAGTCTAACAGAAGTCTTTCACATTATAATGACATATGTCCTTTTTTAATGACAGGAAGACTGGGTGCTACAATGGCAGTAGCTGATGGGGATGAGATTTTTGTTAAGTATGAGTACACTGCCAAGTCCACAAGTACACTGTGGTTGAAAGTGTACTAGTACAACAACTTTTTTTGATCAATCACAAACAAATACCTTGGGCTTTTGGGGCCCATGCAGGTCTGGAGCTTATAATCGATTTTGCCTTCCACAACAGATTTTGGATGGATAAGGAGTAATTCAGCCCAAAGGTAATACGCTTGCTCAATTCTTAGGAAAAACAAGATTAAAGGTCTAAGAGTTTTTTTTCAATCTTATCCTAAAAGTATGTTCATTATGTTTGCTTTAAGAGTTTTCATAGTTAGCATTGTTATTATGGGTCAAAGGATCTTTCCCCTCTTGGGGATAAAACAGCTGTGTACCCTATTCTGTAAATCTTTTCCAACTTTGAATAAATGGAAACACAAAAACATTTATAATACTGCATCTGACTGCAACTTAATGGAATAGTAAGACAGTTGAAAAGATTGATATCGTCCATGTGCCTTTAAGGTAAACATAAAGTAATTAGCTTGTTAGCCTATGTTTCCATTCGGACTGTAAAAAGAAGGAAAAAAATAGCCCAATATGTCCAAGACTAACACAATCTGCCAAGGTCAAGCACACAACATACCTGAAATCAGTTTTTCATACTACATTTAATTTACAGAACTTCAACATGAACATTCAACAACATATTAATTAGTAAACTTTAAAGTTGCAGGAAAGCAGGTTTTTTTTTTCCACTTGCCGACAGAGTAAGCTAACTTTTCCCACTGCTTCCAGTGTTTGCACTATGCCAAGCTAATGCTGATGATGGCTTTATGTTCACCGTTTAAGTTCAAGAAAGGTTTTTAAAATGATCAACTATCACCCTTTGACTAGCTCCCTCTTTTTTCTGATGTCTTTTTTGGATTTTAACAGATGTAGTCTTCTCTCTGTCAAATGTTTGTATGCATTACGTTGTGTGCTAAATAATTCACTCTTTATTGCTAACTGCTAACCTTAGTACTCTTAGTGTGTTGACATCATAGACTGTATGTTATTATTATTTACAGTCTATGGTTGAAATACACAGGAACTTACTGAAAAAGGCTAAGTATATAACACTTTTATTCTTGCCCTGAGTAAGATTTATGTGTATTAAAGCATTGCATAGACATTTAGACAGGTTGTTCATCTTTTTTTGGCAGTATATCCTGTCAGGCTGAACATAAGACATATTTTAGACACACTGAAAAATTTAACAAAAAAACCCATCACAAATATAAACATATAAACACATAGAGTTACTGTTTTTATCAACAAAACAACTGTTGAGGCCTGAAATTCAAAAACGAAATGAGTACACCAGTGTTAGAACATTTTGTTTTTTCTTTGTGTTTCAAGCAGTCCAGCTCTTCCCCATGTCTACCAGCTCCATGCCTTCACAGTAAGACCGAGTTCTCGACACCCTCACCTGGAACAACACATAATCACACAATGAAGCAGGGAAACTCATTTTGAACACGTACAAACCAACACTCACTCACTCACCATGGGTGTCCTGTTAGAAGCCAGCTGCTGCAGAAGTGGGAAAGGAGTCCACTGAATGGGTTCGACAGGCCAGCTACACACAGAGAGGTCACTGGCCTTACCTGAATCCAACACACCGTCTCCCATGCTCACCTCGCTTCCCCTCCACCCGTACTGTGAGCTAAAATGAATGCGTAGACAAGAGATTATTCACACGGATGATTCACGCATCTTTTCTTTTTTAGTCAAGAGAACTTTAAGGAATTAAAGAATCCAACAAAGTAAGGTGAGAAATATACAGCATTATATTCATTCAATCTGGGAATTGAATTATTTAGTCACTTCTTCAGTACTTTCATAATCAAGTGATTTTTTTTACGAAACATCCCTTCAATTAGTCTTTTATCTCTTTACTTGCTTGCTACCATCCCCTTCATTTAATACAAATTCAAATGTTGAAGAATGTAAGGAATATGAGAAGGAAAGGAAAAAAAAACTGGCATGACATGCGGAAAAGGAGCCACAGGTCAGATTTGAACCCGGGTTGCCTGCTTGGAGGACTACAGCCTCTGTACATTGGGCACGCGCACCAACCACTAGGCTACCGCCGTCCCAAAAACTGGCATCACTATTAAAGAGGCTAAGTTTCACTGTACAAAATCTGTCATGAGATGCATCACAGGGAACAGACAAACACCTCATTAAACTCTTGAAGGAAACAGGAATTCAGTGAATTAATTTAGTCTGTTCTGTACAGAAGCTTTATTTTTTTAAGGCCCATTAAGTAAAATGATGTAGGTTCAAACAGGAAATTATAAAACAGTTATCAGTTGTTTCTTTTTGAGTGATGTGAAATATAACGTAATATATGGGTCCAAGCCTTGAATATAGAATTATCTATAGCTACTAAAGCTACTGCTGCTCCTTAAAAGTTGTTAAAAAAACGCAATAATAGTTTAATTAGAAGAGAGCTGCAAAGAACTTCAGTCAACACTCTGTACCTTGTACCTTATAACCAGGCAAGTGAGCTGTACACTGAAGGGTCAATTAGGGGTTTCTTTAAATCCAGCTTGTTTAGATAGAAGTCTTTCTCCTTTCACCACAGTTAGGTCCTTATCCATCACTGCCAGGGCAATTGCTCTATTGGGCTTTTAAACAGATGCCACTAACAATACATGGTAAGCATTAAGCTTTCTTGTTTTTATCTAGAGATTTATTTTCTTAATTATTAATTAAATCTGATATTTTTTCATGTTTGGTAAGCATATCAACTACACATGTGTAATATGTGCTGTGTGTTTGTGTATACCTGTGAGGATAGATTGTGTTGATTCGTGTGCCGAGGCTGGGGCAGGTGGACGCCAGTGACAGTGTGTCGTCGTGGTAACAGCAGGGGCGGTCGAGTGCCCGCAGGTGCAGCAACTCATCGGAGCGCGTGAAAGCAGGATTATCCAGCGAGTCTGCTGATCCTGCCATTGAACGTAACCAGAACCGCCCTGACAGCTCGTCGAAATGGTTGAACCTGCGATAGCTGCACACAATAAATCACAACATGAGGCTAAACATTCAAAGAACATTGTATCTATAAATGAGGCTACAATTTGAACATCTCTCTGGAGGAACATTTGCAAAAATCAAAGAGGTTGGAGACACGTTAGAAGACAAAAGCAGAGCCATGAGTTTGTTGAAGAAAGTAAAGCTTTGACCTGACAGAACGTCTACCTCTGCACAGACAGCTCACTCTACACTGTGACACTCCGGATTTAGGACTCAATTTCAGATTTATTACTTCCTGACTGAACTTTCTCTGTCTGCGTCTCTTGCAATATAAGAGGTTAACCTCTGCGAATGGATAAAGCTACATTGTCTCAGTTAGGATGGATAAACTCCTTTGTCTTGCAGTCCAACTCTATGACTCTATGTTTAAATACCACCAATGGTGAACAGTAACAGATATGTAGATGGCTGTCCACATCCTCAAACCATCAAGTCTATACAGGACTCAATTAACTTTTTTTTTCACACTTTCAGAGTAAACTTTTTCTAATTTAGCTCGGAAGATTATCCATAGCTCACAAAAAAAGGGTAAGGCATGAAATTAATAATGAAAAAAATTATACTTATGCAAAACAACCAGCTCCCAGACATAAAATTTAGATCATGCTCAAGTTAGTTAATAATAGGTTCATCTTGCATGCATTCAGTCAGTGGATTGTTGGGTCAGCTTTGAAAAGGTTGCAGAAAAAATCTGAGGGCAACAGATTCCTAATAATTTTAAGTGAGTAAGATCTGACTTCCAAAAACACGTAGAAAATAACATATTACATCCTTTAACGGACTACATGTGATGACAGTGAACATGTCACAATACATATTACAGCAAGGGCTTCCTGCATTGCAGGTCTGAAGGAGGACATTTAGATCTAGAGAACACTGATAAAGGCTTTTTAAATGTCTATTAAAGGTCTGTATGCTGCTACTCTACCCAGATCAAAAGACGTTAAAGGACATTGAGTGTGCTGACTTTTTTACTTTCTTCTTTTTGTGGCCGTGCACCTGAAGAGAGGTTTTTTGTGTGCTGCTTTCTCTACTGTTTGGACTTTTGGATTCAGCCCGACTGTCTAAACTTGCTGAGACTCTGCAGCACAGAATTCATTTTTTTCACTGTTCAGAAGCTGAGCAGTGACACCTTGTGGGCATTAATGTAATACAACCACTTCATCTGCAGTCACACCCCTCTGTTACATTTTCCCTTCATTGATTTCAACACGATTGCCAAACGTGTCTTTTGTGCTATGCCATGCAAGTCACATTTGTCAATAGTTGTTTGGAGACAAGTGACGGTAAATGCATTTAATGTTTACCATTTATTTTATACTTTATAATATGTGAAAGATTTGCTGTAAATGCTGCTGTACAGGATTGCTGCCAGCAAAGTTTCATTGTGTTCTTTTATACAATGACAATAAAGAGTCTATCTATCTTATGTGTTGGTGCACCCTAACATTAACAGTGGTATTTGTAAAAGCCAAAGGTAGATGCAAAAAAAAAAAAAATGACATTAGTATGTTTTTCTCATAGCCAGTATCTAGAATATTTGTGATTTGATGCAACCCTTGATTGGTCCACCAAAGCAACAGCTACAACCTGTAATGTTACGGCTTAAGCCCCATGTTTTTAATCTATCTGTATCATCAAACCCTTATTAAGCACCATGAAACATGTCTGTAACTGTGTGCAGTGTCAATAAAAAGATGTAGATTTAACTGCAGAACCCTTGCATGTAAAGTGAGAATAGGCATTATACGTATACATCTTTTTTTAAATTTGGGTTTTATGCTTGAGCCGTAATTTTATATTTGTGTCAGTATAATGGGAATTCTCCCACCTTGTTCTCCTCATAATCATGACATAAGTAACATTGTACTGTGTACTGTACACAGTGATGAATACTATAAGCTCAATAATTTGTTGTTGCCTTGTCATATCAGGAAACAAAGGGTAGCTAGGTCAAGATAATGCACTGTATTTATTCTGACATGTCCTCTGCTCTTGGCCTCCTCCTTTTCACCATCTCATGCTGGAGAGAGCGGAGGTCCGTTTGCAAACACCTGGATTAAACTATCAGAAAGACAACTGTTGGCTTGGTGTTGTACTTAACACAAACTTCCAGAGCATCAGTGTGTACCTGCTCCGTGTCTGATCCACTTTGGCCTGGATCAACGCTGCTTTGTAGCGTCGCACTGCAACAAAAGCCAAAATGCCAATCACTGTCACCATGATGAGTAAGATGGCGAGACATGCGCCCACGAGCCGCACCCGAGTCATCCTCACGTCACACCTCTGACCCATGTACCAGAAATCCTCTCCTACAAGGCAGCTAATGCAGACAAAAAAAATGACCTTCCATGTAGAAAAGCTTCTTGCATACTGTAGATCATGAGATATACATTTGAAGAAGAGCATGTTCTAACCGGCAAATGGGAAGTTGGCTTGGATGGTGTGTACAGATGCCGTGGTGGTGGCAGTGGTCAAAGTGGCAGAAGGAAGAGCAGCTGTAGTTTGAAGAGCCAGGCTGGGACACACACTTAAACCCTGATGGGCACGTCAGTAACCAGTCACACACATCAGCCTGCACACCTGGACAAAGGATGCATTTAAGGATTAGACTAATGATTTTTGTATTTCAGTTTGATTTATCTCAACAAACCACATTTTTATTTTCCTTTCTTTTCTTGTACTGTCAAACGTCCTGTCTCCTTTTGTCTGTGCATTGTACATTTCTGTACTCTAGGACCCCCTCGAAATCAAGATGACATATCTCAAGGGGTTATTCCTAATAAAGAATTTCAAACATCACCAGACCAAACTCTTAATTACAGTAGTAAATCTCAGTACTTTCTGACTTTCCTAACCCTTCTGTGGCATTCATTGCAGATTTAAAACGTTCACAAACTAGTTCAGTTGGAAAAGCACCACAGTTTGGCTAAAATAAATAGTGCATCTGTTGTGGATTATTTTCCGCCTTGGACGAATACACAACCGTGTACTTGTAAGTATATTCACATCAGCAAAACAGTGTGGAACGGACTTCAAATAAACATGTATGATCATCAATGGAGCTCTGATGCACAGAATAACAAGCAGATTTAGGCCGTGGTTACGGATACCAATATCTGTACATTTAAGCAGGACACATTTTTATGTATGCAAATATTTTCCTGAGTGGAACTTTTGGTTTGTGTGGGTTGTGACGCTCCCAGCAGACAAAACTGTACAGCTTTCTTAACTTTTGTTCTGCATATTGGTAAGTAGCAGTTTTTATTTTCAAACCAAAAATGCAATCCTGCTTTTCTTTTTTACAGTTAGATGTTTCACTTATTGTGAATCTTTATCACGGAAATTTTAAAAATTGGTTGTTTTGGCAACATACAGTGAATTACTTTATCGATAAATACCCTGCAGCAGCAGTTTAAGACATTAAAAACAACTCAATAGAAATAGTCATCTTTAAGCTGAGGGGCTTGTTGGTTTTTGTAGCTGATAAAAAAACATCCATATTATTTTAAGTCTGTTTCATAACCAGGTGAAAACTACTCACAGGAGCTCTAATGATGTATTGTGACCATTTTACATTCATATTTTAGCCGAATTAAAGCCATACTGTGCAGTTTGATACTCTTCCAAAGGCATTCATGTTGCCTCTAAGGTTCTGAAGATGTGATTAAATTGTCAACCTAATTGTCCACAAAGACACAATTTTCACTAAAATATTTTTTTACCAACATAAAATTCAGCCACAACACTTTGCCATTCTTGTTTTGTTTAGATTCAAACTAAAAAACATAACAAAACAAAAGCTAGGCAAGTAGGACTCCTATGCTATAAAAACAAGTTTAATTACAAAGTAAGTGAGACATGTAAATCAGATTTCTCGTGACTGGATTGTAAGCTAAACTGAGGCAATCTATCTCTATCAAGTAAGGAGTAACAACGCAATTCCCTCTGAGGCAAATATAGCTGCTGAGGCTGACCAATAACCTGTTAGTTTAAGTCTATTTCGTGCCTTTATTCTAGTCAGTAAGGCAGAGAGATGACAGGAAATGTGGGGAGAGATCTGGAGTGTGACTTGAAACATTTCAAGTGTGACTTGAAATCTTTAAGTTTGATTCTTCAGTCAGCTCTCTGTAAGTTGGCATACAATCACAGGTTTGGTGTTTGGAATTTCTTTGCATGATATTTCCCTGAAGGAAAAGTGCTTTAGGAATAAGGTCTGAATGATAGATTGACTGAGGTTTACCTCCCAGTGTGATGTTGTTGATCTTGGAGGATCTGAATTTCCTTCCCTCACGAACAGCATTAGCGAGTCCAGTTCTTTCTAACAGCGACATGGGTCCTGTCACACCGAGCCACTGCAGAGCCCCGCTGGTTTTAAACTGGACCAGACTCTGCACTGCATGGCCACTGCAACAACAGGAGAGCAGCACATTCAGCTTATGTACGCATCGTTAGATGACCTTACGTTTCTTGTACTTTTGGTACCATCATTTTTCAGTTGCAGATCTAGACAACCAAATTTTTGAGAAATTGCAACCCGGCAATCTTTGAAAGTTAAGCACCCTTTCATTTGCTGTTCTGAATGTACCTCCAAAAATAATAAATCCTCTTCTTACTATTTAGGAAGTTACATATTTTCCTGTTCAATTTTACAATATAATATGAAAAAAAGGTGCCATCATTTAAATTGCTGTTGATTTTTATAACCAATATTTTATATCTTTCCTCATAAAACATTTGGTGGTCATGCTTGCTGCGTTTTAAAACACAAAGTGCTGCTTTGAGTAAGGACATGTATAACTTCCTGTGACATGGATTAGAAAAAACTGTTGCAATTTGAGAAACTGGTTAAGGAATCTGGGTATACCTCCAGAACGCTGAAAGGTTTCTAAAACAACATGTTCTTTTTCAAGCTTGCCAGTTTATTCAGCTCCAGGAAAAAATTAAGAGACCACTCTAAATGTTCCTTAAATCAGCATCTCTACATGCATGGAAGCCATTATCTGCCAGTGTCTGTTGCATTCACAGACACACCTCATTGTATTTGGTGATCAACGGACAAGATAAGGGACTTCTCTCTGTGCTCATCTTGTTAGATCTTAGTGCTGCTTTTGACACTATTCACCATCAAATCCTATTACACAGACTAGAACAATTACAGGGACTGCTTTAAGTTGGTTTGAATCCTATTTATCAGACCAATCTCAGTTTGTACATGTTAATGGTAAGTCCTCTATTCACACCAAAGTTAGCCATGGAGTGCCACAAGGTTCAGTGCTTGGACCGATTCTCTTTACATTATATATGTTTCCTCTGGGAAATATTATGAGGTAACACCCCATACATTTTCATTGTTATGCAGATGATACTCATCTTTTCGTATCAATAAAGCCCGATGGCACCAGTCAGTTATGTAAACTAGAAACGTGCCTTAAGGACGTTAGGACCTGGATGACCAGAAATGTTTTGTTACTTAACTCAGACAAGACTGAAGTTATTGTGCTAGGCCCTAAAAACCTCTCAGAGACTTTTTTCTAATGATATGACTGCCCTTAATGACATCAGCCTGGCATCTAGCACCACTGTTAGGAATCTACGAATTCTATTTGATCAAGATATGTCCTTTAACTGTCACATCAAGCAAATTTTAAGGACAGCCTATTTTCACCTTCGTAATATATCTAAGATCAGGCATAACCTGTCGCAAAATGAGGCAGAAAAACTAGTTCATGCATTTGTTTAGGTTGGATTATTGTAATTCTCTTTAGTCAGGTGCTCTGGTAAGTCTCGAAAGACTCTTCAACTAGCCAAGAACGCTGCAGCTTGTGTACTGACTAGAACTAGGAAAAGGGACCACATTACTCCTGTGTTGGCTTCTCTGCACTGGCTCCCTATAAAATCTAGAATAAAATTTAAAATCCTTCTTCTCACTTACAAAGCTCTCAATGGCCAGGCACCGTCTTATCTTAAGGAGCTACTAGTGCCGTACTACCCTTCGAGAACATTACGGTCCCAGAATGCGGGCCTACTAGTGGTACCTATAGTCTCTAAATGTACTATGGGAGGTAAAGTCTTCAGTTATCAGGCTCCTCTCCCTGGGAATCATCTTCCAGCCGGGGTCGGGAGGCAGACACACACTGTATTTTTAAAATAGACTTAAAACTTTCCTTTTTGACAAATCTTACAGTTAGGGCTGGCGCTGATGTAGACCAGCTCCTAGTTATGCTGCTATAGGCTTAGACTACTGGGGGAACTGGCACCTTGAGCTCCTCCCTCTCTCTCTCTCTCTCTCTCTCTGTGCATATACAGTACATCATATTACTGCATGTATCTATCTGTAAATCTCAGTCACTAACCACCTATTTTCCTGGGAGCTCTTGAGCTCTCTTAGGCTCCTCGAGATCGTTGGTTGATGGCCTGCAAGAACAACCCCCTCACGGGATCGTAGATGGACGGCTTTCCCTATCCCTCTTCCTGCATTTTATCCCATCTCTCCCCTATCCCTTTCCAAGCCCGGCGCAGTCTAGGCCTGTCATGAGCCGGGGATCCAGTCGAAGATTTCTGCCTTTTAATAAGGCAGTTTTTTCTTCCACTGTAACTTTTGCTGCTTTGCTAAAGTGCTCATGAGGGATAGGCCGGGTCTTTGTAATATAGCAATAAGTAAGGTCTTTTACCTGCTTTTTGTAAAGTGCCTCTAGATAACACTTGTTATGAGTTGATGCTACACAAATAAAAATTGATTGATTGATTGACTGATTGACTATGACTCTAAGCCCCAGTAACTTATATTGAGTCAACATGGCCTCACCTGCTCCAGACATCCAGCAGCCTGTTGAACCCTGGGGCTCTGTGTAGGTATGGCTCTATCTGAGAGAAGGAGGAGGAAAGGTTGGCAAAAATAGAATCATAAGTTATTGCAACCAAAGCATGTTCAACAGATTGTTTCTGCAAGCATTTTCTTTTCCATTATTTCTCACCGAGGCAGCTGTGTCATCCACCAAGCCAGGATTTAAAGTTGATCTGGGATTTTCTACAATGATCTGAAGCAGCAGCTCAATAGACTCCACTGGACAAAACAAGCAAATAATGTCACAACAATGGGCCTATAGAACCCAAACTTGTATGTAATCACACTCAAAAATACACAAATAATACCTCCGATGGCTGCAGGCTGGTCTGGCACGATGTAAAACTTGGGTGCATGACTAGTGGTGGAGCTCAGGGTTGGTTTGGATTTGAAAACAGAAGGTGTAAATGATGCGGGTTTCTCCATGTTGGGATTTAGGGCTGTGTAAGGGGCAGGTTGCCGTTGAGATCCTGCCGTGGGAGTCTGTGTGTTTGTGCTGCTGGGAAATCCCTGCCAAATCTCATCCAGTTTCTCTACCTCTACCTCTCTGTCTTCATGGTTATCAACTGGTTTTATGGTTGTGGGTGAGAGCAGATGATTGTAGGTGGTAGTTAGATAGTTTTGGGACTGTTTATGAGTAGCCTGGGCATCGGTGGAAGAGGGCAAAGGCAGGTAGGATTTTGTAAGAGGTGTGTGTGAAGATGTAGATTTGATTGTTGACAATTTTAAGTCTGTAGGTATTGGGTTTTGGTCGAACAGGGGTGTGTGTGCTGCGGATTGAGTGGTAGTGGAAGGCAAAGGCAAGGTTGTATCAGTAGAAGATGAAAACCAGGAAATGCAGAGTATGTTTGGATTGTTTTTGAATTAGTAGACAAGTGTATTGATTGACTTGTTGACAAAAGAGGAGCAGAAGTCTGTGAATTTTCAGAAGAGATGTCATGTAAGACAATTAAAGTGGGATGCAGTGTATAAGTTTCAGTGTTTACGTTGGAAGATGAGCTCTGGTCAACATCTACAAACGTCTGTGCTGCTCTCGGTGTTGGAAGAGAATCTGTGAAACCGAAAGTCCCATCATCGACTTCGGTAACATCAGGTGAGGAGGAGAAAGCTTTAAAGTTTCTTTGTGTATTTTCCGTTGCTGCTTGAGTGTCATCTTGGCTTGTCTGTGCAAATGGGGAGTTTGTGTAAGGAGTTTGTGTGAAGGGAGCGTTTGTGTCAGGAGTTTGTGTGACATGGGAGTTTGTTTGATTCTGTGTGGAAGAAGAAGTGTACGTTTGAAGAATATCTATGTTATCAAGCCTAACAGAGGACTCAAATGCATCAGTTTGAATATCTGAAGAAGCAGATACCAACGAGCCATTTCTACTCCTGTTTGGATGAAATGAAGCAGCCTCCAAAGTACTAACAGTCTTGTTGATGCCTGTAATTGGGGTTGTGGGTGAGTCAGCCATGTGTGGACCCTGTGAGCCTTTTGATAATGATGATGCAGTGGGTTCTGTATCAGGGTTTGCACTGGTTGAGTATTCCTCTGGAGGTTCGGTGGGGGATTTTAAAGGGTCAGATGTGACGGCATTAGTCTGATCAGAGTAAATTCCGCCTGTGCTGCGATGGCTCCTCCAGGAAGTGGGTTTTTTCTCTCCTGGTTCCCCTGAAACAGCATCTCGACGTGGAGGAGATGTGGTGAATTGTGGGCTGATGAAGCCGGAAACAGATGGTGCAGTTTCTGTAAATTGATGTATATCTGAAAGCAAGATAGTGAACTTGCTTTCTTTATTATTGGTCAGTGTTGTTTGTGTTTCAGGGAGCTTCTTTCTAGAGTTTGTTTCAGTTTTTTCTGTATTTAAAGTGTGGAAAAGTGAGACTGTTGAATGAAAATAGGGGTGTGTCCTCTCTCTGGCAGACGTGGGACCATCAGCGAGGTGAGCAGTTCCAGATTTATCCGCTCCATTGTTTGGTTCTTCCTCAGGAAGAGGGAGAGTTTCCCTATCGGCACTCCCAGCCCCAGCAAGTCCCTGCACGGGTGAGGTGGGATGTAGCAATCCCTGCTCCTGAGAGGAGGAATATGGCCCAAAACTCGACTCCAGACCTTCGGTTCCTCTACGAAGCTCTTGACGAATAGGAGCAGTCCTTGTAAAGCTTGTTCCTGTCTGAGACCGACGTAAGAGGTCATGGTTTGAATGTGGGTTGGTGTGGTCCTCAAAGGAATGTGTGTCATCTTCCTGGACTAGATGACCAGGAACAAACACAAAAAAAAGAGACATATGGGCGAGGTAGATAGAGCAGGGATCAAAACAGCACAACTTCTCTCCGACTCTACAATGGGGCATGATAAGAAGGTTGCTACAGATTTAGAGCTCATAACAACATACTGTAAACATAATACTACCATAGTTTGTTTCCATAATTACTTACATACTATACAGCCAATGTATCCATAACTGTAAACAAAATATACAGGATACTCAAAAAGACCTTTAAAACAAGCAAAATCCAATTTAGTACAATTAGATCAAGCTCTCGTGATAAGCAACTAGGTCACACAGACTCAATAAAATCAACTGGATAACTTAGTAACCATTTCTCACCATAATAAGCCAGCTCAATTGCATTTGAGGATTGTGTTGCTCCTTTCCAAGACAGTGTTGCTTTGTTTTTACCACAGCCGGAGAGCAGAGCTGTCCCCTCACCACCCTCCAGGACCAGATCTTCCTTGTTCCACACACAACGAATGGTTATGCTCGAGTTGCTTTCTAGCCATACTAACTTTAAGAGTACCGTCCGACCAAGAGGGATATTTAAAGTCCAAGTGCAATTTGAAACTGGTGTGTTTTCACTAGAGTGGTGGGTCAAGATATCTGATCCGTCCGTGTAATTAGTAAAATGTCCAGGTAAAGTGAGATTAATTTGACCTGCAGGCTTTGGTCAAAGTGAACATCTTCACCGCAGAGGTGCTGTGACAGGGCCAATGTTTTAACTGAAGAGAGAACAAAGAAAAAGAGGCAGGTGAAAGAGGGAATCACTCTGGTTAAAATCTTGTGACCTCTGTGTGCTGTTGTAGTGGAAACAAAATCAATTACTGGTAATACTTTGGACAAGTAAGCAGTTGACTCAACCAAAGTTTCATTTTCATTCTCAGATAACACAATTTTAAGGATTTTTTTTTAGGTATGAAAAGGTAAAAGATTATGATGGCCTATTTAAAAAAACACATATTATGGACAGTACATATATGAAATAGATACAAAAGCACACAATTATTCATGATTTGAAATGAAAGTATGTAGACTATATTTATTTCCTACAAAGGCGAAAAGGCTGGAGGCATTCAGGTAACCCCCCAAATCTGTTACATACAAAACTACCTTTAGACTAAATATATTTTATACTGACAACGAATAAGGCGAATTATGACTTCATTTAAAAAGTTGAAGTTATCGAAAAAGCAGTTTCAGCAATGTGCTAAAAAGTTGAGTGACAATGAAATCGGTAAACTATCAGACTTTTTCGCCGGGTCAGTCAGATTTCCTTACCTGTTGTAGTAAGAACGAGCAACAGACAGACGTGGAGCTGCATTTCCAATCATGAGACATTTCAGAGTTGGACATCCAATGAATCCCAGATCCATACAGACTTCTCAGATTTATCGTAGGCTACCTGTGCGTTATGTTGAGGACGAATATAGAAAGTGAATAACATGTTGTCTAGTTTTTTTTTCCCCCTGCGGACAGTCTCAAAAACACGGAGCGGCGTCACAAACTTTCCTCGTCCATCATTTCCTCCGAACGGAAACAGACGAGCTGTCGAGAGCTCGACCCCGCACGGTCACCTAAATGAGACACACGTGTGTCTAAAACAGGATGGACGGACTGACAACGGGGCACAGGGCTTACTCCACCTTCAGGCTGTTCGTGCAGTCGTTTAAAACTTCAGACATTTTCAAAGATGAGAGGAAGGAATCCAGTGGTACGCGGCAGGAGCTGGTTTTTACAGCGTGCATTATATACAGGAAACTTTTAACCACAGGAGGTATGAAGACATGACAGAGCAGGGGCAGTTCATTAGCCCTAAACCCCACTGTGTTTGACAGACGGTATGCCTACCATCATATGCCAGTATTATAATTAAAAGAGCAAACTTTCTCACTTTTCAGCCTGGCAGTAGCTTGTGAAGACTCTTTTGATCAAGGGTGGCATATGTAGTGACCCCCCCACGAATGAATTGGCTTTATTTAGCCTTTATATCTCCAGTAATCATATCTATTAACTAATTATAATATCACAGATCACTGGTGTACTCAGGGAGGGAATAGGGAAAAAGTATTTTGGGGGAAAAATGTCACTAAAGTGCCCTCTTGGATTTTCCTGAGGTGTCCTCCAGGGTAACCTGATAGTGAACGAAGTGCCCTCGAGCCTGTGCGCTGGGGCCCCACCACAAAGAGCAGGTGCCCTTTTCGTATTTTTGCCCCGGTCCCCTCAAACATCCTGAGACCGCTAGTGATACATATGATATATTTACGGAACCAGACTCATGTTTAAAAGCCATCTGCTGCAACTGTATTTTTAAAATGTGATACTTTTATCAACAGAGAAAGCAGCCTGATGCTGCACAGTCCAAATATTTCAACATACATCTACCTCTGACAAGGCAAATAGCCAATCATAGTTTGGGATTTGGAGATTACATCTGGGGTGGCCAATCAGATTTTTACGGGGGGGGGTTGCCACCCTGACAATCACTCTGGACAGGCCCCTGTTTATTGGGACAGTGTTCTCTAAACAACCTGAGACTTTGATGTGTTTGACTAGACCACTGTTAATGATTTAACACTGTTGCCGCGTTACTAGTATAGGAATTGTGGGGAAGCAACATTCTGAATATAAGTGTATTTGTTTGTTGCGCAATTCCTCTGTTTACCTCAATCTAATCTGCAGGTATATTATGTCCACTAGTTGGCAATAAAGTATAGGGTGTGTTTACCTGATAAGTTCCTGCCATTTAGAACTATCAACTGGGTTACAGAGTAGCAATTGACCTTATTCCCACCGCTGCAATACCTCTGGGGTGATACTCCGAGTCTGATGCTCGAATGCCTTTATATGGTAATGTTGCAGGTTGTTGTTGGACTTTCACAATATGACAAACCTGTCAGTCAATCCATCACTTCTTGATGAAAAAAAATCCAAGGGTGTGTTCACCTTTATAAATTAAAGAGGAAAGGTAACATTTGACTTATATACATACATTTAATTGCCGCATTGACCAATATTCCTGAACGGTATTTGATGTTTCCCAATGCTCAATGCCCTGTAAAGATTAGTTATTTTCAGTTGTTATGGTTTGGATTTAATCATATCATGCCAAATAATGAGAAGAGCTAACATCTAAGATTTCAGAGTCCCGCTATAACAGTAATCTTAAAATTAGCTTAAAAAAAAGGGTATTTTTTCATCAGTGTTTGTTGTACTCATTAGCAAATGTCTGCACACAAGACCTGTTTTGCTCGCTTAGTTTGTCTAAATAGCTTATTAATAAATTAGCAAGGCATAGTGAGAAGAACTGACGACACATATTCATTTTCAGGAAGCTGAAACATAGACCAAAGAAATATTTGTGAATGGACTGGTGCTTACAAGTAGCTGGTAAAGGAGAGTGCGACCTTCTTATTTTTCCAAAACACAATGATCATCCAACTATGATGCCGCTGTGTATGTAAACACCAGATCATATTACATCATCATCAACTGTGTTTGAAGTGTATTGGCCTAAAAACCTTACTCTTAGGTTAATAAAATGTATACATCAGGTTAAAAAAAAGGTGTGTATGTAGCACTCAGTGAGCAAGGTGCACATACAAGAGATGAGCTTAATTATTTACCTCATCTTTAAATGGGGCCATCGTCCATTTATGACTGATTTAACCTGTGGTATATATCTGTAACTATAGGAAACTATAGATGGCGTGGCCCTAATCCTCCGTCGTCGAAAGATTTGTAAATCTCAGATTTTTTATTCTACCCTGTAATCTTGAGAATTTTGAAAGTGTCTATTTTTTTTTTTTTTAGCACACTTGTTTACATGCTGGTTAAAGTGCAGCTTAGTGGATATTTAGATTTTTGAAAGAAGAATGCAGTTCATGTGCAGAGCTCATGTGTATGCAGTAAAATACAAATAAGCTTAATAAATTGGACTTGGAGTTTCATTTGAGATCTGATAAGTGCAATACACACTGAAATGTATCGCAGTTTGTTGTGACAGGTAGCCTACTGTTATACCTTAAAATAAATGGACGCTCATTCTCTATGTTTTTTGATGGTTCAATCAATTATTCTTTTGCAGAAAGGATGGGAACATTTTAACCATCTGACTTAAAGGTGCATAAATTAATTTTTACTTTAGTTTTAAGCTTTTAAAAAAGGAGAATAAAGCAAACAGGTGTAAAGATTCATGAACTGTTTGCTGCTTTGCACTCCCTTCAATATGTGATCGTGATTATGTTATAGCCTAGTAAATAATTTACAGCCCTCAGGTTTTATGTTTTTTCAAATCTGCCCAAACAGAAAAGTCCTATAGTTACAGATATATACCACAGGTTAAATCAGTCATAAATGGAAGATAGAAGATAAAGTCCAAGTCTAAAGTCTTAATGCTTTTGGCACATCATCATCATATTGTCATAAAATATCAAGATCCTGAAAAGATACTGCAAGAAACTGTGGCTCTTTCGAAGAAAGAAACACACTGACTTGGAGGAAGTTGTGTCTGCAGAGCTAGAAAATTTACATATTTATTCTCGTAAATTTACAACTTTAAACCCATAAACAAATCAAATTTATGACTTTAAACTCGTATACAAATCAAATTTACGACTTAAAACTCGTATACAAATCAAATTTACGAGATTAATCTCGTAAATTTGATTTTAAAAATTGTTTTCTTTAACGTGGCCTAATCCTCCTTCGTATCTTTCACAAATCTTTATCAGGGGGTTTTGCAGATATTTATATCACCTGCAGAGGGTTCTTATTGATATAAATCAATGTTTCTCCAATACTCTTTGCAGATTTCAAAGGCTGCTAGCTGAAATCACACTGACTTTGTCTCAACTTGTTTCTTTCATAACTCAATGATGTGCTATGACTAGAAATAGTCTGCCGTCTAAATGTATAGTTTTAAATTGTTAAATTAATTTTTAAATGAGAGATGAGTTTGTTGAAAATGTCAGATAATACTGAATTTTGTTTGAATTAAAATTGCATTGAAATCATTTTATTGCTGAGCTATCTAAAGACATTTATTTATTTGGTTATGTGATTCAATATGGTTTTAAAGAAAAACAAGCAGTTTCCGTATATATAGTGAGCCCATATATTTCTCACTCTGTAGATGGTTTGTATTGTTCACACCTGTCTCCAGTCAGATGAGTGTCACAGGTCAGAGTGAACTTAATCTGAAAGGTGCCCTCATGTATTGGACAGTTGAATATGTGTGTCCCTTGGCTCAGGTTTCTCCAACATTTTCCAAGCAATTCATGATTCGGCCAATCCACATCCCAGATCTCGAAATAGAAATTTGAGTTTGTGTCCACCTGAAAAAAAGAATAATAAAAATTTAAATAACAAATGGACAAAATGGGATGGGAATAATGGCAACACTATGATGTCACAGTGTAAAAGTATCATCATTTTACCTTATTAGACTTTAGGTGGAAATGAGTCCTAATGATCATAAACATTCTTGAGCATTACCCACAAAGTATATTCATTCAATGGAGATCTCAGTGACCTTGACCTTTGAAACCTGACCACCTAATTTGGATTTTTTTTAACTTGAGTCAAAAGTGGACGGTTGTTTCAAATTTGAAGTTATTCCTTTGAGGTTTCCTGAGATTTTGTACTCAATATTGAGCTAGTATGGACAAAACCAACTGCCTGAAAACACAATGCCTCTGTCCATAGCAGACACAGGTAGGAAGCCATTAGACATTGACTCTCTTTATTCCCTTTATTCCCTGTATTAAAGTTAATTTAAGCTGATGTTTAATATACATTTTTACTGACCTTGCCAAAATTATAATAGGCATTCCACCAGGGATCGTTTGATTTTACCATATGAGTCTGGCGATAGTGTGAACCATACCACACCTTAACATAGCTGTGAAAAGAGAAAAACAAAGAAGAAAATTCATCCATTTGTTTGATGATACACCGCTCTCAGGTCTCACTTCTTGTGTATATATGGATGTGTGTGTATCTATCACATGGACATTCACATTTCTGAGAACTTTGGTTTTTATTAGTTATTTGGTGCTTAAAAAAGGGGCACAAGTCCATGATTGACAGTTCTGCAAATGCCACTCATATGGCGCTGTGTGCACCAGATTAGCAGAATAAAGAGGAACAGCAAGAAAAAAACGCAACAATGACTAAAACAAACGTCATTGAATTTTCCATAACTATGACTGTCTGCTTCAAACCAACACAAGAATCTGTTTTGCTGACTGTGCTGGCATTAAGGATCTATGCCGTTCTTTCATTAAGTTTGATGTGTTTCGATAAGTGGGCAGGGTGGGTCAACACTGCAGCTCCGACTAGCCGACTATGCCTGCTGCATCAACTCTGGCTCCAAAAACGTTAGCAGCGTAATATCAGAGACTGTCCTGGGGTGTACTTTGGCTTTACTTTTGAAAAAAAAGGAGGTTGCAATGCATCGTCCATCTTTGTATACAGTCAATGATATACAGTACATACTCTTTGTACATGCTTGTTTTAAATTTTAAACATTAATAATTTGTTTAGTCCAGCCCAAATTGTCCCCCACACATGCAGTACTTTACTACTTATGAAACTTGTGTGACTACCATGACAAAGATAAATGTCAGTGCCTCCAACACAAGCCTGCAAACCTGCACACATACATAATCAAACACATAATCTCTCTCTCTCTCTCTCTCTCTCTCTCTTTCTCTCTCGCTCTCTCTATCACTGTAAACCAAAATTACCTCCTCTCACTGAGGTGCCTTAGCCACAGACTGTACAAATAATGATAATGAAGATAACTCATGTGACTACATTCATCCAAGCCTCTCAACCAAACCTCAAGTTTGGCATTTTTGCATTTGGGTGCACCATGTTGGTTTTCAAAAGTTAATTGCCATACAAATTTGGAGGAGAGGGTGGACCTAGAGAGATGCAAGGGTTAGCTATAAAACTAAACAAGCAGAAGCCATGGCAAGTTCATTAGCTGGTTAATTTAACTAGTGTAGACGTGTGTTTCCCACAGAGTGAGATTCTATTTGTGATGGAGGCTGACAACAGCTGTTTATTAATGAGACTTAAAAAGCTGACTAACTAGTTTCGTAACTAGTGTCTGGCAAACTCCCCAGGAAAAGCCAACAACAACAACAATTATCAATAACAATATTGTAAACAATAAATAGCAATAACATAAAACAGAAGACACCGTAAAATTAACAATTATGTCTCCTTTAAAATGAATATATGTTTAATAAACACTGAACAGGCTGACAGGCCAGGTTTGTGCAAGCACACTATACCTGCTACTAAGTGCAAACATATCAATACATTAACAATAGCATTTCACCCAACAAAAAAGCTAGAGTCCAGACTGCTTGAATAGCCAGTTAGTGTGTCCAGTGCCAGTGAGGCTATCCGTATCCCCTATCAAATAATGCTACAAGACCAAAATAATTTTATTATAATTCACTACTTACTCCCTAGGCATTTCTTGATAGATGAAAAGCCTCTTTTCACCACCCTCTGCTTGTAAATAAAATGCTAATTGACTGTGAGGGCGACGCAAAACAGGACTGTTTGAACAGTGCAGTTGCACTCAGAGACCTTCGGTGGGTGTCAAACCTCACCAAACTGAATTCCTCCATGCATCCTGTTGCTTTAATATCACTATTTGTAATGGCCCACCCACATCCCCCAAATCTCATTCCTTGGCGTCACTCTACTCACCCCTCAGTCTTGTCCGCTCCCCAAAAGTCTGCTTTAAGGCCCCAGGCTCTGATGACGGTCACCTCCAGCGTTCCCACCCATAACTTCTTTGGACAGCAGTTTGAGATCATGGCCCCACAGTCTGATTCTTTGGGAGATTTTTTCACTGCATTGTCTTCTAAGTACTGCTCAATGGCCACCTTCAACCCTGCCTTCAGTGCCGCATTTGGCACAAGCATATACATTGGTCTCAGGTAATATTTAACAATATCAGGCTGGTCCTTCAGGGTGTTCAGCCACTTTGTGTAGCCAAGGGAGTCATTTTGAGCGATCAAAAACTCCCCCACCCAACCAGTCCCTCCTACCACTTCTGTGTAGTGTTGGTGGAGGCCCGAGCTGAAAGAGGCCGTGATGTCTGTGTTCTGTAAGATCCCGGAGCAAGAGTCATATTCACTAGATAGTTTCAACTTGCCCAGACCTAAAGAGACACCTAGTGATAAGCAGGAGTGGACCTGGATGACAGGAAAAGAGAATAATATTAAGGTGGTGCACACAGTGCTGCAGGGGCGAATTTGTCAACAGAGCAGTTAATCATGAAGCTATACTTCCTTTTAATAAAGATAGAGAGAGTCAGTAGCTTTTTCCAACAAAATAAAATACTGACTTATACAAAAGTTATGCCGCTCAGTTGTCATTTATGGGCCTCCATACACATGTCGTGGTTACTGTGTCTGCAGAGACCCTGTCCTCTGCCTGTATGATGATTTGGTTGACTTGGGACGTTCCTGGGCTGGGAGTAGATGTGTTTCCCCCAGCCAATGACAGCAGGCAGATAAGTTTGGTAGTGATAGTTTGGTAGTGATAATACAATTCAGACGTATTCGCAAACATATTACAGAAATAATTTAATTTATGGTAAATAACCTCCCTAATTTTTTCAAATTTGCCGCACTTCCTCCCTTATAACATTTAAAGAGCTGCAAGTAGTATAAGTATGAAGAACCTCTACCTTTTACCTCTCAGCTCCCCCATCCTCTATTCCTGTCAAAGAAAAGACACGACTTCCTGAAGCCACGAAGATAAAGAGGGGCGTTGATGATGTGGATTTCGAGTCTTTTAAGTAACCGTTAAGCAACGAAACAGTACGCTGGCCATTGGCCATAATAAAGATCGGGGCATAGCAAGCATAACATCACAACTAGACTTTGACAAATATTCACTGTACACTGTATTTTGTCTTTTAATGTATCGTCATGTATCTTAAATTAATGTTTTAATGCATGGCTGCTCATTGTTTGTCAGAAACGTTGTCAACTATTCTGCTGCCTGTCTTGGCCAGGACACTCTTACAAATGAGATTTTTAATCTCAATGAGTTTTCTCCCGGTTTAAGCAACTCTTCAAACACAGTAACATCCTAAAGCATACACTGCTTTTTTTGGAATAATTAAAGTTAATGTATTAACTGAGTAGTACTATAAGGTTAGCGACTTACAAATAACAGTTTTTTATGGGGAGCGTTTAGGCATTAAATGTGACTGTTTGTTGACCTTTTGTGTGGAGAACCCGTTCAGGGAGGACAAACAGATGCGTGCAGCTGTAACTCGCCTGAGTTGTCCCCCAAGGAAAACCTGAAATGAAGAACAATGATGTTCAGTCAAAAAATTGGATTATTTGGTCAAATAAGGACATTAATATGATGTGTGTCTGTGTCTGTGTCTGTGTTACAACCTGGCGGATGTAGTGTGTGCCATAGGTATTTATGAGTTCATTGTACTGAGCCTTTGTGGAGGAGTTGTAAAAACTTGGCAGTCTGGCCAAATCCTTTCTGAACTGGGAGCTGAGTTGCGGCCTGTTTGACACACGGTAACTACAAATAAAGAGACAAAATAGTTAATTACGTTAGCTTGACTATCAAGTAGAACGACTGAGAAAATCTTTTGCATGGTGCAGGGGCCTCCACAATGTACCGATAATGGATGCAGGAGATCCTGTGGGTGCTGAAGGAATAATGGTCCTCTCTTGACCTTTTTGAAGCAAAGTTATACGCAGAAGAGCGAGTTCCTCCCACATCCAGACCGGCAGACACAAACTTATCCAAATTTAGGCCAAACTGGTTAAATAAATGGAACAAATAAAACCCCATAAGGTTCAACAGAAAAGAAATTCATTGAGATTAAAAATCTCTTTTTCAAGAGTGTCCTGGCCAAGACAGGCAGAAGCACAATTAACAGTTTCAAAAATATAGTGGAAAATAGTTGGAGTGATCATCACATAGGATTTTAACTCTATAATGTGTGATAATATGCAGGATTTTTTTGTTATGACAACAGCTGTGAAATATTTCCTACCTTCCAGTCCTTACTGTCCTGAGAGATGTAATCGTTAACCAGGGAGCTGTAGACACAATAACCATTAAAACACCTTTAGAAATTTTGCATTCTCAAATCACAGTTAAACAAGATTATTATAAAAACAAACAAAAATATATTAATAATAAAATAATATTAGTACCCAACAGGATTGCATGCAAGTCAATTCAATCCCTTTAGATATTGCATTGGGTGTCAAAGTGACAAGTGTGTTTCTTTGAAGTTTGAACAAAGATCAGAGGATAAAAGCTCTCTTGCTTTTATCTTTAACATGCTGTATGATAAAATACCTGACAGAGGTGTGTTGACTGTTTTGAAGGTCAGCTGTACATTGGCTGAATGCCCGCCAGTCCACTGCAGAGACTGGAAGCTGATAATAGAGGTGAGAACTCATTGTTTACATGCACACACAAAATACACGCCTTATAAATATGCTGCACAATTATTGCTTAGCCTATTTGTTTTAATTGGTTACTTTCTGCAGCTTGTTGCCTTGCAAAGAGTTGGTGCAGAGAGTACAGGTGCCCTTAGGGGTCAGGTAGTTCTTCACATCAATCATGTAGGCTCCTGTACGCTGGAGGGTGACCACGTCAAAGCCTTCTCCGACCAGATTGTGACCTGGTACAAAGGAAGCTTTGACACATTTTCTGTAGCTCCCGATACGACAGGAGAGAGCAGGGGAGGACGACAGAGACAGGAAGAGACTCAGGAGGAGTAAAGTCGGGCTTGAAAAGGAGAACATGACAGACGGGAAACTGGAACACTTTAAGAGAATGAGAGAGAGAGAGAGTTTTTAAGTGTTCAGCAACATTGTTTAAATGAAAAAGTAACATTTTTATCCCAAAATACAACAGCTACATGACAAAATCTATCACTGTGACCAATCATACCAGAAGAAACATTAATCTAGAGCAGTCTGCAAATCTGACTCCCTGTTAAGATTTTTATTTCAAAGAGTAATTTGCCAAGTCAGTTCCAAATCTTACTCATGTAATCTAATTTGCAACAATTTAACAATTTGAAGAATGTTCCTGTAGCTACTCAGCTCTTATCAAAACGGTGTTATGTACGCAGATTTACTAAAAAACTATATCATTGATATTTCAATCTATAAAGTCTGCAAGCAGTTTAATTATGATCATCATGCAGGACACAACATGCTCGTATTAATGGATGCAAGCGCACATTATAAGCTCAAGCTGATCTTTTACCTTTTTCCTCACGCCTCTACGCAGTCTGGCCTTTCTACGACAGTGAAGCTTCCTTTTGAAGTGTCTTAATGTTCTGAGCCGCAAGGACAATCAGTAAACCCGACTTGAGATGCGAGTGAAATGTGAAAGCACAGACAGCCAGCAGTGATAATTTGTTCAGACATTTATACCCCACAGTGACCAAAGGTTATTTGCATGAGGCGAAAAATTGTCATATTGTGTAATAGAAGAGCATATTTCTTTCTTATACAAGCGGCTTCATTTTATTTCCCTAACTTGAAATGAAAGCATATAGCCCACTTTAAAACAACAAACAATATAAAATGTAATATAACTGTATTTTGAACATCAAGCTGGTCCCTTAAAGAGATCTGTGGTCACATTTTCTTAGAAAAAAAGAAAGAAGCAAAACAAGAGACTTAGAAAAAAAGAGTCTTTTAATTGAGGAAGAATAACTCCAATGACACAACAGTGCAACATTTCATTTTTGAACTTTGATGCATTTAAAAGCTGCTGAGCTGATTGCTAATATCTGTAAGTTTTCAACTGTTTTCAACTTTGCATATAGTTAGAGGGGAGGGAAACATGCACTTCTTTTTCAGGCCGCTTATGGGGAATATTAATCGGGGTTATTGAACATCGGGAGTCGGACAAACAAATTGAATCAAATATTGAGAATAACGGTGTTCTTTGATTGTGGGGGACTTCCATGGGTACAAAGTGTTTTTAACATGTAACAAATCTGGAGCATTTATTCAGATAGAAGGGCTGCTTTTACAGACATACTGTAGAAATGGAAAATGTTACAGGAAAAAACATACAGTAAATGGTCCTTTTAAAGACATGCACATACAAAAACATACGAGCTTTTACAGGCGCATTCTGAGTCTTCAATCATCGAGTTAACAGCTGGACACTCACTTCAACAGAGTCACAGGCACTCATGTTTATATTTACTGACATAACCGCTGTTAATAAAAGCTTCAGGTCTGACATGGGAGACTCAGCAACACTTCTTGTTAAGAGTAATGAAAATATCTGGTCTGGACAATATGTGTCCTGCTTAAAATAACACAATTCAGCCCATATGCTTTATTTATTTGGTGGCATGTGTCATTAGGTTTAATCACAGGTCTGGTTTGGTTTTACTTTGTGTATGTGTGTGTGTGTGTGTGTGTGTGTGTGTGTGTGTGTGTGTGTGTGTGTGTGTGTGTGATAACAGGGAAATAAAGTGTGTGGCTTTTTCGTTTCAACCAGTGCGTTGAATGATGTGGACTCCAGAGTCAGTGAAAACAGGACCGCTCATGTCTCCTACTTTGAGAGCGAAGGAGGCGTCTTCAAAAGGCTTCTGCATTTGACCTGTAACATATAAAACACAAACTGTTAAAGAGAGTATTCAAATGATAACTTACATAAAAACATTTTAACAAATAATAATGACCTGTTTGTACACTTTAACCATGAGACAAAAATGATGTTGTTTTCTGTTAGTTGGTTGATATTGTGATTCTGTCGAGCTACACATATAAATATTCTCATTATAGCGTCGTATAGCCGACTCTGCTGCTTCATCCTCCACTTCTGCGCCGTTATTTCTACATCCTGTCTTACCTCAGGAGACCCCCCCCCCCGCCCCTCCCTTCTGACAGGTATAGTCTCCTGCTGTGTGGTGCATGTGTGAACAACCAGATGAGGAGGATTTTAAGGGCAATGCTCCTAAAATTCTCTAGAAATTTTCACGAGTGCGATATGTGAAAACTGCTTTTTTTAATCATGTCAACTATCAGTATAAAATTAAATCCTATTCTACATTGTAGGTCTTTGTATAACTGATGTTTTATTTGTATGCTGCTGTGTTTTATGTACAGGCTGCTACAATGAAATTGCCACCAGAAAGATTCATCGAATGGTGTGATTGATTGATGTTGTGTGGGAGATTATTGTGTTGTGTGTTTGTACCTCTTCCAAACAATCCCAGATCTCCACCGTTCTTAGCCGAGCTGCAGTCGCTGAACTGAGAAGCCAAGGACTCAAACTTCTCCTCTCCAGACTTGATCTCTTCTATATACTCTGTAAAGAAATGGGAAATAAAGAATACATTAAATCTGTTGATCAAATCAATTAACCCCGCACCCCCCCGCTTGATGCTTCACGTACTTTGAATGAGTTCCAGCGCCTCGTCTTTAGTCCGTGTGATGTTTTGTTCCCGCCATGAAGATGGACGTCGTGAGTCTTTGTGCTTCACCAGGAGGTGAGAGCAGCGTACCTGAGCAAGTAAAAAAAACAAAAAACTGATAAGACTCTTTTTATGAGGCTTCATAAACACATTTTATCATGATGGGCTGCAGGAGTCAATCAGTCTCCATTGTCTCCATACAGTCCTGATATTGTGCATTCTTGCACATGAATAAAACTGTTATGACTTCCTTAGAACTTGAACTGGCTGTATTAAATTAAATGTATGCTAGCTATTGAGCCATTCCATGAAAAAATGTCTGCTATAAATAAAAAAGGCCTATTTGAGGGTTTCTCATAGAAACACAAGAAACGTTAACATTTACTTTTGCTTGGCCTGGAAACCCAAAAGCAGTAAAGTTAGAGAGAAGGACTGACTCATGAAATGTGAAGCAGAAAGGTCACATAATAACTCAAGCTAATCATGGGAATAAAACAGAAACTCTGCTCTCAGGTTCATGCCTTCACTAACAAATATTTATATCAATCTTATTTATTCTAACACCCATGACTTATGTCAACAAATGTTGAGGAGTCTCAGAAAAATCCTAAATGCTTTTCTTTTGAATCAAGAGAAGCCTTTTTAGAGTCCAGTACTAGATGGACTTTTTGCTCTGGAACCCATTAAATGAAAATGTCTTAGTCAGGTTCTTTTAGTTTAGGCTATATTTTATGATGCTGATAAAACAACAGAGAAAAATGACTAAATTTAATTTAATCTGAAATCTTAACTAAGCTAGAATTTACCTGGGCTCATGATCTGTACAGTTTATTTCAAAGTTGTTATACATATTTGAAATCAATACATTTCAGATTATTATTTTGTATTTCAGTTTCGGTATTAAAAGAGATTATCATCATTCTCTTGTCACATCACATGAACTCAGAACAAATGTCAACCATGAAGGAATGCATACACCATTATAAATATATCTACATTGTTCTAAATATTATAAATACATATTTGTTAAGGACAAAATAATTATTAAACAAACCAAAACCGTATGTCATTTATTTGTAAAAGTGTGCACACTGCAGAACAAAAAAAATAAAAAATAGATTCCACGGGTTTTTAGCCTTTAAACATTTCTATACTGCAAACCACAAGGTGTCAGCGTTGCTAGATTAAAGCCTCAGATGCTTCAATCAAACGAACTGGATTTTAAGGGGGTGAAGCACGGTACGGATTACCTAGCGTGAGTGCACCCTAAATCTTTTTGGCAGGAATTCCCAAAGCTCCATAAGACCTCCCTCAGTAACTTTTATCATCTCATCACTGAAATATTTCAGTCTTATATGTATTCTATGTTAACACTTTGTAACACTCGTTTATTAACGCGCTTCATAAATGATCATCACAATTAATACATTAAATAATTCACATAATAACCTTGTCTGGCTCTCCTCGGCCGTCTGCTGTTGGCCGTTCCCACTGGCTGGCGTTGGTGATGTGGTTAAAGTAGTACACTTGACCTGCAGGGCAAATAAAGCAAGATGAATAGAGGGAGAGAGGAGGGAGAGAGGAGAGAGAGAGAGAGAGAGAGAGAGAGGGAGAGAGGAGAGAGAGAGAGAGAGAGATTAAAGCTGCATTCATTGACAAAATGAAAAATCTAACTTTATCTGTAATGAGAGAGCAATCCCAGTCTTATAATACCTAACAACTAAAATACTCCAATGACTGCACAATACGATTAAGAGAATGGACTGTAATGTGGAGGGTGAAAGTGCTTCTGTTCAAGGCATTGGAGTTGATGTCAGGAGAGAGAATTTTTTTTTTTGCCTCTCCAGCTGTTAGCAATATCAAATAGCTGTTTATTTTACATTACTTCATTACTGACACGTCCAGCAGACAAAGAGGAGCAACATGAGCAGCCGTCTGAAGCTGCTTCTTTTGTCTGCTGCTGAGGCTGCAGAGTCGATGAAAACTGAGTTGAACACCAAGAGACCAAGTAATCACTCAAATTAGATTGAAACACAAAGCGGTGGTGGTGGCTGGATTCCCTAGTGGAAGCAAACCCATTTCACCTCACACAGTATCTGTTAGTCAACATGAAAAAACAATGTAATGAGAGGCTGATTCGAAGTGTTAAACATCTTTGTGCTGACATCAAAGGCTGGAGGACAATGTGATGTGTGCAGCTGAGGTTTATGTCTGTAGATGTGTAAGACCCCCTGCTGAGGCTCGCCCTCTCTGCAGGTGATGCACTGGAGCAGAGTGACGTCATGCAGGGCCCTGCAGCAGCCAGGTTGAATGAGCCAGTTCCAGCACCGAGCATGGAGAAACACTAATGACAGCCACACATCACCTTTAACGTTTACGACACTTTTTTGTTAACCTGCAGCACTAGTTTCAGCTCATCCACATTGAACTTAAAGTGTGATCCGTGGGGGGTTTCCACTTAGATTAACCCACGATGCAAAGGCAGCTAGCTCGTAAGCTAAATCCACACAAACTTCATTTCAGCTGGTATATTCAGCCACTTATAGCTTTTGGTTCATTACCTGAACTACGACTCATTCTTTTCTCCCACCCAGACGGTAGCTTCTCGTCGTCGGCCATAATTTGTTTTCTGCAATATGCGTTTTCAGACTTGATTTCAATCTACCGTGTGACAGCCTTGGCTGCAGCTTTAGCAATTGCGACGATTCGCTTATTGTTTACGATAGGAGTTGTTTTCAGGGTTAGGGCCGCCTCAGACTGGCTCTTCTATTCTGCCATAGGCTAGTTTGGCCTGTCAATCATCGATCTCCCTTTTGATTGGTCGAGAGACTGAAAACACAAAAATACACTTTACGGTAAGCACCACGAAGAGTAGGATTGTGGAAGCTATCAGTGAACGGGGAAATATACGCTTTTTCTGATTGACTATTATAGGTAGGAATGTATATTCACACAGTATATTTGTTATTTCACATTTCCTAGAATAATAGAAGGATTTTGTGTTTGTTTAATAGCGTTACGCACATTGGTTTGAACAATGTTGGTTAGCGGACGATAGCTTCCGGATGACGTACCACATGCTTTCTTTAAAACACATTTTAAAATGCTCCGTTTGTGATTTGTCGGGCTGTGAGTAATCCACACAGGTCATTAATAAAAACATGTGTTTCTAAACTAAAGCAGGAACTTCTCAAATCGACCCGACACTTAACAGATACTGTGCTCACTTTGTCTCATTGTTTCTTCACAACAGGACTGAAGATGATCGAGGTGGTTTGTAACGATCGCCTGGGCAAGAAAGTCCGGGTGAAGTGCAAGTATCCTTCACTGAAACGGTGGCGATGATAACAGAAAAACAATAACTCAAGAGAGGACAACATAAGTATACTCTAGTACAGGGAGGGGCAACTTTGGTCACAGCAAGGGCCACATTCATTTAACTCTCACCGCCAGGGGGCCAAATTGTAGTCTACAAAAACGATTACAGTCAGTAATGTCTCAAATTTAACTCAAACATATACCAGTGATCAAATATTATTATGGACACCTTTCTGGTTTTCATGATTTCATGGCAGATTTTGTCATGTTTTTCTTCATGTTTCCAATTAATTGATGTGTAAAAATTGACCCGAGGGCCACATTGAGGGTTGATGGGGGCCGCATGTGGCCCCCGGGCCGCCAGTTGCCCACCCCTGAGGTAGACTGTTGTCTAAACTGAAATCCTTAATGATAACGATAAATCTACTGTTTAATTTGTACAACCAATCAGTTTAACTTTAGGGAAAAGTGTGAGTTAACCATTCCTGTCTTTTCACATTTTTTTTGCACATTTACATTCAATCTTCCATATTTAATCTTCCTATGTAAGACTAGTAATGCTTAGTTAAATCCTGGTTGTATATGTTCTCATTCTTAGTTTTGATATTTTTAGTACTTACTTACTTTGTAGTTAATATTATATTGTGCTTAGATTTGCTAACATTGTGTTTTTTGCTCATTGGGATCAATAAAGTAATTCTATTCTATTCTGTTTATTTAAAGATAGAGGTAGGCCTACACTGCCTTTTAAGACTGTTAAATAATAAAACAGCCCATGTAATGTGTATTTGAAGAGCCATGGTTCTTCAGATAAAAATAAATAGTATCAATTTTAGCTAATGTCATGTCTCCTGAGTTTGCTGAACCAAAACAGAAGAACTGGGCTCTGTCTTTGTGGACAGATGTAACCACAAGACCGTCAACGCCAGATGTTTTATTTTTTCCAATTTCTTTCCTTAACCGCAATATATCAGTGCAGATGATACCATTGGAGATCTGAAAAAGCTCATTTCTGCCCAGACAGGAACTAAGAGCGATAAGATTGTATTAAAGAAATGGTAAGATGTTTTTTTTACTACTTCTCTGTTTGACCATGACAACTGTTACTGTGGCTTGTCTTCTTTTAGCAACTCAAATGTTCCTCGTCTGTTTCCACAGGTATACCATATTCAAGGATCATGTAACTCTGGGGGACTGTATCCTTTAATCTGCTCAGTCTGTCATCATACTTACTGGTTGTTTACCTGTACATTTTGAAGAAATTAAGCTCAGGAAAGGACATTTTTCTTTTCATTCTCAAAAAGTTGTGCCTGTGTGTATCCCACCCCTGACTTGGAAAAAGTAGATCTAGTAGTATACTGCAAGTTACATGTTATAAAATACAAAACAAGATTTGAAAAACACAAAATCAAAGTTGGTCACTTGATATTTTGACTGTTTGTAGTGATAATAACGGATGAAAACACTCACAGTTTTTCTTAACCATGGCCTCTTCAGATGAAATCCATGATGGGATGAACCTGGAGCTGTACTACCAGTAGGGCAGCACCACAAAAAAAAATGCCGCACAGGAGATGCTCATCTTTGTTAAACACAGAGATTGAATCGATGGAATCTGTCGCAGGAAACAACCGTGATTGGACAACCCATCCAAAAAAGAGGAGCCGTACCTTTAGAGCAGAACACACACAGATGTAACATTATCCTCAGTTTAACTTTTAATTTTAATGGTCAAAATGTATTATGTGAAATAAATGTTGTGTTAAAAATGTTGTTTTGATATCTTGAATTAAAGCTGATATTTACCTACAAAAATCAGTGTGCTGGTCATTGCTGTATGTTAATTTAGTCTCTTATTTCCATAACACTTTATGGTCTTTAGCTTAGACTGATGCTCGATACATTTAATATGAAAGTTTGTAACTTAAATAAATACATTTAGTGCATACACTGGTAAAGTATGTTTTTAAAAAAAAGAATTTTTTTCATAGCTGCAGAGAAAATTGTTGGTGTGTAAACGTGTTGTGTAGACTCACCCACTCAACAGCAAAAGGCAGATGTGTTTTGACAACCCTACTTTTTTCTGCCATTCCCTCGTTTTTGTAAAATAAACTTTTAAACTTTGTAATGGTTTGCTTCATTATATTTAATATGGAATCATTGCACTTCTACTCAAATAACTTTATCAGACACAGTTAAAGTTACAGCACAGGTTGAAGATTTCTTCATGCATACAAGCGTTAAGGAACAAATTTGCCCCAATACTTTTAGAGAATGCAAATGTGTCATGGATGTCCACGACTAGGACACAAAAGTGAAATACTTCATCAGTCCAAGACATGTTGTTTGTTGCTGTGGCTGTTGCTTACAGTGAGAGAGTGAGAAAACCGTCTAAGTCCACAGTTAAAATAGCCCATAGCCTGCATGCATATAAATTCACATTCATTTAAATTGCATTTAAAGAGACACACACCAAAACAGAGCGCTGTGAGAGAGCTGGTTTATACAGGGTCACAAACCTCCTCTGGTGCTTGACTCATGTTATATTTTGACCAAAGCACAGCACATATGTTTAATTTAGACCACAGGAGACTGTTTTAAAAGGTAGAAAAGGGGTGTAATATGTCCTCTTTAAAACATCCTTTTCGTCTTAGAAAATCAAAGCTTAAAAAAAGGCATAAAACTTGAGCAATCATGCAATTTTAACTCAAATAGGGACACTCGAGAGAAACATGTAAACGGGTGATTGGGGATATGTCCTGGTTGTCTACATATTCAGTTCAATTATTAAATACTACACCAAGTGGTTACAGGCCCACTGATTCTATTGTCCTGAATGTAAGTACATCCATGCAACCAGATTTCAAGTGTGTTGAGGCTTATAGAGCAGCAGCTTGTTTATACTCATAGTTAATCTGGTTAGTTAAGTGCATGCTTTCCTCTAAGTGAATTATAAATAAATAAATCAAGCAGACACTCCTCCGGTCAGCTAATTAAAAAGTTTTATTCACACACTGGACCTCTCTCTCTCACACACACAGCCAGACTCATGAGTATGCATTAATGCAATGGATTGGACCAAGCTCCACACAGACCCCTGAACATACAGTAAAGGTCTACACAGCTCTGGATCCATGTCAGCAGTAGTCAGAGTAGTCCTCCTCCACATAGTTGGCTGGAAACAACCCCACCTGGAAACACAGGAGCAGTGAAGGTAAGACAACACGAACTCAAAAGCTTTTAACATTTCTTTTGGGTGGGTGGATGTTTATAAATTCCTCACCCGTCCATACACTTCTCCCTTCCACCACCCGCTGTGACCTTTCTTAGAGAGGATCTTGATGGTGTCTCCTTCCCGCAGCGACAGCTCTGAACGGTCCCTGGCAGAAAAGTCATACCTGGCCCTCGCTGCGCCAAAACTCCTCATGCTGCCTTCTGTCAGACAAGTTGAAAATTGCAACATGGAAAAAAATGTATATGTTGCAAAGAGATGAGAAGAAGCCCACTAACCATCTGTAATACAGTATCAGTCCTTTGAATATGCAGCTACTCCCAGGAGATGGTTAGCTTAGTGCAAGCTTAATTAAGACTTCAATTTGGGAAAATAGCTAGATTGGTATTTTCTGAAAAAAGCCTCATAACCCCACAAAATTACAAAGCTGGTCATTTTATATATATAACTGTCCTTAAAAATGCAACACAAAAGATCATGTATAGCTTGCCATATTTACTGGTGCTTGTGGGAGTATTTTTGCACATGACAATTGCAATGACAATTGTGAGCATGGTAGCAGGTTGAATTTGGGATTTGCCTCAAAGCACAGCTAAGTCTAAGGAGGCTTCCAGTAAGTGCCAAAAATGAGCATTACCTGGTGTGGTATTTGGCGTGTTGTTTGGTGAGTTGCTTTGCTCTGGTTTTTTGTAAGGCGTACACAGCGTGGTGTCCACTTCCTTGAAGTACTCCTTTAAAGAGTTCTTCTGGTAAAAGTGAATCAACTCCTAACACAAAGAGACGGCGAAGAAGGCAGAGGAGAGATTGACTAGTTGCACAGGAGGGAATGAAGTTATCTTTTAATTCACAAGGTAAATGTCAGTTTCAGTGTATTCATTCTGCTCATTGCTTTATGCTTTGGGGTTGTAAGACTCACGATTAAACCCTTGAACACTTTCTTGTCATTGATGCGGTACAGGCCTTCGATGGACGTGATCTTTATGTGCCTGATGTCCATGTTGAACCTTGAAGAGCAGAAAAGGGTTAAGGGTAAACTGTAAATGAGAGGAGGTGCTGGTTTAGCTAAGTGGTTAGAGTGTGCACCCCATGTACGGAGGTTATGGTCCTCATCACCAGAGGTGTAAAGAGTACTAATATATTCTACTCAAGTAAAAGTACTGTTACTTTTTTTAACAACGCGTCTCTTGTGTGTTGTAAAAAAAGGATGAGAGGATATTAATCTCAAAGTTTTTTTAATTAAAGGCCAATCTTTACAAAGATTTATCTTTTCAGATAAACATTTTCTTTTCTATCCCATTGACAAAAACAAAATATACATAATGATGAATAAATAATCAAGGATTATATGTTCAAGTAATCAGCTGTTTTATGAAGGGAAATGTTTAAAGGCTTTATATGCGATTTTTTCATCCAGTAGATGTCGCCCTTGAGCACCAGCATGAAACCAAAACAACTCGCGCTGCATTGTTGTGTTAGCATGCTAATGCTAGCGATCTTTATTATGCTCGTATCTTCACACTGCATGTAAATTTACCTGAAATGAGCGTGATCTAGAAACACAGTTAAGCAGTGAGTACAGTATGTTATTCTTCTTTTCTCTAGTCCCTCAATTAAACAACTTTTATTCACGAGGGGAGGAGTCAGCCGGCCGTCCCGACGATGGAAACAAACTGAAGATAGGACTCTGAAAACTCTGAAAACATCACAGACAGTGGGACTCGGGTGTTACACCCATTGTAGACAGTCATGACTCACAGAGTTATTTTCAGAGGATATACTTGATTTCTATTTAAGTGTGAAAAATCACATATTAAGCCTTTAAACTATTTAAGAAAATACTAAAAGGATCTTTGTCTCAATCATAAACAGTGTAAAGAGTATTTCAGTGTTTTTAGTTTTATTATTCTGAGGCTGGTTAGTCTCAAAGACAGCCTCAAAGGCTGACTTAGCTGCAACTAAATCTGAGGTGAAAGATAATCCATTTATTGTTTTTAAATGAGCCTTTATGAGATTAAATATTGGATGTTTTAGTCACTGTTTGTTTACCTATTAGCTACTGAAGCTTCTAAATATTTATTTTCACACATCTGAGATGTGTTAAGTTGCAGCAGCTTATAACACCCAACTTCCTCATACGTCTGCTTCAAAATAAAAGCACATCAGAGAGATGGCAATTACGGACTTTTATTGTGAAAAACTTCCCGGAACTGAATGTGTTTATAGCTCGGAGCTGCCACTTCTTTGTCCGAGAGTAAGAACCACAGCCAACTTATTTAAATCATCTTGGACTCAAGACAATGAGACATCAGTTTATAAACACCTTCAGCAGGTAGACCCACAGTAGAGGAGGAACTTCTCCGTGAACTGAAGTGGCACCGAGCCAAGAAAAGTCTCTCTCTCTCTCTCTCTCTCTCTGTCTCTCTCTCTCTGTCTCTCTCTCTCTCTCTCTCTCTCTCTCTCTCTCTCTCTCTGTCGTCGCTCCAGTGTGATGAAGGAAAATCATTCATAGCAGGCCTATTTTTTTTTACTCAGTAACGGATGTGATTTAAAATGTAGCGAATTACAATACTTAACAGAAAACCTACTTAAGTAAAAGTAAAAGTACAGATTTAAAAAACGACTTAAAAATTAGTAAGTACAGCAAAAAACTACTCAATTACAGTAACGCGAGTAAATGTAATTCGTTACTTTACACCTCTGCTCATCACAGCGGTAGGGTCACAATCTGACCTCGGCCCTTTGCTGCATGTAATCCTCCACTATCTGCCCCAAACATTTCTCGTCTCACTTCAGCTGCCTTATCCAATAAAGGCAGAAATGGCCCCAAAATAATTTTAAAAAAGTTTTTAAAAAGTTTTTAAAAAAGTAGAAGAATAAAAGTAAAAGCAAGATCAAAGACAATAAGTTGAGTGTCTGATGGGTGGCAGCTTTTTGTCTGAAGTAGTGAGAAATCAATTTATGAATTCTTAGTTACGTTTTGTTTCCATTTTACGGGTGACTCTGCTCGTCTTTACAGAGAGTCAACACACCTTTTTATCACATTTAACGACTTCCCCCCCCTTTTTAGGCCTTTGGCTTTATTAGTGAGAGAGTGGAGAGACAGGAAATATTGGTAGGAGATGGTGGGGATAACATGCATTAACGGATTGACAACTGGAGTTGAACTTTACTTTATTTTTTGCCTTTGGATAGAGAAATCAGGGAGAGAGACAGTAGGGAATGACATGGATGAAAGGACTACAACCTCTAGGGAGCGCAAACCAACCACAAGGCCACCTGTGTACATCCCGTGCACACTCTTAAAATCCCCCCCCCCCCCACACACACACACACACACACTAAAAAAGGAAAAGTTTAATAAGGAACCCTTACTTGATGCTGATAGCAAACTCTCCTCCGTCTTTCTGCCGTACAAGGAAGGTTCCATCAGACCGAGGCATCAGAAGTTGTTTGGCAGCGGTTCGATCCATGTTCCCTGCAAACCTTCAAACACAGTAAGACACACAACGTTATTCTTTGTTTAGAGAAAGTAAGACCGTAACGCTTTTGAAAGTAACATATTTAAACAATAAGCCAGCTCTCTGACTTTATGAACCTCAGTACTAGTCCAACGTGTCCCCCAAGTGTAGCAGGTTGGCATCACCAGATCTTTGACTTGAAGGGAAATTGTCTGTTACTAGTTCAGTTACAGAGAATTACTTCGCTTATAAGTATACTTTTAATACTTTAATTTAGCATCTATAAAATCTACACAAATAATCAGTAAGCGTTGTTAGAGCATCGTTACAGTTAACAGCTATTAATACATTTAATTATGACTGTAAAGCCTTAGTAGTCATAAATGTGTCTGATAACAACACTGTTAGGCTGTGTTACATAACATTATCAAATAGTAAGTAGGCTAATTTAAAGTTCAACTGAATTGAATTAAAGTGACAGTAAACTTCAATTGAGTTCAGTTGAAGTACATTTATTTAGTATAGAAAACATTACAGAGCAAATTCATGAAGTACAACAATAACAATAAAAAGAATCATAATCATGATTCTTTTTTGAAGATATGATGATTTCCTACTACTTATTTTAAATGCTAAAAAGAAGGATTCAACTAAATTCTTACTAAAGTGGCTTTATGTACAGATATAAATAAATTGCGTTTATGTTTGTAGAAATGAGAGCAATCAGTAGGTAATTTTGTGTTTTTGCTTTCTCAAATTGTGTCATATTTGATTTTAACATTGGAATGGCATCAAAGTACTTTTTTCTTTTTCATATCCTATGGACAGGGACTTAGAGGAAAAGTTGTAGTTTAGATTTTGTTTATGGCATTTGCAGCACTTTGAGTCAGAAGTCAAAGCAGAATTGTTATCATCATGAGCTCAGGGGCAGAAAACAGCCTCTGCATGATAGTTGACCAATGACTAAAGCTTATTTCATAAAAAAAAAAAAACATCACCATGAGGTTCATCTTTACTTTACAGTAAGGTCTTCTGTTTTGTGGCTATGAGTGTCATTTTGCAGCTGAGTGTCATTTACAGTTTGAGCTCTGTGGTGTCTTTCAACCATTGTTGCAGTGCTTTGCAACATGGAAGAAATAATGAGGTGAGCAGTGGTTTGGTGAGCGGGTGATTAAACCTAGTTCTTGTGGATACTCACCAGTGGAAGCCAGACAGGTCCGGGGTTGGCCTCTGAGAAAGGGTGAGATCACACATAGGTTAGAAGATCTGTGGTCATGCTAGTAAATAGTCATCTCTTACTAAAACTGCGAGTGTGGATTTCAGTACATTTCATTAAAACCATACTCACTGAGAGGTAGGGTTGAACTTTCTGGCAGGGGAACCATCCCATCTGTCCGTCAGTCAGGTTCCTTCCCTGAGTGGCAAACACAACAACAAATGACATTGCAGGACTGTTTGGTAACATTGCAACATGTGAATGAATCATCATATTGACATCAATAACGCACTAACAAACAAATGCTACGCCAACACAAATGACTCATGCACAGCTGATATCATTCCAAAGTAATTCAAAAGAAATTTGTGAGCAATTCAAGCACTCATGAATGATACAGGTCCCCTCCTCTGATGCCTGTCTGCAGAAGTCTTGACTGTTGTGAGCTTTTCTGTGTGCTGTTTTTTAGACTGTCCTTTGAGGTGTCCTGTAATTCTAACATTTTATTCATTTCTTATGTAAGTACCTTACTAGGCAAACATTTTGAAGGAATATATTAGGAAAAGCTCTGTTCTATACTGTACTAATGTCTCAGTAGCCATGTTTACATGTGCAAAATATCTTCAATTTGATTAAAATCATTCCCATTGGGGATTCCAACTTTACTTTTTACATGGCTGGACGTTAAATAAAGTGTTTTTTTTTTTATGATGAGTGTGTACATGTTTCAAACATTTAATCAGAATAAAGCCATTCTGACACACGCACAGAGTTGTCCTGTCGGTCTAATCTGCCCAGAATAGCAGCAAAAGAAGCTTTTCCTTCCTCTGAACATACATTCAAAATGAGCCATAACTTTTGAGAAATTGATCTCTGTTCTTTGGTGCGTCATCAAGTCTGTGTTTCTGTCAATGGGAGTGTGTCTAAAAAGTTTTTTCTCTAGAGTGAGATCCATTCCAAGCAGAACTCATTTCTGCTATGTGTTTATTCCTCCGTTGTAAGTTTTTGATAAAGCAGGCCAAAGTCGCTGTGCAAGTCGAGTCCTCCTGTGTTGTAAACAAACACCGCTGAGATCTGATCAGTCTCTTGCGATTGTTGTGTTCACATGAAGCATTTTTATTCTGATCAAGCTTTTATTACGACTTTTTGTTTTCTATGTTAAACTTAGCTAACTATACCAGGATCCCAAAGCAGCTGAATGGAACTCAACTGTAATGTTTGGCTTTATTGTTTGAATCAAAACCTTTAAACTACAACGCCAGAAATGTGGAGCTGCAGATATGTGGTTGAGCATGAGAGTAGGAGGTTGAGGTCCAAGAATGAGCTATGGAGGGGAAAATTACAAAAGAGACTGAAAAACAAAGAGCATTTCACACCAACACAATAACCACAGGAAACAGGAAAGACTTGAAGAAAAAAAAAAAAAAAAAGAAACAACAAAATAATGTGTGAACCCCCTTCAGCTTTCAGAAAACAGAGTGTTTTTGTGTGAATTTAGTTTTTAACTCTACCTCCCACCACGGCAGGTCAACATCAGCCCGGGTCAGCTCAATGATGTCACCTTTGGACAGGTGAAGAGGTTGGCCGAAGCCTACAGGGGGCGGCGGCAAACCATAATACTCCTGACACGCCTCCATTTTAGGAAAGCCTAAAAGAGAGCAAAGAGGAGACAGAGGAGAGATAGAAGAAAGGAGATCGGACACCTTACACAAAGTCTTTAACTCTGTCAATATTGAATCGTTTTTTAAAGTAATAAATACGATGTTTATCATATTATGGATCACTTACCAACACCTGAGTGTGCAGGGGACCTTTGTGGCTTAATCTGAATGACCGAAACACAAAAGAAGAAGGAAACAGATGTACATCAAGTTTTGTCTATTCTAGTCATAAAAACGATATCAAAAACATACAAGCTGAATCAAGTTGTAATAGTACATGTCGTATGACAAAACCACCTTTGTAGCATACGCCTTAGTTTCTGTCTACATCTTGACTTCCTATACTGGACAACGACCCCAAAAAATATGTCAACTAAAATATATGTTATGTAAAAAAAAAAAAAGAGTCTATTATGGGCTTATTTGTGGTTTCTGTCTGAAAAATATAAAACATATCCAAGCTGTCAAAGGTAAATGTAGCCTTACCTTTCGTAGAGTGCCAGGATGATCTGTTTTAAGAGGAAAATCAATGTAAGATGGGATAATAAAGCTTATTCATGATAATTAGTCTTAAAACACATAAAAAAAAAACATGAGGGAGATTACAGACCTGAGTTTCGTCCACAGGCAGGGACTCTGCCTAAACATTCTTTATGTGCAGCCATTTTACATCGTGTGCAGCGATAGCCCTGGAAAAATATCCCTCTGCAGAAGTAATAGTTAGAGGTTCAGCCTCAGCAGAGGAGGTTCTTTTAAAAAAAAAAAAAAATGGAGCCCAGGGAGAAAGTGATATTAAATACCTTAACATCATTGAGCAGGCCCTGCAGGAGGTGGTCTCCTCGAAGCAGTGCATCTGGAAGTCATGGTTGTTGGCTGTGGAGTTCTCAGGACACATATTTGACCTGCAACCGTGAAACACATTTGTACTGATCATATTGTGGTACACAGGCATTCATAGAGGTGGTGCTCATTGGAAGTTTGACTTTGGTGAGATTGAAAATACTCGTTGCCGTCTGTAACACCTACATCTATTTGATAGTTCTGAGATGAGACTGAGGAAACCAACAAGTGGCAGCAACACCCTAAAACTGTTTTTTTTTTGTGATGTGCTTTACACTGACAGATCTTACGGATCAGAAAGTGTAGTATTACAAAAGTAGGTTATCTTGTTTAAGCTGCTGCATAAGTGAGTAAAGAAATACAGTATGTGAGAGGGATGAGAGTAAACCTGAGAGTAAACTTGCAGTTCAGAAACAAAAGCCTGTAGTTGAAATATCTACTGCTAAGTGATAGTATCTGACTCCTCAAGATGGCAGCCGTTTTCACATTACTCAGAGTTAAATTAGTCCAATTGAAGACTCCCAAAACGTTCAGATGTATTGAAATACCTCAGCAAAAAAATGTAAATACGTGTTGCTGGATGAGGTTACAACATTTAAGCAAAATGGACTAATTTCTCTGTGATTTCAGCAAGAATTCAGTGTTTGTGTGCATTTGCGCCCATGTGTACTGTATATGTTCATATGTATGTGTGTGTGTGTGTGCGCGCGTGCATGTGTGTGTGTGATAACTCACAGAGCCATCTCAAACTGTTCCAGCCATTTCTTCTTCAGCTCTCTGGTTTTGAAGAATAAATCGTACCCACACCTCCCGTAGCAGTCGAGCAGAAGGAACAAGTACGACCACTGTTAATAAAACAAACACACACTGTTATGGAAGCTGTCTAGACTTACAGTTTAGTATAACTGTTGCCACAGAGACAAAGACGGGCCTTTTTTTTGTCCTTCTCTCCTGTGGTTTCATCTCGTATCTGGTAGTGCTGTAGTTCAATGATGTCCTTTAGCTCAAAATTCTCTCCACCCTTCTTCTTACACACAAACATGGCCTTATCGAAGAGAAATGCGTACCTGAGGAGCCGACAAACGCACACAAAAACCCAAAGTCAGATATATGGCATTAACACATGAAATATACACTGACAACACAACACACACCTGTCCTGTTTGGACTTTTTCTCGGGGCTGCTGATTTTCAGTTCTCCATCGATTTTAGGGCGACCGTACATAGCTAGAGACTGTGTCTATAGATCAGAGGTCACATTATTAAAAAAAACATGAAGTGACTTTAAAAGCCTAAAAGATATGGACTACATGTGAAACATTTGACCTCACCATGTTTTCTATGGACAGCTGGAAGGAAGTGATCTGTCTCATGATCTCATTGTCTCGCTTCACCTCGTTGACACACTGAGCCAAGTCCTGAACACACACATACAAAGACCAATCAACATACACTCAAACTAGTGACTGACATAAAAAAAACAGAGAATATGCACACTTACTCTCATGGCATCCAGAGCTGTGCGGAGGTTTTCCTTTTCTGCTGGGTCAGTTGTGTGCTTCACCAGCTCCTAGAGTTACAAACAGATGAATTAAAGGGACAAATGAAACATGCACAATACAGCCACATACAAAACTCACACATGTACACACATACCTGTAACAGTAGGTGATATTTGAGGACCCTCTGCATAGGCACCATGAGTAAATCTCTGAGAGAAAAACGTCCACTATTTGCTCTCTTTGAACACTCCTGAAAGAGAAAGTGATAAAGGGAAGTGAGCATACCCAGAAAACCAGGGATGTGCTAAGAGGATGTTGTTCGACAGACTTGGCCAACCCGCAGATTTTCCCTCATGATCCAATGTGGTCATTTTGTTCCAAAAACTCCCCTTTGACACAAGAAACTATAAACGCATGGGAAAACTCTGAAAGGGAACCAACAGTGCAATAAGGTAAACCTTCAACTTTGTTTTCCTTATGGACTTAAATTCCTCATGCACAGTCAAAGGTTAGAGTTCATTATGCAAGATGGAGGAGACTAATGCACAAGGCCACACAAAGTAGGACTAAACCATGCATGAACATAAAAACAATTACCATAGTTCAGTACTTTCATTACTTAAGAACTATAGAATAGAACAATAGTCTTTAAGATCGAAATGCAGCTCAGTCTAGGCTTCTCTTCTGCAAGAAGAACAATGTACCAGGACAACAAGTTAGAGTCACTGGTGCTGCAACAACAACTCACAGGCTTCCCATCACCAAAAAAATACTTATTAGGTTCAATAGAGATAAGATACCCAGGGATTATCAGTGGCTCAACCTGTAGGTCAGATAAATGTGCAGGTATTTGAAAGTTAAATTATCTAACAAAGCCCATTCACAATACCTCTGAAATAAAATTGTCTGCAAATAATGTGCACATTGATGTTCAACAGGGACACATGTATGTATTCACATATCTATTGCTCTTCTGTTTTGTGGATGTGTGTCCTCCTCACCTCCAGTTTCATTCTGATATCCTCCCTCGTATTGGAAAGCTTGTCTAGGTGTTTTGTTGCAGACTCCACCTGACTGCAGTAACTGCCATACAATAAGAGCCTGAGGGGGGTAAATAAGAAAGCACACATTATTTATAGGCTATGTATGTATATGTATGCATCAAATATTTATAGCGAGACTATATAACATAAAACAAGAGTTGTGTTTGGGTTTGTACCTCTCCTTGTAGTTCACAAACACCTGGTACAGGTTCCTTGCTCCTTGAGTTAGGATTGATGTCCGCACCTCCTCCAACAAATTACGATGGGTGTGTGCCAAATCCTAAACATACATATACAAAGGAAATGTGTAAACATGGCTAATAAATCAGGGTAAACATGTGAACATGACCAGCTGTGTAGATAATCTCCTATTGTACCTTTACGTTGATGAAGATGGTTTCGATGTCCGGAGCTTTGAGAAACCTTTCAAGAGGCTTCATAAAGTGCTGCAAAAAAAAAAAGAGACATGGTTGTTTCTCTCCATAAACACGCAAGAAAATGACTGTGTATGTTTGCTTTTTTGTGTGTGTGATCAATGGATTTCTGTTGGATTCAATTAGTAAACAAATTGATAATCTGTTGACAGGTTAAAACGTGTGCACACCTGTAATATAGATTCCAGTGTATCAGAGTATTTCTCTTCTGTCTGTCTGATCTCCTGCAAGCAGCACTCTCGTTTATCCACCCCAGTCTTCTGCTGCTGGAAAAATGAAAACACAAACCTGTCAATTACAGCATAAAGAGACTGAAAAAAAAAGAAAGAAAAAGTCCTTTCCTTTTTTTGGGGGGGTGATAGGACAGATTTGAACCAATAGCCACTTCATTGATTTTTTTTTTTTTTGATTGTCTTTTTATTGAATGTTTTTTTAAATTAAAACAGAAACAGACAATGGGAAAAAAAAATACAAGGAAAAACTCTAAACATAAATTATTCAGAGGCTATATGTTCCCAAGCCTGTCTGTAAGTAAACCTCCTTGTGACATGATATGTTGTCAATGTTCCACATTTTAAAGAGCGATTGATTTACCTGTATATAAAAATGTATACATTTTTAGTAAGAGAATACAGTATTTTATAAATTCCTGCCTGTTTATATATGTCTCTAAATACATACATATACACATATATATATATATATATACATGCAGTTACTCACATACATATACCCATCCTCACACATACATGAATACATATACTCAAAGTGCACATATACAGTATATACATACATACGCAAGTGCCGACCATATACATACATTATTATTATAATATTCCCCTTTTCTTTTTTCTTCTTCTATTTTGCATTTTCTTTCTTTCTTTCTTTCTTTTCTTTTTTTTTCCCATTTATGACTCAAGAACAGTTGTTCAATCGCAGATCAGAGTCAATACCGAGTCATATCATAAAAGAGAGAAAAGGGCCCCAGATTATGTCATATTTGTGCACAGCGTCTATGTTGCTGTATATGACTTTTTCCAGTTTGGCTATTTTTCCAAGTGCATGATACCAGTCTAGGGTGGTGGGAGCTGAAACGTCTCTCCATCTACAGTATATTCGCTTTTTAGCGACTGCAAAAGCTGTAGCCAGCCACTTGCTGTTAGTTTGAGATTCAAGTCTGGAAATTACACCAAGCAGGCAAACTGCGGGGACTGGGTCTATTTGCTTACTTATTATTTCACTTACTTCTTGACATACTTCCACCCAGAAGCTCTTAATTTTTATACAATCCCAGACCATGTGTAGGTAGGTCTCTGTCTCAGATGAACATTTCCAGCAGGTGCCTGTCTGTCTGAGGCCTACTCTATGTAACTTACTAGGGGTCCAGTGGTATTGGTGCACGGTTTTGAGTTGTGTTAATTTCAGTGAAACGTCTTTGGAGACTGTATGGGCTCTGCGCCAGACCTCATCCCACTCTTCTTCAGTTATGTCGCACCCTAAATCTATACTCCACAGTCTCCTTGTTCCCTGAAAGTTCGATGTTATCTTGTTAATAAGTTCTTTATAGATTCCAGGTGTAGCCTCTTCATTGATGACTACAGCCTCCATACATGGGGTACTTGACATAACTACCGGACTATCCAGCGCCCCAGTTTTTTTTAACATTTCATTTATTCCTATATACATGCATAGACACAAATATAGTTAGCAGCATTATTAGTTGTTGTGAGTTGTATGTTGTGGTAAAATTAGAGGCTAACCTTGCAGAACAATCTCTAGTCAGGACAGTCTTTAGCCTCTCACACTTTCACTGTTCAGTACTTTATTAGTTGTACTGAGAAGAGATATGCTTAATTATTCCAAAAAGTCAATTTGATGCATTTAAATATTTTACAAAAAATGAAAAAATGAACAGCATACAATTGTGCAGCGATTTGGGTGACTTGTGACACCACTGGATTTTTTTTTTCCTTGAGGGCCTGTTATATTCTGACCCTGCCAGAGGCCTCATTTACACCAGCTGTCTCATAGCCAGATTGTGTCTCAATGAATAATGCAGCTGGGTGACATTTACACACAATGCCTTTCCCAATGGAGCTTCTATCTGAAAATAAATAAATGTCTTACAAAAAATCTGTTAATGACACTTCTATCTGTAAATAAAGACACATATCTCTACACACCCTGATGTGGTTTGACCTACTGATTTTCAACAAAGGGGTGGCAACAACCAAAAGGGATCAATAAATATATGAAAGGGATTTGAACATAGTAAGTAGGATAGGACAGCAGAAAAACAAAAGAATGTGAAGTAAATTAAATGTTTAAATGTTCTGTTGTGTGAGTACACTCACAGTTTCAGGTTGTTCCTCTGTCCTCATTAAGTCTTCATAAATCTCATCACCCTCATTTTCCTCGTCCTCCACAAAGTCATACAAGTCGTCATCGTCATCCACTGTGTCGCTAATACAAACAAAACACAGAAATGATTATATTCACACTAAAAAACATCTGTATGAAGGAAGTTCAATATCTCTTCACACGCATTATTTAAAAAGTAATATTTTAGAGACTGTATTATAGGCTTGATATTAACAATGATCTCAAACTTTGATTAAATATATTTCAGAATAAATCATTCTCTAAATTAAAATGACATTTCTGAAAACACTATGTTTTTGGAGTTTTTTATTTGATAAATAATATTGCTTCCATTTACAAATAGATGGGTTTTGGATGATGGATAATAAGTTGATATCTTTGTGGCCACATCTTTTAAAGGGAGTTTTGTCTTTCATACCTTGTTGGTCAAAATGATGCATCATTTCACTGATTTTAGGGGAAGGAGACCCTTTTGTTAGGGTGTAGTATTTGTTTTTTCCTTGCACGGAGAATTATTTTTTCCATTTCTTATAGGTGGCATTGATTGTACATGTATGTAAGCTTTTTGTTTGCTTGTGCTGATCTGGTTTATTGAACATCCCTGAGAGAGTAATTTACAAAAATTGAAAGTTGACCCTACTGTTTGTGTTACTAAAGATTAATCTTTGAATTATGTTGTAAATTCAAAGTCATAAGGAGCTAACGAAAACTCTAAATCTTCAGGCGCCAGAGGAGTATTTAAACATAATTATTTGCATCAAAAGACTCACTCTATCAGGTCAGACAGGCCGCTGTAGATCTCGTCATCAGCAGCGCATCCTTCCAAAGGGAAAGGCCTGAGGATGTGAAAAGTGTGTGTGAAGGTGCGTCGAAGGTAGAATGAAAAAACCAACAATGTCGTTATTAAGCGATTATTGATTTCAAGACAAATCAGGCTTGTGGGTCGAGGTATTCATTCTAATGCTGTTGTACTTTGCTTCACACACATATAACACTGCAATGTTTGTAAATGAGTTCACATTTCAAGTCCTAAAGTGTTGCTTACACACTTATGGATCAATAATTATAATTCAGTCACTCTATATTATCATGACTTTACTTTTGGTAAATCTGATCTGAGTACAACCTCCATCACTTCAACACAGAAAAAAGTAAATGATATATATAACATATGTCCTCTTATAGGAGATGAAGTTATAACTGTACTTAGTGAACATCTTAAGCAGACTTATATTGTTGTGCTTCATCATCACTACAAGCTACTGCATGTTTATCATACTAATTGCAAGTCCTACATTTGGAGGATAAATTGATGCAAAAACTGGAGTAGGATTCAAATGATGAAACAAAGAATATTACTTACTGGAGTCCTCTTTGTATAGCAATGTACGTATGAGAGAGGATGGACAAAGTGTCCATGACCTGTTACACACACACACACACACACACACACACACACACACACACACACACACACACACACACACACACACACACACACACACACACACACACACACACACAGGTTAACAAAAGTTCAATACGTATATAATTTACATGAATATTCTGCACACAGAAAAAGTGAGTGACATTGAGAGCTAACACTGAATAATTCCTCTGTGACCTTGTTTCACTTTAATTGAGCACTGTTTGATGGGTCAACCTCAGAACTGTGGTGTCATGGTGAGTGATTTCAGTATAGCAACAACTACCATGAGAAATGTATTCAGTAACAACGAGAATGTGACAGTGAGCTCTAATACCTAAAGTAATTAGTACTACAATTTTAGTGTCTATTATTATAATCTAACAAAAGAGTAGTGTTTTTTACCCCTTCACATTTTCTGATCTGAACCTTAATGTTGAGTGGTAGTGACATTAAAAGTACAAAAGTACAACTAATAAAAGTACTAAAGTACTAAAAACTGTAATGTTTGTTCTTCAGAGACATTTCGGAAGAAGGTGGCTGTCGTGATATTTCTTCTACTATAAAGTCCAAATGAAGAGAATTTTTCTAAGTTTGCACTGCTGATCTTTTGGGTCTGACCTCACAGACACTCAGCAGAAGTGAAACTCTGGGAGAAGTTCAGAGAGAACAAATGGACGACTTTTAGGGGGTCACATTTCCTCTGCTGACTTAAAATTTTTTCAGTTTGCGTTATGATTACTTAAGTAAAAGATGTGAACTATTTTTCCACTATGGATTACACCATAGTTATACGTGTTAACACGATTCTATGACTGACTGGAAGAAGTGAAGTGAAACAAGAAGCCCAGTGACTGTAAAAAAGAACAACTACTGTAAATAGAACGCTGGTTGGGTTAGTACACTCTTTGTGTTCTTAAAGAAACAGCTTCCTCTTACATACTAATCAAATGAGTGCACAAATCTGCTGTTCACACCAAAGTCACACTTGTGGCAGCAGCACTGCATCCAAAGTGAAAGACAACTGTGAAACAATTTGTTCACTCTGCCGCTTCAACTACAAAATCACCAAACTCCTTCCTGTCAGGGGTATGTGGGTGTCTGCAAGCTGCAGTCAAGACTCAGGGCTCTGTTCACGCATACATTTACCATAATGGCTGGAGTATGAGTTCACAGAGTTTGTCTCACGCAGGAAACCATAATTACTCAAAGATAGATAGATGAATAGACAGACAGAGATAGAAATGGAGATATATATATATGTATATATACATATATATAGAGATAAAGAGAGAGAGCGATATCTTGTATTATATTTGTTGTATTTTTTATATTGTATATATTTCAGTAATCATTTGTAAATCATATTTTTCTGTACTGCTTTGGCAACATGGATTGCTGATCTGCCATGCCAGTAAGGCTCATTTAAATTTAACATTATTTTCATACATTTTCAACATTCTTCCTTATTTAATTTCATATGTAAATGATTATAATGTGTATTGTATATTTTGCTTTAACATGTTTAACCCAAACGTCATGCCAATAAAGCTATTTGAATCGAACTGAATTGAATTGAATTGTGAGAGAGAGAGAGAGAGAGCGAGAGAGAGAGAGAGAGAGAGAGAGAGATGTGTTTATACCTTTGCAAAGTCTCGAACATCGAACAGGTCAAAGGCTTCAAACAGTTCACTCTTCTTGAGACGAAACTTCTCCTGACAAACTCCCAGAAACATCCGGATGTTCTTCAGACACAGGAACTAAAAACAAAAAGAAACACAATCATTAGTTTACATTTCATTAAATTATTAATTTATGATTCGATCAACACAACATTTATCAACAGTGTTGATTATCTATTAAAGTTTGAGGTCATTTATTAAAGAGCAAGGGTTTAAAGTCACTCTAGCAGATCCTTTAGTTTCTCCCTTTTACCTTCTACATTATACTGACACTAATCCGAATCACGAATCCAACGCTACCACACACTGTGCTTTTATGTTCTCATTTCACTCCGATTTATACTATTCTGCCATTTTTATTCAAATCACTAAATAGATCCCATTTCTCAGCATTTTTATCTTTTACCTCTGTATCTTATCTTATTACAGTCTGATCATATATTACAATGGATGCAAATATCTGTGCAGATTTCATATATATTTCCAATGGTGGTTGAACATTTTGTACTTATTGCTTATATTTTCGGATTTTATTCATATTTTTACTCTGTGCATCTGTAATACTACAATATACGACTAACTTTTTTGCCCACTTCAGGAAATTTGTTTTGAGCTCCAATGGCTGCACACAATTACCGTGTGTGTATTGATATATTTTTCACACATTTTACATTGTCTTATATTCATATTCCTGTATTTTTTTCATGCTCATAATCTTTATGAGAACAACTAGAACACCAAACTTTCCCCCTCGGGTGTACAGTATATAAAGTACTTCTGGTTCTGATACTGAAGCTACATGCTGACATCAGCATGCTAACCAAAGAGTATATTAATTCTGCTCAGCCACACGGACCACAGAAACATGAATAGAAATGAATCGGCACAAAAATAATTTCTGATTATAAAAGCAGCAGCACAACATGCAACGTTTAATCACTTAAATATAACTAACTAAGCAACCACAGATCGCACAGTGCACAGAAGGACTGACACAGTAGGCAGACATTTTTTTGTTTTACATAACTTCCTGAACCAGACACTGTCGCTCACTCTTTCTGTGTCTGTCTGCTCAGCAGTGGGAAATGAGGAAATCTAAATTGAGAAAAGAGGAAATGTCGACTTCTAACCGATACTGCTGCACCCAGCACATTGCTCAGTAAGGATTTCATATTAACTGATAGTTAACTTATAAATCATTACAACTAGAAAGATCCTCTACTTGTACATGTGTGTACATGTCAGAGGGGACTTCTTTTTTTTTGTTAAACCCTGGATGTTTCTTCACAACCCTTTACCTCACCAAATTTCCCAGAGTTTCACATGCACGTGTCAAAGAAATGTTACTTCTACATTCATACACACACTGAAACACACACACACACACACACACAACACACACACACACACACACGTTTCAGACAACTCAATGAAACCAAATTCAAGGACTTCCCTCAAGATGGTTTGGTCAACCCTCTGGGCCATTCTTTGCCACGCACTATTAGTCTTTCACACATCTTCATCTCATATTTAGCTCTCAACCTGACTGTCGTGTTATGAACATGACAACAGATTTTAATGACATTTTGTTTGTTTAAGTTTTGAATATGCACCTAGATGAACCTCTGGACTTTTTTTTGAATACTTTGTTAAAGAAGCAGTTAAATCTGCTCATTACCTTTCTTGCGGATAGTTAGATGGTAAAGATACCGTAGCAGGCAGCAGATATAAGTTTAGCTTAGCACAGCTAGCCTGGGTATGGCTGTAACACGAGCCATTTACAAGTAGCTGTTCAGCTCAGTGATGAACATTATAAGCGTACGGAAATAGAAGTGAGATAGAACATTTTGTTTTACACAGAGGATTATGTGTCAGGACATTTACAGACTGAAAGAAGTTAGCAGGGCGCTATTCAGACGACAGAAACACATTCAAAGCTTGGTCTGAAAGGCAAATTTCTGTCTGTTGGCAATTTAATGTAGATTAGTTATCATATTTGTTCCTTTACTAGTAGATATGGCCAGATTTATATTCAGATTTGTTGGCTGTCATTTCAGTAGCAGATTAACCAAGAGGCTGTGAAAAGATACATTTTGTCAAAATGTGGCTAAATTGTAAAATGGGTCATCTCTCAATTGAAAGGCTGGCGGGTCAATCCCAAGCTCCTGCAGTCTACATGATATATTGACCTTGGGCAAGACACTGAACCCTGAGTCCCTCTCCAAGGCATAGCCACCAGTGTGTGAATCTGATGGCCGTAGATGCACTTTATGTAGCAGCCTCTGCCGTAAGTGTGTGAATATGGCTCTGAAAGGGTGACATGCTTGTTTGGAAGACTCTAAAAGTACTTTAGATGTGCAGTCCACTTACAATTTACCAATACACTGATTTTTATGGAAAAGAAAAAGGCTTTTAAGGATCAGTGAAAGATAAAATGAACTTTATAAAATATATATTTTTTTGCATTTTGCTGTGCTTTACAGTTATTTCCCTTTGACTGTTCTTCTTCATCCCCCTCTTACACTCAGCATGCGTTTCCCCGATGATGACAGATAAGTATCACATGATTTTCTTATCAGTCCAGGGGCTTCAGTGCTGCCTCCTGGTCGCTATGGAAATGTGTTATGGAAATGCAGCAGGAAAAGATGTGTTTGTATACGTATGTTACCTGGGACATCTGTGGACGCAGGTTGATCTCTCTCAAGTTGACGGCCTGAGGAAGCAGGTTGTTGAGCAACTGGCAGAGCAGCACGCCGTCTCTCAGAGCCTGAGCCAGGTCGCACACCTGGGACACCACACACACACACGCACGCATGCACACATGCACACACGCACACACAAGAACAAAATTGAACTCAGGAACCAAGACAGTGTGTGAGTTCATGTGCATGTGTTTGACTTTGTAGACGGCAAGTTCACCTGAGCGCCTTCCCATGTGACCCGGTGGTTGTCAGGGAGAACTCGACATTCGATCAACCACATCGCACACTGCCGCCACAACTCCATCTTTGCTTTCTGAAGATGGATTAAAAAAAAAAGATATATATATATATATATATATATATATATATATATATGTGTAAGTTAAGATTTTGTTACATAACCAATGATCACTGTGGTTCTGTGACACTCAGATGAAATAAAGTAGTCAGACTGGAGTTTTAGAGTTAAAGAAATCCTGATGATCACAGATGACTTAGCTTTATGAGGCCATGAACAATGTTGTTTTAAAGATAATTAATAGAGTTGCCAATGAATAGCAAAGAAATGTTTTATAGTCTGAGATCACACGAACAAAAAGCTCCTCAAGCACGACACCCTTTCCTGTTTGACACAAATACAGTGGCACTGAACCTCACTTTATCACAATTGAACTCCTCTTTTGTTTTCATAATCTACGATCTTGAAGATTTAAAAACGTACAAATCAGTCGGCCTTCAGTGAAAACTAAGCAGTCCCTCTCACTCTGTCATAACAGTAAAAAACTGAAGCTGCCTTAAAACCAAGTAAAAGAACAAAAAAGCAACTGCTCTACTAAAACACCTCATCATTTTAAAGAATAAGTGTAAAATGGTATGAAATCTCACCTTCAGTTTGTCCTTGCAGTTCTGTGTCTTCTTTCTCAGCGTTCACTTCTCCGTCTTCCTTTCATTATCTCATAGTCAGACTTCAGCGCTCTCATTCTGCCTTTCTTCCGTGGTGGGTTTTCTGCAGAGCTGCACTGTGTTGAAGGCATTTAACTTCATCCCGCAACTTCCTTTTTCCTCTGACGCACCCTCACACAGTCGCATTCACATTCATTTACACACGCACAAACACACATGCAAACACAAAGCTGTTGCTGCTGCTGCTGCTGCTGCTATTAGCGGTTTAAGTTGATAAAACAGTAGAGTGATATTTATGTGAGGTAGTCTGAATTCTATGTGTAGGCCAAAGAAACTTCCAAAGTGGTACATTGATCTTATTTGAGGGAATGAGTCTATACATAGTGTTTACTTTAAGTTTGTGGAGGAAAAAACATTAAGAGGTGTACAATTGAAAGTGTCCTCACAAAGATGTTTTTATCTACTTTTAAAATACTTAAACAATCACACAATAAAAAAAGATCAAACCTGTTGCAGTATCCCATGGGAAAATACTAAAGAATGATGTTATATAGTTTCTAACTACCGGAATGATTTAGTGAAATCTGCCTAACGCTGGGCAGCAGACTGAAAGACAGGCTGATGCAATTTAAGGAAAAATCCTGAAGCAGCTTAATAAATAATGGCTGGCTGCTTGGACACTGACAGCATCCTTTGTTAAATGCAAACAAAAACATACTGGGTGAATAGAAATGTGAGTGACGTGAGCAATTCAATTAATCAACCTCGAATGAACAGCAGAGGGCCAAATCACCTGTTGCGGTACATATAATTAAATTGATTTCAAAGCACCTTCATTATTTGAATACTTCCACTGTATGCTCCATAAAGATAATACTTAAATTTTTTAGTCCAAAACGTTATTTAGTGGTGTAGCAAAACTTGTTACTGTACATTTTTTAGATGTAAAATAAGGGATAAAAAATAGCCACAGCTTTTAATTCATTATTTTTGATGATTCATTATTTTTGTATTATATTAATGAATTGCCCAACCCTCATGCATCTATTTGAGACGGGGGAAAAAATGCAGTTGCATCTGTCCATAATGAAGTACAAGTCAACTTTCATAGTCATCCATCCAAATGAAAATCATCATAAATACGGGTCATGTCATTCAAAAATACATCCATTATGTTGCCATAGAACATAGTGAAAAGTGCTTTGTTTGAAGTTGTTGATACTCTTCAAACTTTTTTCAACAAAGTAACTTGTTTATAGGGAATAAAGATGACGACACAACTTAATATAATTTAAGTCATTTATAAAATGTATGTTGCAGATGTAGATTTTTCTGCTGCTTATCCTCTAAATGATACACATGCATGCAGTGTAAATGAGGACATTGTTTCCCTTTTAGACTTATTGAGTCAAACTTTTTAAATCTGTGAAATACTCCTTTAACTGCAGCTGAGTCTCTCTTGACTTAAACACTAGATGTCAGCCTTGTATACATCACGGCTGTCCTGCTGCTAAAGTATCTGCTCACAGTCCACCTGAACAGGCAGGTTTCCACACACACCACTGCACATTCATGTCTCTGACTTGACATGTTGACAGCTGCTCTAACAGTCTCACATTTTCATACCCCTTCTTGTTTTTCTGAACTCTTTCTCTCCGTCATGACACGTCTCAGCTTGCGCTCCCTGCCTCCTGACAGCTCATGCTAATCCCTGTACTCTGATTTGCTGTTGTCAGTGGGGTACTGTGTGCCCACCGTACAATCTGATTGGCTTTTTGAGTGACCCTGCAGGTTTGAGGTGGAGCGGGCTTCCACAGTAACCACAAAGAGAAATTGAGAGACAGATAATGACACAGGTTTAGACTTAGTTGTGAGTAGCTGCAAAGAAAGGAAGGAAACCAGAGAAGAAAAAGCATAATGAAGTAGGCATTTTACAAGAAAAGAGAGAGAAGTGACGTCCCAGCGTGCCTTGGTTGATTCTATAAGCAGGTAGGTGTTACATACTGGAGCTGCTGCAAGGCAAACAACACAAGAGTGCTTTTTGACTGTTAGCTAGTACTTTGCTCAGATCCGTTTGCAGGACAAAACATTTACAAGCATGCATGTGTGTTGGTATGTACTAATTATCTCCTTCAGACATGAATAATCGCTCCATCGCCTGGTGGCTGAGACAGATCGGCCTGCCCCAGTACACCAAGACTCTGGAGAGTGAATATTATGGGCTGGAGGTATGTTAGTGTACAGAAGAGAATCTAAATGTGCTTGTTGACATTTTCTGATTACTTGTGTTTTTTACTGCAGTCTTTATATGTATATATATGCACCCTTGTGTTTTATTTCTCTCTCCAGGGTTTGCTGAATGTGACGGATGCAGAGCTGAAGGATTCAGGGATAGACGATGCAACACACAGAGAAGCCATCCTCAGCCAGCTTTCAAGACACCGACAGAGACTGGACCCACACACTGGTGACACTCAAACACACGTCGACAAACTGACTGCACAATAAGTTGATGTTCATCAGATGGAAAATATTGATTCTGTAAAGAACTGTTGTTTTTTTTAAATGATAGAGGCACGTATTTAAGAAATGTAGAGATATGGTCTAATTATATGTGGGAAACAATTTGCTGCATCAGTTTGGTTATTATAAAAGATGTATTGCATCGATTTAAAAAAATAAAACATGACATAAATTGTCATCCTAGTCTGGGCATAGTTTCACACATTTTATAGTATATTAAATAATCCTTTTGACATAATTTTAGTCAAACATAGATTCAAACTCATACTGTATAGCTTCAATAGAGGTATACCTACAGAATGTTTGTGTTAGGAAACAAGTCTTAAGATGAACTCTTATCTTTGTCATCCTTTTCAACATGCTGACTATTCAAGTTTAACTGTTTCAAGTCTGTCAAAGAAGTGTTCCAATGTAATGGGCTTAATCCAAAATCCTTAATCTACCAGAACCTCTAATGCTCAATAATGAAAATGTTATATTCTTAGTTTTTTCAGCCTCACACTTAACGGATGGCCAGGAGAGTAGTACAGATCTTTACCTTTTAAAGTGTGAAATAAATCAAATCCTCAAAAAGTTCCAATTATTCCTTTTAAATGTCCTTTTTGCTGTCTCAGGTGTGGAAGTGAAGCGGAGGGTGAGCCGAAAATACTCCCTGGGATCATCTATGGATCTGGTGAGACCACTTAAGCCTTGTTCACACTTGCACAAAACTCCTATAGTTTTCGTGGTGAGCTGTAGGTGTGAACGCAAACTTCTTCACTCAGACTTTATCTGTTGATTCTGAATTGAGAACACAGCAGGATTTAATCAGGAGAATTCAACTCGAGCAAGTGGGGAGGGTGGTCACATTTATTCCGTGTGTTGGGTGCACACCATAGAGTGTATAGTACATGCAAATTCTACGATCTCTGTGCCACTGCATTATGTTTTCTCTTCACCAGCAAATACTTCTACGCTCTTTTGTTGATATTGCGATTCTGTTGTATTGCATAGAGCATTGATATAAAGGTAAACATTCTTATTATAGTGCTGTAAAGCAAGCTCTGTTCTTCATCCGCGTCGATCTTTTTACGTCATGTCTTGCCTTAGGGGACCCCCTGCCCCCGCTCCCGTCTGTAAAGGTTAGTGTCCTGCTGTGAGGCTATCATATCTGAACAACCACATCAGGAGGATTTCAAGGGCAGTCCTCCTGAAATTCTCTTGCATATGTAAAAAAAGCTTTAACATGACAAAATAATGATTACCAAAAAAAATGCTATCAAGTCTACTCAGAACAGGGATAACCCAATCAGCAGCTCCAGTATAGACACAGTTTGGGTCTTCTATTTCCTGCAGGAAAAGCCAAAGAAGGATCTGTTTCGTCAGAGTGTTCTGCCCCGCCTCCAGCGTGCTGATAAGAAAAATCGCCTTTCTGCTTCCTGCTCCCAGCTCCGCCCCCTAAACGAGGACAATATCAGTCAGACAGAGAGCTGTCAGGACAGCAAAAGCAGGTGAGCTGACCCCATATATGTGATTTTTGTTTAGAAGAGATAGCATTTGTGTTTGAATGAGAGGGAGGGATCCACTTTCGCCAAGTTGGATAGTCATGTATGGCTAATAATTAACTAGTGCCTCATAAAATGTGTGCCATGGTGTGTAAGTGGGTGTGGGCATATTGGGTGCACGTAAATCTGTTGGCTATATGCAGGCTGAAAGAGAATATAAATGTTGGATATATAGAATACCATTACAATCCTACTTTACTCACTTTCACAGACCGAGAGAACTGCTTTTTGAAGACAGACATTATAAACAACACACCTTGGGACTTTGATATTTTGGTCACTCGTCCCTCCCAGTGAGAGGTGAAGGACTCAGTCACTAAGACCAGTGTGTGTTTACAAGTAGTTAATCCTGAAGTCAAGGCTTCTACAAAGGAGACTGTTTTAATGCAGGCTCATTTCCAGCATTTAAGGGCCAGTTTACCTAATTTACCAAAGTGCATTGTCTGAATTTTAATTTACACTCAAACCAAAGTTTGACTAAAATATCAAGATAATACAGATTTAAAGGCTCTGGTTTTGAATCATATCAAGGTCTGAGATTTCTACTTTTCAATGAGTGTGAATGGAGATTTGTTTGTGGTGTTGAAAAAAGCCCTGAAAGTTATACTTTAATACCTCTTCAGCAACTTGTCTTCTTAAAAACACTGCCCTAGTCCCAGTGTCATCCACACACCCATACAATTCAATTCAATTCAATTTTTATTTGTATAGCGTCAACTCATAACAAGTGTTACCTCAAGACACTTTACAAAAAGCAGGTAAAATACCTTACCCTTTGTCTGTTAACGTTACAAAAGAGCAGGTAAAAAGACCTTACTCATTGTTATGTTACAAAAAACAGGTAAAAGACCTTACTTATTGCTATATTACAAAGACCCGGCCTATCCATCATGAGCACTTGACGAAACAGCTTTCACAGGCCTAGACTGTGCCGGGCTTGGAAAGGGATAGGGGGAGAGATGGGATAAGATGCAGGAAGAGGGATAGGGAGCAAGGGGGTGGGGGGAGGCAAACGGTATACAGTATGCCTATTATTTTTTTCACATTATTTGATGATAATAAAGATATACATTTTGTTCTGTTCACTTATTCTTATGACTGTAGCATAGTACATTCTTAATATGGAGAGCAAAAATCCTGATCAGCACATTTTGACCTTGATTAAGTGCTTTGACTGAGTAGGCCACTAAGGCAACGATGAAGGAAACGTAGGCCTACTGATTTTGCTTTACAGTAATTTGTTTGAACTTACCCTTTAATCAAAAATAATGAGATAACAGAGTACTGACATGTCTGTGAGTGTATAAAAGTAGGCTGTCAAGTTCAGACACATCTCTACTTTCCAGTTAGGAGTGTTCACTACTCAAAGCCCCCAGAGGTTGTAATAAACAAAACACGTAGGATTCAATTAAGTAGATATAGTTCCGGTCCTTTGCACTGATTGGTTAAGACACGTTCTGAAAGTAACCGATAACACACTCCACCGCACAACAGCTTGATATCAATGCTCTGTCCAAACTTTTCCGACAGGTGTAAATGGGAGAAAGCATTAAAACATAACAAATACAAAAAAAAAAAAAAAAACAATTATTGATTAGCCTACTTTGAGATAAGGCTAATTATTAAGAAGTCTTGTGGCAATCAATGACAAACTACCCTTTGGCTTCTGAACATATTTTATCAGCTTAATATAGTTTGTGCAATGAAAAGTCAAGCAGCTAAGACATAGGCCTGCAGCTTGAAGACATTTGATCTGTCAGTACAACCATATTTGGGGTTTACAATTACATTCCTCTTTTTACAACTACCTACCTTGATATAGGCCTACAGATTGTGGCCAGGTGATTCGTTTGCTCGGCTTGTGTCGGTATCCGAGGAATGCCAGAGTGTTTCAGCACCGGGGCCCGAGGGGGGGTTGGGGGGTGGAGGAGGAGGAGGAGGAGAAGGATTTGGGAGAACCTGTGGGAACTCGTCCGAAACTGTGTAGGGAGGAGGGCGAGGAGAAGAAGGGGAGAGGGGTGGGGAGCTGGGAGGGACCACAGTGGAGAAGAACTGAACAGCTACACAGCTGTTGTTTGGCGGTGTTAACTTGGACCACAAACCGTAAAACATGTCAGGAACGTGCGAGCTGTGAAGAGCACTGACAGGTAGGATCGTTGACCATTTCCAAAAGAAGTAGCCTGGTTTATATTTTTGGGAACTTCGTAAATTACCGCGAGACTTTGTATGTTGGTCGGCTGTTGATTTAACTTTTTTATGTGTTGGATTTTCGGAACATTTTATTCTACTTTTGACAAACTTCTTAAGTCTTTGACCAAAAACGTCGACTGTGGTTTCCTTGATTACCTGCAGCCTCGGCAGCTGACTTTTAACTACCAGTTGCACAATTCTGAGGCACTGACACTCTCAAGACTTGATGTTCCAGTTATTTACAAACGAAACAAATTTTAGGAGGGCATTGGTCAACATTGTTGCTTAGAAGTCAAATCTCACAGAAAATAATAGCTACAAGCCGGTGAAGCGTGATAAAACGGTGGATATATGGCTATATGTGGTGTCAGGTTGCATTTCTCAATATTGGCTCTCGAGCACGTTACACAGGTGTTTCTGTTGTGCAGCATGGGCCAACGCCCCTAAAACAGGATCTTGCACCTTCTTACCTTTTTTTTTTACAAATCTTGAAACTGTGATTTATCTGGATTTCTGCATATTTATGATTGTGAGATGAGTGTTTGCTGTGTATATTGAGAAAAGGAAGCTGCAACTGTTATATAGGCCTACACCTATTCACTCTTGCACAGCAGACCTTCAAAAAAATCCTACTTTTTTGAGTGTTTAAATGTTGAGTTTGTTGTTGAAACACAGTTAAATCTTTAAATGTAATGTTTGTCGTCATTTTGAATGCGCTTGTTGAGTTGTTGCAAGTGTTTTTAACATTTTTGTACACAGTTTAACTTTAGTAAACTTACAACACTTCATAATGAAATACAGAGCTTTCTATGACACTTCATAATTAGTTACGTCTGTGGAAAATACACACAATACAAATAAAACATGTCAGTGAAGACTACAGCCACAATGGTTAGTTGATTAATCAACTGATCAATCAATAGACGATAAAGCGGCAACTGACCTGAAGCTATCTTATTTTTGCAAAAAGAAGCTTTTCACAACATGCTACAACTTTCTATCAAGCGTAGCGTTGATTTAACTTGTTTCCAATTTAGATTTTTCCAAAAGCACACATTAAAGCAAAAGACAGGTGGATTTAACCATTTGTTTTGCTTGATGTAACTAATAAACTGGCTGCTTTGTGTAGTTCGTGATGCTATGCTTCAGTGGGACAGTAGTTATATTCAAGGTCAAAGCAGGGTAAACAAGTGGCCTAAACCTCTCCACATTGTTTGTGCACATCGCTCCAGCAGTCCCTGAACGCATGACTTGTTCCACATTGTTTACACGCGTCCACACACAGAGAGAGGCAGGCTTGGATGCAGATTTGCTTGAGTGGGTGCGGTTGAGCTTTGCTGTGAATCCTCTGAGCGGTCCATCTGTGAGCTCTGTGTCTACAGCGTCAGGAAGGTGGAAGCCCGGGGAGGAAGGAAGAAGGAAAAAAGAGGCAGGCTATTAAAAGTTTGTGTTGTCGTGTTAATGACAGACCCAGACCTTCTTCTCTTGTTGTACTGTTACGGTTCAAAAGAGAAACTTGGCAATCACCTCATGTGTGACCCCCTGGGGTTTCAGTATAGTAGCTTTAACTCACCTTCTCTCTTGTTTTTTTCAGCAAGAGGAGGAGTGTCAGTGCATACCTCAGCCAGCTGAAGGTAAGAGGTTAAGCAAACCACCTCTTGTGTCCCTCTCTTGTTTTCAACATATTTTCCATCCTCGCCCATTAAAAATCCATGTACAGGAAACATGCAGAGTAAAAATGATCTCTGCTGTGTATTGCAGATGTTCGGTGGTCGGAAAGACATGGACTCATTAAAGAAGGAGCTGGAGGAGGAGCTGAAGCTCAGCACTGAGGACCTGAGGAGCCATGCATGGTACCACGGACCGCTGAGCCGAGAGGTGCTCAATGGACCATTCTGTTCTTGCTGTATTTTCTTTAAAAAACATTGTTCACACACAAATTGAAGGAAACTGTCTTATTTAAGTTAGGAACTGTGCTTGTGCTCTCTCAAAAAAAGATTCATGTACATTCAAATTAGTATAAGATATGTGAACAAAATAATTAGTTGGATAAATACTTTTTTCACCTTTTCACCTCCTGAGTTAGCTGGAACCCAAATAAAGTTAGCTTTACTAAGCATCCAGAATGTAAAGAGGGGGAAACAGCTGGCCTTGCTCTGTCCAAATGTTGCCAAATATGCCTACAAGCACCTCCAAAAATCTCTGGTAATATTTCAGTGATCGTATCTACACATAACCCCCTTTTTTTTGTTGTTTTTTTAGACTTTTTTTTGGGCTTTTTGGGCCTTTAATGGAGAGATAGGACAGTGGATAGAGGTGGAAATCAGGGAGAGAGAGTAGGGAATGACATGTGGGAAAGAAGCCACAGGTGGGATTCAAACCTGGGCTGCCCGCTTGGATGACCATAGGCTCCATACATGGGGCGTACGCACACTAACAACTGCGCCACCAGCGCCCCATAACCACCTGTTTTTATTTTTGTACACATTAAACAAGCAGGCAAAATTCTCATTTTTGATAAGGGCACCTAAGATGCCACTTGTATCCAGTAACTTTGCTAGTTTAAACTAATGGCTGATGCTCTGGCTAAATACAAGTTGCAGGAGTATAAGGTAGACATAAAGCTAAAGTTAATAAAGTCCAGCCCACTGTCCAGCTTTTTTACATTTAAAGGAGTTAAATGGAATTGTAATTGGAATGGAATTTGTTTTAGTTTTTTACTACATTAGTTTAAGCACAGCTGAGTTTATTTACTTCACACACATAAGAGTGCTGTCTTGTTCTCCTCTTATTATAATCAGCAATAATAATCATCAGCAAGAAAGCAAAATAGTCTTATTTCTCAAGATATAAATTTGTAACCATTTCTGCCCTCTGGCCAGCTTAAACTGGGCATAGTATGATGTCAACACACACACAGTGGACCTTCTTGCCTATCATAAACTCCCTCTTCATCTCCAGGCTGCAGAGTCTCTGTTTGAGAGGGATGGAGACTTCCTGGTACGAGACTCCAGCTCTGCCCCTGGTGACTATGTTTTGAGCTGCTTTTGGAAGAATGGGCCCTTGCACTTCAAGATCATCAGAGTGATCCTTCGTCCTAAAAAGGTCTGTCTGTGTTTTGTCTATCAGTGCATGGGGGCTGAGGGATGGTTCACTAGATGTTCAGATGATTACTAAAATGCCAAACATTTAGTAGTCCCTGTTTTTTTCAGAGTATGGATGTTAAGCCTTTTCTCTTTTTACAATGTTGTTTTTGGTCTAGGGAAGGAGGTAAGAAAAAACAAACAATCTGAAAACGTCACCCCGGGCCTGGGGAAATAGCAATTGCTATTTTTTTCTACTATTTTCTGACATTTGCTAACAATCAAAGAAAGGTTTAAATTATTACAATTAAGTTGAGGCTAAAGTTAAGGCTAAAATAACTTTACTTTTTATTATTTAATTAAAGTACTTGTATTTAAAGACATATATTTAAAATTGTTTTAAAAATAAGCTGATATTTCTTATACTCTTGCCACCTCATGTATGCAATTCAGTGCAATGCAAACAGTATTAAACCAAGCTTTTAACACACTTTAACGTTGGCATTGTAATATCACAACTTATTTATTTTATAATTTTGCTGATTCTAAATTAGGGCTGAGATGATAAATTGTATTGGGTTGCACTGGTAAAATATTTAAGATAACAAAGATTTTGTAGATCTGCTGAGTGACAAAGATATAATTGTTCAGAAAATAATGAAGATGAAGAGAAAAGTCTATGCATCTTTTTAATTCTTTTTTGTAACTCTGGGTTAGTATTGTAATATCAACTACAAATTGCAACAACTTCATGCCTTGCTAGTATTTTTACACTCTTGGGTTAGAGTATCTGTTGCTGAAAGTGTTTGTTATTCTATCCCTTCAAAGGCCCTGGTTGATATTGTGTGTTCCTCCATCTATGTGACAGGGCTACTCTCGGGAGCTGTTCCAGTTTGAGGAGGATCGCTTTGACAATGTTCCTGCTCTGATCCGATTCTATGTGGGCGATCGGAGGCCCATCTCCCAGGCCTCAGGCGCTGTGATCTTCCATCCAATCACACGGACCCTTCCTCTACGTGTCATAACCGAGCGACATGTTGAGCACAAAAGCAGCAGCAGCAGTAGCAGTAGAGGCACAGGGGCGGAAAAACGTCGCAGCCTCAGCTATGCACACACAGACGCTCTGCAGGTCATCAATCCACTGCTAAGGTGGGAAGAAGTAGTGCACATGTATAGTGCTGAAACACAATGCATCTGTAAATACACAAGTAATGCTGATGGCCTTCATTTTGGCAGGAGTGGAAGTCAACCTGCAAACTTGGAAAATGTTGGAAGGAGACCTTCACTACAGTCTGCACAATCTGACAGCAACCTAAGAACTGGTATACTATCATAAATATGTCAACCTTTACGATATTCAAATATTGCTGTGACCCCTAACCCCTCATGTCTGCTTGATGCAGCGCTCTAACAGCTATCAGAGACATTTATTCAATATCAGCTTGTGTATCCAAAGCATGAATTTCATTGGGCAATGCATTATATATTTACCAACAGTTGGCATGAAATGAAAATGTAATCATACCTTTTCTCTTTCTTTCTATATTTGTCTATATCTACATACAGAAACAACAAGTCCTCCTCTGTTGATGTACAATGTACAGTGCACAGTTAAGAAATTAACATGAATACAGCTTGCTGTTAGTTTTGTGCAGCCATATGGGATCTGTTGTGACATAAATTATAAATGAGCTAAAACAGTTTTCAGTGTGCTTGTAAAACATGAGAACATCTGGATATGTGGCTGCTAAGGACTGGAGAGAGTTCCTAAACTAATTCCAACAACACTTTCTGACATTTAAACCATGTAAAAGAAATGTTGGCAAGCAGAATGTATCCAATCCCCTGTTTAGAGTCACACCTGATTAAACCATATTTTATTTCCAGAATGGATTTGAGAAGCCATTGAAGTGTAACGGTAAAAGGAATCCTTACATTTCTGTGTCGTGTATGGTATAACGTCCTGCTGATTCTCTTCTCATCCAGGTGTTCCACAGAAAACTCAGTCAGAGGACACATGCCCCGTCCCAATTTCTCCTGTGTTTCGTACAGGCAGCGAACCACTGCTGAGCCCACGGCCAAAACACACACGGCCCTTGCATCCAGGTAACTTGCACACACATTTGAAATCTTTATTTATGTTTTTTATTATATTTTTTGCGGCCTTTTTTGCCTTTTTATTAGGTAGTGAAAAAAAAGAAGCTGAAAAGAGACAGGAAATGTTGGGAGGAGAGAGTGGGGGTAGACAAGCAGCAAAGTGCCAAAGGCAAAGGAACCCACTGCTGCTGCAATGAGGACTACAGCCTCTTTTTAACTAATTTCTCCATCCAATTTTTATTTCTGGCAATGTGCAGAGGTGGGTTTTTTTTTAATCAAGCACGAGACCTTTATGTAGGGAATTAGGGCCGGCGTATTTCTCTTTCTGTCATTAGGCCGTCACTTCATTATAGTTTCCTAGTGTTCTGGAAAAAATGGTCTATTCTTTTACTAATGACAGGTATTCAAGAGACAAAGTTCTGAGATAGACATTTTAGTTCTGTGAATAAAGCTGTCAAGCAGTTCTCTATTTTCAGCAGAATGTATAATTGGTATAACATTTAGCAGCATTTAGCATATAATTGATCAGGTTTCCATGAGAAATACAAGTAAAAGACAAGGTGTTACACTCATGCGTGCAGTGTTTATGAGATCCTGGTTATGACCAGAGGGGACTAGTTGCAGTCCAAAGGCAGACTCTTTATACAAGTGTCTGCGAATAAGAGAGCAGCTTCAGGGTTCAAGTAAGAGTGTGTAAAGGACTGCCATTAACACACACATAACTCCATCTTCCGTCCCTGCAGGAGGTGGTGTAACTTTGCGAGGTTCAGATGGACAGCTGCACCCCAGAGCTCCTCCTAAACCTCTCAGGGTCTCTGCTATCTTTCCCAACGCTGTCCCTCCCCCGCCTAAAGACCGGGACAATGACCCCTCCTCCTTCTACGATGAGCTGGTCATCCAGGTGAAGAACTCATCAAGTCCCTCCCAACTCAGTTGATCATGTGTTTCTTTATCACGTTTCTTTATAATTGGAGAAATGAGGAAAGGCTTACATTTTATCTGGAAAATCTTCTACGATGAGCTTATGTTCAGTCGCTCTGTCATCCAGCTTCCAGAGTCCAGGCTTAAAGGTCATGTGGACAGACTGCGAGCAGAGGAGAAGTGGCAGAGCCGCGCTCGCCTCACAGAGACTTCTTTCGGCTTTCTGGAGGCACAGCAGCAAGAAGCATCGTCACAGCTGCCGTCGCTACCAAAGAAGAAGAACGCAGTTGAAGACTGGCATTTTGAAAAGCCACATGTATGTACAATATTCTTTTTTTGTTTTGTCTTTAAATGTTTATTGGTTGAATTCCTCTAACAGCGATTGATTTCCATGAATTTCTTCATAATATAAAAATGAGAACTTTGTAATTCATTGAAGTTCTGTAATTATGAAACAACTTATCATATCTGCATTTATTTTGGTCTGATAAAAAGGTCAGATTGAAGATATCTTCAGCATTAAATATCACAGAGGGTCAGTTGTGTACAACCGTTGTAACATCCGTCTTACACCGTCACAGGTGGAGTCAGAGTCATGCTTCCAGTTGGATCAGTTTAAGTCGCTGCTCTTACCAGACAACAACCGACCACTGGAGCCAAGCGTCCTGATTTCACTCAAAGAAATCTTCAACCGCTCAAACGCAGAGACCACTGCTCTGCACATACTCAGTGTTGACTGCCAGGTACAGCTTAAATGTTTGTTAACCGACTATGTCTGTTGTTTCGCACTAATAAATGCATTGCAGAACAAAGTTGAAACATCATATCATGCTTCCCCTATACATTATAATTCATATTCTTCCAGATAACATATATATTATGACCAATCATATTTTGTATTTTTGATCCAGAACATGCCTTAAATTGTCCAACCGGCACTTCCTGCTACTTAATACGCCTCTGGAGCTGAAGCTATTTGGAGCTATTTGATTTACTGAAATGAGTCGTACTACACAAATATGATATATATTAAAAGTAAGGGATTATTTTTCACTTCTGTCTTTCACTGATGTCCACATTTTATGGCCCACGTATGGCCCTGTTAACTGATTGAATATAGTTTTATGATAATCCTCCAAATCGCCTACACCACTAACAAACTCAATTCTCATCCTCCTTCCTTTACATGATTTCTTCATTGTATTGTTTTTACTGTTTTGTTCTGTTGTTCTTTGTTAAGTGGCTTTGAGTACTTAGAAAAGTGCCGTGAAAGGCTAATGTATTATTGTTATAATTATTATTATTAACTGGAATTAAAATCTAGAATTCGCCATTGTTGTTTGTCTTGCAGGTTGCACGCATAGTTGGGGTGACTGATGAACAGAAGACGATAATGGGAGTCGGATCTGGGCTGGAGCTTGTCACTTTACCGCATGGACACCAATTACGGCAGGATTTGTTAGAAAGGTACAAAAAATGTGCTTGATTTAATTTGTGCAGGTTTTGATTTCCATATGTATTTTGAGATGAGTCCGCTCTCTACAGTGGATAAGCCACCTAAAAGCTTTATTAACAGTTTTCTTTGGTAAACTGTAGTTCTGTTGATTGTACATAGTAAGTGAAATTACTGACAGAAGTGTTGCTGCTTTCTTTAAAATGCATTGATGTAGTTTTGTGTGCACGTCTACTGTGTTGGGTTCGCTGTAATGAGGGGAGAATATTATTCCCCCTCTGTATCGTCTTCGGAGTAGTAACAGAGGTGTTACAGGGGCAAGACAAGAACAGCAGAGTCAGCAGGGGAGGGAGTTTGTGATGTCTGGCTGTTTGTGTATGCGGAGCACCTGCTGAGCTGTGCTCCTGCAATGCCAAAACCCAATGTGAATCCACAGACTGGGACAAGAATATTCTGCCATCGCAGAATCAATATGAATGTACAAAGACGTAATGACAGCTAAAAAGCAGTCTCTAAACTACTCTTTATCAAATTTCCTGACCACACACTCCTCTAATCCGTTAATCTTTCATTTTGTAGGCATCATCTAATAGCTCTGGGCGTCGCAGTGGATATCTTGGGCTGCACAGGCACTGTGGGCCAGAGGGCGACTGTTTTACATAAAGTAATCTCATTGGCTAAGGCCCTGAAAGACCACGCACATGACCTCTACTCCTTCTCAGCCGTGATGAAGGCTCTCGAGATGCCTCAGGTGCTATCACTGTAAAGAAAGGCGCAATTTAAGCAAACTCGGGTGAAGTAGAAGCCGGATGAGGCTTTCCAATACACTACTTATTTATGTGTGTACATGTGCGCAGATAATCCGGCTGGAGATGACTTGGCGAGCGCTGAGGAGGAACCACACTGAGACTGCAGTTTTGTTTGAGAAGAAACTCAAACCATTCATGAATCTGCTGAACGAGGGAGATGGTGAGTGGTTGATTTAAAAGAGGGGCACATGATATTACTTTACCTTCATTTGACAGATGCTTTATAAGGGTGTTTTTCCTTGGTTTTATACAGATTTAATTAGTATGAATGCAGAAATTAGTCAGACTCTTGTTTACAGATTGGAAATGAAACCCCTCTTAATAAACAGCTCAAGCTAGTGCTTGGGGCTTAGGGCTTGTTTGAAGATATTGATTGGAGGTAAATCCTGGCCTTTTATGTCCGTGTGTAGAAAGATTCTAAGTAGCAGTCAGTTTCTTTGCCTGCTGAAAAAAAGCTACAGTTTATATTGATCTGGTACTTTTGACTGTCTGCTAGACTTCAAACAGCTTCTACTTAAGCCATTAACAGCTTCATTCAACTTTGACCACATATGCATCGATACCAAAAGAGGCGGAAAAAAATACTCCAATAGAAGTGCAAAAAACTGCAGTTCCTCAAGTGTCCACTTGAGGCTGGCTTTAGAAGCTGAGGAATCTCTATTAGTTGACATTAAAATGCCAATGTTTTATAACAGAAATAAGTTATTCCTGCTTTTAATAATATGGCTTTTTCTGACATTTTTAAACATGGTTATTTTAAATAACAAACATTTGCATAAGTAGGGGTCTGGCTGAGTTGACTGAAAGGTGGACACGTAGTAGTTTCCCAGGAGCCACCTCTTTGACTGTTTCTAGATTGAACAGGAGTTAGGTTGAGTCATTTTCAATATGACAGCCACCATCATTGGGCTTCAGAAATCCGTGGGTGAAGTCACTGAGACTACATCCATGTTTTACGGTGCACTCACATTAGCAAAGTTGTCCCGTACCGTGCTTAAGCACGATTGTCCTAATGGGCCCCTTGGCAGTTTGCATAGCAGCACCACATCATTGTATGAACACGCATGAGGCTTCAAAACCCCAATCCACAAAACAATTTTTGGGGTTAGAATGGCTACTTTAATTTTTATTATTAATTATTAACTTTATTTACAGTCTATGATTAATAATCCCATTGGATGTGTGGCCAGAGTGAAAGGGGCTATATGTAACTTTCAAAATACTGTGTTTGAAGTGATACCGCATGGCCGTTAGGCGAACTGCACCAGTAACCTGTTGCTCGCTCTCCCTTGTGTGCTCGTCATACGTGCTCGTACGTACACAAACGAGCATCATCATCAGCCGCGAAACACTGGATATTTACTGACATAATGTTTACAGTGGAGGTAAGTGGTCATACACATGTGAAAGTCTGTGAAGGAGTCTGTGTGTCTGTATTCAGTCTCGGCAGGCACTGGCTGAGAGCAGGAGTGTGTGATGAGTTTGTCCACCTTTGAGAGCTCTTAGGGGGGATAGAAGTGTGTGGAAGGCGGCCTCTGGCTGTTGAGGTGAAGAACAGGAGTGTGTGATGAGTTTGTACTGTTGATCTCTGTAAGCGGAGTGGAGTGAGGAGGACGTTGAGAACGTGCATAAAATGTCACTTCCTGGAGCTTTCGGAAAATAAGACCCAGGGAAAGGTTTTATACACAGTGAACATCTACTTTTTCACATTAGGTAACCGTTCGCTTATTAATGGGCGATAAAAACGATTTATACATGTAAAAAGTTGCATATAGCCCCTTTTAAGTAAGTGAAGTTTTTGAGTTAAAAATAACACCTGTTAAACCAAACAGGCTTAATATACAAAAAACAGAGCAACCCAGCTCTTTAGGTGTGAATCTCTATTGTATGTATTTTACTGAAACTTACGAGAACTAAGTGTTTACATGTCTTTCTGTAGACTCTGCAGTGCAGGGTCCCATAGCTGTTCCACACCTAGTTCCTCTGCTGATGGCGATGGAAGGGGAGGACCCCGTGGAGAACAGCGAGCAAGGCTGTCAACTCCTCTATGACCTCCTTCAAACAGCTCGCAGTGCCGCGCTGCATGCACAAGATTATCAGCAGCACGCACACTCTCTGCTCACAGGTATAAGTGTCTTTGTACAGTGAAGTTCTTGCTTTTCTCACACAGTGATTAGCAATGGGCACCATGAAAGAACTTAAATGCAATATTTTCTTAGATCTCTATTCTGTAAGGTTTGTTAATTCAAGTATTCCAAGTAGTTCAAGTTTGCTCCAGATTCACCAAAATTCTGCTAGCTGCACAAACTTAATCATATGTTTTGAGCATAAACAATTTCCTCAAATTTCTTTGTCTCTTCATCCAAAGAAAAAAAAAAAGGGGGTTATGTCTCCCACAATGGAGCCTCAACTAATGCAGTTGGAAGCACCAAAGAAAAACTGTTTGCTTTGTCAGTTGTGGTTCAGTTTTAGAGAACCTGAAACAGTAAATATTTATAAGTGGTTGATAACATGTGATTACAGTTTCTGACTTTGTCAGAATAGAAAACACAAGTAATGTAGATGCTAAAGAAATCCCCTTTTAGTAAAAGTGAAAGATTAAGAGTGTGTGACAGTCACAGAAATGGGGAGAGAATATTTACTGTCTGTTAGCATCAAGGAAATCGTGCTACTCTCATAAGAAATAAAACACGGGGTAGCTGTTGGATTGAGAGAATAAGTGATGTAACTAATACAAATTAAAGTTTAAACACAATGATATGATGAACAAAAAGCTAAATTTGTCTGTTATTTAATAATTTTGTTAAGCTAATGGGGTAATGTGTTTGGATTAAAGCATTATTCTGAAATTTCTAAAACAAAGAAGTGTTTTTCCTCCTGTGGAGAGATGCTCCAACAAGCCTTAACCTCTCATGAGTGTGTTTTTACCTTCAAGAAAATGTAAAATGTAATTCAAAAACCACAATAATTTCTCTTTGGACAAAACAAATCTGTCCAGACATTAAGTTCTGCCATGAGGCCAATGGTGAGTTAGTTTAAAAAAAAATAGCTGTAAGATAAAAGATTTCTGCTTAAAACTTGTGTACATGTTAAATAACATAATTTTTTTTTTTGTACCTGATCTGATCCTTAACACTGCTCTATCACCAGGCTGGGAGCCAACCCCAGAGCTTTTGGAGGCTTTCCGGACAGAGTTCGTTCTGCGGCTTTTCTGGGGTCAGTCTGGAGCGGCGGCTGACAGAGAGGAGCGCTACCAGAAGTTTGACAATATTCTTTGTGTCCTCTCTGACAAACTGGAACCTGTGGAGATTCCCCCACATGAGCCTGAGCCTTTAACCTGAACCTCAGGAGTAAGAGGTTTTCTCTTCCCTGGAGGAAAATAAGAAGCGGGTACCAAAGACAGAGATTCCCCCTCCCCCCCTTAGATCACACAGTCATAAAGAAAGGTTTATCATTGAGATGTGAGAGAAGTTGGGAAAAGCTTGACTTATAAAAGAATGAATCACATCTGAGGTTGGTCCACCCTGCAGTCCTTTGTTGTCAAAGGGTTGTGTTGGAATCATTCTGAAATCTGGGAATGCCCGCCCATCTGTGCATCTGTTTATCTGCATCTGTTTACTTCTACGAACGTTTACTATGACACTTTTTACCAATCCAAATCACTTGTTCGATAGGCTTCATGAGATTCCCAAGGACCAACATGAACATTATTAAAACATAAGTTTTGTTTTGACATAAACTGCTGCTGTAAGGAACCACACTGGAAATTGTGTTTTTTATTTCAGTGTTTTAAATGAAATAATTGTAGTTATTTCTTTGCATGCAATATTTTTCATAAAGAATACAGTAAAAAATCTTAACAGATGGCTTTTCTTCTTTTCACCTTCTAACTCAAATGATACATGTCAATACATACAATTCACTTTTTAATATCATACAATAGAAACCCTTAAGTGTTGAAAGGACAGCGTGGTGGAGAGAGACCGGTTAACATTGTATGGCTCAATGAGGACATTCCCTCTATGAATGTGTTCTACTTATTGTTGTACTGTGTTTCATTGCAGAGTAGACAAATGTCTTAAAATGTATCTGCTGAAGCAGGATAGTTTCCCTGTGCTCACTTTAAATCTGAGCTCAAGCCATGAACAAACCATTGTCTTAATACACAAGTGTGAAGTGGAAACTTACTGTAGACCCTCTTGTGAAATTCAACAAAAAGCAGCATTTTGAAGAGAAATATTTTAGCAAGGGAGGTGGATGAGATGTTAAGAAATTGACTCTTCGTATAAAAACAAATCAGACACGAATAACTAATTAAAGAGGGTACTTTTGTCCTAAAATATTTCTAGAGTGGATCTACACTCAGATGTTAAAAGCATTCAATCATATTTAACATCATTCTTCGCAGAGATCTTGTGAGGATCTGAATCTGAAACTCTTTGTCAATAATTCCAAATATTCACCCAATGGCCATTTACAGAGGATTAGAAAAGGCCAATCAGAACAAAGTTCATGGTCTTTTTTTCTCATTTACCTTTCATTGAACTTTGATCATTATTGCTATTGTGCTATTTCTTCCATATTTGTTTCTTTAATTCACAAAAACAAAACATTTTGTGCAAATTTGCTTTAGCAGAGAAATTGTAATTAAAGTACAGAGTTATAAGGTTAGGTTCACATTCTTCTTTAAACTATTCACACATGCCAGGATGTAGTTTAACAGTTTTCTTGCTTGCCTTAATAGTTCCTCCTGCTCTTACGGGCCATTTAAAGTTCTTTAAACACTTAAAATGCAGGTGATAGGGATTCAAACTCACAGCTGTCCTTCTGTGTGAACATAAATATATTCAAAAGCTTATTTGAAACTTTATCACTCAGATTCAGAAGGCATCTTTCAGAGTCTTAAATATTTAATCTGCTATAAAATTAAGCCAACAAGGAAATGCACAAAAGTGCAGTTCTTCAAATGGCCACTTGGGGCTGGCTTCAGTAGCAATCCCCATAGACCTCCCATGTTAAAAAGTTAACTAAACAGCTGAAATACACGCTTACAGCCATGTACAACATCAAAAAAGTTTGGTCCCTATAGCTAATTTCTACATTTATGACAAATGTACAGCGGTTGAATGTTTATTTGACTCATCATATCTACTACTCATCTGATTTGAGCCAATAAACTAAACCTTGTTGTATCTAGCCGTTATTCCAAGTAATGTCATCCCTGGTTCCAAAAAACCAAGACAGCAGCAGGCAAAATGTCGAAGACAGTAGGAAATTATATCGGCACTATTTACTATTTACCTAAGCAAACTTTACTTGCTGCTGTTTTAATAGACTGAAATTACAAAACTAGACTGGATTTAACAGGACTGAAACATTTAAAGGTTACCTGTTTCTGAACATGTTCTCTGTTGGAACCATGTGAGGGATATTTTGATCTGCAATAGTGGTTTGTAAAACAGTTAAGACTTGAACCCCCATGATCCCACACTACTAACATTTTGTTTTTATTGAGAGACCACACGGTGTCTGAAAATGACTGTGCATATTGGGGGTAAATGGAGGCGTTTTACATTTCCAGAAATCCCTGTCTAGCAGTGGTTTTCATCAAGTTACACGTCATATAACGTCAACACTCCACGATTAAAAAAAAACCCTCATATTATCCTGTCAGTAAAAGCTTTTTGTAGAAGGTTAGTGTAACAAACAGAACAAGTTCAGCACGTTATTAGAAGTGGCAATGGGAAAGTCAAGTTAGTGGATATACTGACATAACAAAAATGCAGTTGATTATGAAACAGGCGTCGTCACTAAACACAGTGACAAGAAGTTCAGGTATACATTCAAACGTTTGGTTTTTAACAGAGCTGAAATCTAGAAAGATCAGAGAGGAATGACCATCTTTGTTAGGAGACAGACTTTGCTACTGAAGAGGGACAAAGCACGGCGTGTGGGATAATTGCAGTCAGCCTTGATAACAAGCTTTATAATCACTCACTTTCATCTCACCATACACGTCACTGGCCGAGGTAAAAGATGGAGAGAACAGCTCCAATTATCGTGGATGACTTTGAATTCACCTCTGACTCTAAACTTTCCACCACAAGCTCTAAGTTTATGTGATGGTGTCAATGTTATGGGCCAACTTTCACATAGGATGAAGGTATATAGCCCTCTTCTCCACTGGATCTAAGGACTCTCATCCACCCATCTCCTTTATCCTCTTCCATTATACTCAACAGCTCTCCCTCAGTAATGGAAACTGTGCCCTCACTGTGGCCTGCAGAAAAAACACACAAAAAAGACTTGTATGAAGGACTCTAATACAATATATTTATGAAGGAGTTGAGTATAAATACTATAATGTACCTTCAAATGTATACAGAGCCGTGCACTGGCCGATAGGAGTTTCTACGTCGTCAAACTCGTCTTCAAATTCTGTGTAGATGTTCTGAGTGGGGTTAGCCGCGACAACACTGAAAATACACAAACAGACAAACGTATTGACATTAAAATCAGGATGTAATTTTGCCCATCCAGAGAAACAGGGAGTGCTGATAGCCTTCCATTCCTTTAGAATGATTCTCTGAGCCACTAACATACCGAGCATGAGGGTCTCCTGCACAGTATGTGGTAGTGTAAGATAACCAACCAACCAACCAAAACAACTCAATCAATGCATCAGGTTTAATCTTTAAATCATACATTTTACAGTACTAGCTAAAGACGTCCTGCCAAAAAGGGAAAATCTTAGGACAAGACTGAAAACCAGGACAGTACCCTTTGCTATATGGCAGCCGTCGCAGATTTCAATCACATCAGCATACATTTAGTTCATCTTTTCTTTAGAATAGTGTAATCTATTAATAATTAGAAACTGAATAAATTGTAACCTAGCATTAATTGAACCTTAGTGGATCTTTTCCTCCCTCCACACCACCTCAGGCCACTCCCCCATAAGATCAGCCTTCCAGGTGGTTTTGATGTGATCAAACAATACAGTATTCATGTTGGGAAATAATGAAACACATTTTGAGAAGAGATTTCAAGAATCTGACTGCTTCTTCATTAATGCAAAAAAAAAAAAAATTATTGGGAAAGCTTTAATTTTTTTTTTTTATTATTCTTTATAACATTTCTGACTTGTAAATAACAGAGGAAAAAAAGGGGCTTGCGGAATGGAGAAAGTTTCTTCCAGCTCTATAAAAGATGCAAAAATATTATTAATATACAGGTCTGCAATGATTTTAAGTCCTTCATCCTGTCTGTGAATAATGGCTTGGTCAGATTTGGATGGACCTACAGTAAATCTTTTGTGGAAAACAGGAGAGCTGAAAGAGAACTGTCTCACTGCTTGGGACTCAAACTGCAGCCATTTGGGTGTAGGCCTATAATGGAGCACACTTGTTTGGGGGGAACTGGTCCTGTCAATAAGGCTCTTGCATTAATTTCTGAATAATAGTTTTGGACTATTAGGAGGGATAACACCCCCGGTTTATTGGATTTTTGTGAGTTTTATACCCCCAAACAAATTGCAATATAACTGAATCAAGGTTTTAATAACAATGACAGGGGAAGCTTAACTGGAATGTTGTGGCAACAATCTCCTTAACCTAAAGTTGTCTAACTGAATACAAAATTGTTCTTATATAAGAGCATCAGGTTCACAGGAATAGACTAGCCTAAATAGGTGGACTGCTCCAAAGTGAAGAGATTCAAGTAAAAGTGGATCCAAATTTGAATGTCAGAGGAATAAATGTGCTCTCCCTCCAGTTAACTGAATAGCCAGAGAAGCTGCCAGAGCAGTTGATTAATGAGAGAAGTGGAGGGAGGAATGATGGGGGATCCGACAGAAAAATCAATAAATCATCCTCGCACAGAGACATTTTACATTTGATATTACCCACCTTTACTCCCTTAAATGAAGTCTGCTGCCTGATGCTGATGGCCAAAGGCTCCAGTGCTAGATTAAACAGCAGATGACTGGCACAGCCTGCCTTGTCCTGCGCTTGAGGTTAAAGGGTACTGACCTATTACCAGTAGTAAGAGTAGCGGACTTTTGGCAAGTGTACAGCATCTTTATGAGTGATAAAACCAAATTCACCAAATCCATAACATCTCAAAACTTACATACATACACCTCCATTTGATCTGATCAAATGAACATTCTGCATCCAGTGAGATAACTAAAGGCGTACTGTTTACTTATATTTAGCATACATTATATTGAATAATTGCCTGGTATTAAAAAAAAGAAAGAAAATCTACCAGACGTGAAGCCATTTAGGTCAGGATGTATTCGCGAGGGAATCTGTCTACCAAGTCTAGTGGCCAGCATCTTTGCCAACACAGAGATCAGAGTCATCCCTTCCTTTTTTTAAGCAGCCAATTAGATAAATATAAGCCTCGAAAAAGGACTATGAAACGGTTTTCTTCTCAGTGGAGTGTGTAATCATTCTGAACAGCAAGGGGGTGGCCTGATCACAGTAGGACTTTTTTAAACTGTGCACCAAACCCCTCTGGGCCTGCTGCCTTGCCGCTAGGAAATTATTTAATTGCCTCTTTAATTTGTCTGATAGTGAACTCAGAATCTAAATCAATTTAGGCAGATTCACTGATTTTAGGTAGATCGACAGAGTCTATGAATTCCTCTATATCATCATCTGATGCATTATAATTAGACATATATAGTTGTGCATGGAGATCTCTGAAATAGTTATTTATATCTGGAGGATTGGGTAAAAAATCCCCTGATGAGGTCTTAGTTTTGGAAACAGACCTGCTCACCTGGGTTTCCCGCAGTTGCCTGGCCAACAATTTGCCTGTGTTTTCATTCAATGCAAATTGCTTTTGTCTCATCCTCAGTATTTGCTTGTTTACCTGCTCACTCAAGATTGTGTTATATTCATTCTTCAATTTCAAGATACTATATGAATCTTTCATGGACAGAGAGGATATGTTTTTTCTGCTTTATCAAGCCGTGACTTAATTTCTTCTTCCACCTTTCCTTCTTTTTGGCAGCTTCATATGCAATCATTTTGCATCTTAGTACAAACATGGCCACAATGTAGAATCGGACACAGAACTATTATCATTCACTGTCCAAAAAATTAATCCATTACGGCTTTCATTAAATTTTGAAAATTATTATCTTGCAATAATTAAAGGGTGAAGCGCCAGGAATAGAAATTCCTCAGAAAAGACACATAGGTAAATAAACATGGTGAGAGAATGACTCATTAAATGAATAAATCCCAGATATTTTGTTTGCAGTACATTCGAGATAAGCGAAGAGTCCATTATAAAATAATCAATACAAATGTATGTTTTATCAACACGAGAAGAAATGAATAATCTTCTTCTGCTGGGTGCTGTATTCTTCATAGATCAACTTAAATTAAAGGATTGAAGCTAATTATTCAGCGTGGCTACTGAATGACTAGAAGGAGGAGGGCAGGTGGATTGGCGGCTGAGATAGAGATCAAGGTAAATATTATAATCACCACCTATAATCAAATTAGTAGAATTAATTTCTGGTAACAAATTAAAAACCTTTCGGGTCATCTATATTAGGTCCATCAATATTAAGACAAGTGGAATATTTGTAATTTCTCCTGAAATTATCAGATTCCTGCCAGAAGGTTCAGTGGTGAGATGAGATCATTGAAATGATACAGATTTCCTAAACAATATAGCGACCTCCCTAGCTTTAGATTAAAATGTGAATTGATAAATGTTAGAAAACCAGTAAGACCTCAGGCTGCTTCGAACAGAAGGCTTTATATGTTTTTCTTGTAAGAATATAACATCAGGCGACAGATTTCCACGGAGCCCTTGGAAAAAGTAAAAAAAAAAAACCTTACGTGGCCAAGTTAATATTTTGTAATGTTAATGTTACTGCTGCTTCTGGTTCTACTACTGCGTGTTTTGTGGCTGGTTGGTACAAAAATAAAGATGTTCGTTAACATATAAGGAGCAAACATGATATTGGATCCATTCTGTCAACGCACTCCTTTAAAAACACGTCTTACCCATGTTGAGTGTTATTGTTGATGGTGTTGGCAGCTTCTTCTCCTCCAACTGCTTCCGACAGCCACGTCTTTAACAAACCAGCAAAAGAAGTTAAGACCTGCGCAATGCATATACAAGTGATCTAATTCTTTATGCACACAATCTTAAGCATGTGTATGTGCGTGTATTGACCTCATATTTTGTGAGGTCCCCCCTCAGGCGGCCGATGTTCTGGGAAGTTTCTGTGATCTGTGGCTCCAGACTGGAGGGGTCTCCCATCTGTGGATTCTGCTCGTACACACCCTTCATCTTCTCCAGAGCATCACTGAGGTCAACCAGGGGGAGAAATGTGTTATTGTTTTTGAAAAGGGAGCACACATTAAGGAAGTTTGCAGTTAAGCTCTTCCTTAACAAAGAAAACTGATTCTTTTGCAGACCTTGCTTTTGTGCGCAGCAGTATTGTCAAATAGAAACAGGAAGCAAGTCTTCCCCAAACTGTTAAAATTAGGAAACACTATTGTTCACTAATTGAAACCAAGAGCCCAAGCCCATACCATTAAAACATTTCCGGCCAGCAAGAACACCAACAGAAGTTTGAGGACAACTTTGGCCACATAGGATACTATTGTCTGTATTTTGTGATAATTAAAACACGTTTACATCTTTCCTGTTGTGCAAACTTAAGGTTAAAACATTTGGTATTTATTTTTTTACACAAGCGAAGGAAGCATCTGTTTTAACAGCTGCACATTTTTAATCACATTTTCCCTTTTAATTCTACTGTCAATGAAATCGTGTAGCTGTCAAGTTCTCTTCGGTTCTAAAAAGAACGAAAACATATCAAGAAGGAATTTTTTTGTGGAAATGTATGGCCGCTAAGGTTAAATGAGGGGATACCTTTAGTCCAAAGTGCTTCAAACAACTTGCTTTTGATTCGGTTCAACAATGAATGCAGACCAACTCTCTACCTTTTCTTGTAATTTAACTATTCAAAAAGGGGTTCTGTGGTTTTTTTTGGGCTTTAGGGACATTTGTAATGCTGTTGGTGGTGTTTTCATGTTTTCACCTTTGATCCTGCGCTTTCTGCAGCTCTTTGGTGATGTCATCAATCTTCGCCTGCAGCCTCTTCTTCTGCTGCTCCGGAGGAAGATGAGAGAAATCTTCCGCAGCAGGTGGCTACACACCAAACACACACATTCACACCACATACACACATAATAAGTATCCCAAACGACATGTATACTTATCAGGAAGCACCACCAGATGTCACTCCTCCCTCTTTCTGTCTGTCTTTCCGATGATAATACATTATCTTCAGGGAACTTGTTAGTCAAGACAAACTTAGAGAACAATGTCATTATTCTGTGTCAAGGTAACAATTGCCCTTTTTAAAAAGAGTCACAGCTTTAATGGGAAACCAGAGAAATTACAGAGAGGGAGAGAGAGGAGCATGACTAACATCCCATGACAATACCACTGAATTGAATCTGTGACGTTATGGGTTGGTGCAGACATGTACAACGAAGAAGACTCTTTACCCCGTGATGCTTCACCCCGTGATGCTTCACCAATAGACATTCAAGCATTAAAGCTAGGTTTAAGATGATATTACCAGGGAACCTTGGAGGGACTATCTTTTTAGAAAGACTGGAAAAAATGTTCATAGTCTTTGTTTGGATTACCCGAGCTATCTGGGATACTCTTTTCTAAAAGGGAATGTTGTTGTTCATATGTTGAATGCAAATTTTAATTTATAATCTTCTCCATTGTAGTGGATTGAAACAGATATCTTAAAATGTGATGTGAACGGATGTCAGTAAGAATATGTTATTGAGTGGGATTAAGTTGGATGGTAGAGGCTCTGCTGTCAAACAAAACATATATTCTTGACATTGTTTGCATTTGAAAAAATCTGTCTTGCTTATTTGTTCTTAGAAGGGTATGGAAAGGTGTTTTGTAAATTAGTACGGCATCACAGAATAAAGACTTAGCTCTCTGTGATCTTGTTCTGAGACAGATAGAGAAGTACATATCACCTACCTTCATGAGAATATGCGTTTGATTTAATTTGATTGTACAAGAGTAATTGCAAACAGGTTAATTACCTTGCTAGCACAGGCAAATATTGGGGACTAAATGCACTATCAAACTGCACCAGTTGTTACAGGTGAGGTCATGTGAAGTCTGAACACACCTATATTTAAATGCAGCACAATTGAGTAGGCAAATTTAGGTGTTTAGTCTGATCAGTGGACACACTCACTCTGATGATAAGCCAAGTGATTTTTGCATCAGGTTGAACTTTTTATCTATGGCTGTTTTTTTTCAAAAAGAATGAACAAACAATCCAGAAAGAATACTGGAGAAAGCAGATGTGACTTTCTAGTGTTTGCAGGGTTCTGGTTTGTCTACATGACAGATTCATGACCATAGATGCTGTTTGTTTGGCAAAGGTGCATATCTATGTTACCAAGGTTCTATGTTCCCAAACTCAGTGTTCTTTTAATGACACATTAAAGAGACCTTTCAAATCATATTTATGTTTTCAGCAAAAACTTTGCTGGTCAAATGTGAAATGTTCGTTTATCTGCCAAAAAGTCAAAATAATCCACTTAAATTGTATAGCTTTCTGTTGTTATAACCAATTAATCCATTCCCTCCATTTTGCTAGCAAGACAGTTTCCTTGACTTTTGGCTATTGATAGACACCCACATTTATTCCTTCTTCATTTGTTTGTTCTTACCACCTGAGATGTGAAGATAGTTTATACATGCTTTTATTTCAATGTTAATGATCCTGGAAACATAGGTCCTGCAAATTGTGTAGCCCCTAGCATTTTGTGAAGTATTACATTGAATCACCCACACGGAGGTCAGTGCAGCATGGTCCTGTTTGCAATTACTCTACAAATTGAATTTTCCACTTGGAAAGAAAACCAGCACCAGAGTACTACATAAACACCTCTTAGTTCCACCTTCTATGTAACATTAGTAAGTGTTACCATGAGTTTTTCAGCATGCGTTATCTGGACAGAGAAAAAACGGACACTCAGTAGGTGCACAACAAACACAACTGGGAAACAAGCTTCTAGAATTACAAACATTCAAATGACGGCCATTTTGCTGTGACATCAAATTCAGAGAAAAGGAAGCTCAAATGCTGCTCGGAAAGATCCTGTGTGCTTATTTGCCAAGTCTAATCATTTTTCTGCTTTCTGGTTTATCAGTAGATAAAGAGACCATGGTGGTAAAACAAATTCTACAGGTCATATTTCAAGTTAAACAATAAACTTGACAGTCCATTAGTTATAGGTATTTCACCTGCTTACATTAGCATTCAAACACATACACTATGTACATAATAAACGCGATTCAATGTTAATTCAACCTAAGTGTAGCAGCTAAACACTGTATGCTCTGTGGAATTGGATTGAAGCTGTTTTACTTTTATATCACATAACACCCTCAAACGTTAATGCAAGCTAGGAAAGTTAGCTAGCACGTGGTTGAGCCTTCTGTAAGATAAGCATTCAATCATTGACCAATGCTAACTGGAATAGCCTACCGGTTATTTGTCTTTGTAAAGTGTCATGTAACTTTATCAAATGGTTATGTATACCGAAGTGGATGGATGTCAACATAACGTAAGTCTAGTCTTGCAAAATTGTATACAGCAGAATAGCATTGAAACACAATTTGAGCTTCCCACACTAAGTATGACATATGAGGAAAATGGGCTAAAAATTAAAAAGAAAATCCACAAAAGGGTCCAAATACAATCTACCTAAATGGCATCAATGAGACAAATACATAAGGGTGGTGACATTTAAAGATCTTGACTGGATGATGTAGCTTGGACCAGAGCAGATGTCGCCACTCACCCGGTGCTGTTTGTGTAATAAATTCAAGGTGAAAATCCTGGGTTTTACAGAGCGATTAAACTCTCTCAGACAGAGAGAGAGGGGGGAGTGCTGCAACTTGGAGAGGGATAAGGGGAGGGAGAGGGGGTGACTGCCCACCGGGAAAGGGGATGGGGGAGAGAAAGAAGGACGGGCAAACTGAAGAGGGGTGGAAAAAAAAAGACAAAGTTGAGAAAAAGGAGCAGAGGACGAGGAGCAAAGGATAGAGAAAATTACACTTCTAATGACAGGAAAAGACGTGAGATTGGAGTCAAACAGATGCACAGATTTCTGTTGTAAAGAGGACAATGAGTTAAAGACACAGCACAGGGTGTTTTAAGGCAAGTCTGTGCAGCAGACTGGAATTAGAATAGGCCCCGAGGGCAACAGGGTGGTGGGTTAAGACATGTCTGGAATGTGTGTTGAGTTTTATGTGTGTGCGCGTTTGTTTTAAGGCATTGTTTTGACACCATGTGAGCGTCATTTTGCAGTTATTCAGTAATCAATGAATAAAATAGGATACGTACAAGAGAGCTGCTCTTTGACTTTACTTTAATTGTGAGATTGTTTTAAGTAGTTTGAAGGTGTCTGTAAATGAACATTCAAAAAGTGGTCAAACCTGTCAGTCGAGTCAGCTCTGACGCCTTTTATTCTTTTAGAAGTGTATTGTGAAATAGTGTAATCATATTTTTTTTTATAGTCAGTTTTATAAAGGATGAGTTATGTGATCATTATTTTCATGGATTACAAATCCCAGGAAAAGACCAAACTAACAATGAATTGATCCTCCACACAATGACTGAATAGCACATTTTTCTGAGCCCCAGACCTCCATTGTTCAACAAAAACAATTCAAATCACATTTATGAGTCACATTGTAGCTCTGGATGACAGGTTACTTTCTCACAATGAATGTGGGATTGAATACATTTTTTTTGTGTGTGTCATTCTTATCATTTATTGGTTTTTTTACAATAAAGTCTTGACAATAAAAAGGAAACATCCCAATCTATACAATAATCCTCAAAACGGAGTAGAGGCCTACATTCAAGACTTACTGTACTTATATAAACAAGTGGGCTAGTATTATCAATTTTGGTTTAAGTAAGTTTGTTTTGATGATTTTAAGTTTTGAAGGTTATGAGATCAAAATAAAATATTAAAAACAAGGAACTTTCTCTAATAATATATTATGTAATTATATAAAGAAAAGAAAATACACATGTAGACGTACTAAGTGCTCCCTGAAGGACTAGTTTTCTTTATGAGTTAATACTTATGATGTGACTGAGAATATCTGTATAAAAGTTTGTCTTGATTTAACTCATGTCCATATCAAGTGTTTCACATGTTAAGAAAACATGTACATATAACAATAGTTACAACTTGAAAGATAGAACTTTAGATAATAACAACCAATAGGTTTTATCAAAACACAGCTTATGAGAAGGTAATGTGGAGATCATTCTAAAGAAAATAACCTGTTTGTTGGATGCATCTAGGACTTGTACTGATGTATTTGATGTATTTGTCTGTGTTTTATTAAGTATATGTGACTCTCCCTGCAACCTATGGGTATAAATAAAGTAACCTGAAGCTGAAGCTGGTAAACACTATAAATTATTAACATTTTAAAATTGTATTAAGATATTATAATGCTCTTGAAGCCTGCAATTAAACTCTCATTCGAGTGAGTTCATAAATTATGCAGAAATTATTTTAATCATCTTTCTAAACTCTCATTATTCAGTTTGGTCTCAGGTTTTCATAGTGAATTTAATGAGCTTTAATATATATTTATTCAAGTTTTAATATGACAATAACATAGACTTTAAGGCTTCTAATTAAAACTGTAAAACAGTCAACTGAATTATGTGGGTGCTTATTTTTGTCTCCAATTGTGGATTGACTTTAAAAAAAAAAAGAGCATGTAGTGTTTCAACAGAGACTTACCATCAGCCTTGTTAATCAAGTGAGATCTATTAGAAACAACAGGATCATTCTGACCTTGTTAGGAGGTTGTTAGCCCTGAATAGTTTAGCTACATTAGAAGAACGGGACAGGGAAGATTTTCAGGTTGTCAGAATCAGGCGAAGCAGGCAATAGAGGAGAGGCTGTGAATGTCTTGGCCTTGAGAAGCTGCACTATGCAAGCTCAAAGAGAGACACGTCTGAAGTGAGCAGAGTAAAAAAATCACCTTGTTCTTCTTGCTGAAAGGCCAGAGCTTGGCACGCACTTTGGGTGGGTTTAGACTTGAGTCAGAGGTCGCTGGTTTGATACCTTGGCTGTAGTCTTCAAACTCCACATCTCCAGGTCGCTCAAAACCAGACTTGTGCTGCTCTATAAACAGAAGCGAGTCCTGCAGGGGGACGAACAGATAAAGAGATTAAGTGTTTAATCAGTGGATATGATTTCAGAGTTAACCAAGGTTTTTGTTTGTGTTATATCACTGAGCAAGATATGTTATAGAATAAACTTAAATGTTAAATATCTATAAGCTATACCAACACCAGACACTTTTTAAAACCAAGTTTGGCTGGTAACTTTTTAAAATCAGAGAGAAAAACAACAAAACACAGAACATACATCATACATAGACATGTTCAGAGTCTAATATGTACCTGTTTCTCATTTATTTTTACACCTGCTGCAGAGATTCCTTCTAAACACTTGGAAATGATGGGCTGCACTTTCTTCTCTATCTCTGAAAACTGGCAGTAACCCTCTGCCAGCTTCCGAATCCTCCGCTCGTCCATGTCCTGCATCATCTGTTCCACACACACAAATACAACTGCTTCTTTCAGTCAATGTTATTATACACGTTGTCTGTGTATGAATTCTGTACATTACAGTAGATGCCTATACAAACATTGGGGTCTACCTTTTGACAGACAGCACAAGGGTGTGTCATTTATTTCATTTATTTGCCGTATGAGCGCTGCACGATTTAGAATGTGTGTACTGTATGAATGTGTTTGTTTTTTTCTCACATTGAAGATCTGTGGTATCTCTGTGTAGTAGAAGAAGTTTTGTTCCTTGTTGTATTTCTGGAGCTGAGCAGCGTAGTCGTTCCTGCACTCCTCCGCTGTGTGTGTGCGGGAGTGGGCATGCTGCTTGGCCTTCAGAGCGAAAGATAGGTGGAAGGACAGAGGAGAAAGGGAGGGGAGGATGAAAGGATGCAGGAAGAGGGAGAAATGAAGAGATGCAAAACAAAATGCAAAGTGGGATTATGGGGAGGCCGTGGGATGGTCAGAGAGGGAGTCACGCATAGGTGAAATTGCCCATTGAGGTAAACAGACAAAGACAGTTTTTACTGAAAACATCTTAAAACCTGAGGCTAAAAAAAATCAGTGCCAATCTCTTTGTCTGTGTGTGTGTACCTTCTCAACATCCAGTTTGGTGGCATTGAGGTCGCTCTCTGTTTTCTCTGCTTGTTGTGTGGCTTTGTCGGCCTCGGCCCACTCCTTTGCAAAGCGCTTCTTAGTCTGCATACACAATCAAATATACATGAATAATGCAAAGAGCTTTAGTTAGTATTAAAAATGCAAAAGTCCTCAATAACCAAGGTATCTAAACTTTTCTTTATCATTTTTTATCTATCAATACCTGTTCCTAAACAATTATTGCACTACATTAACCCTCACTCCTACTGGTGTGGATTGAGTTTTTAGATTTGTGTGAGATATACCGTATATACACAGTCACAATAGAGATACTTAAAATGAACTAAATCCACCAAATACTGTAATTTAAGTCAAAATTAACAAGAATTACAAACAGCAGATTATTGTGTCTTGGTTTCAAGAAAGGCTCTGCAGTTTTGTTTAATTGAATTTGGCCTGCCAACCCCAGAAAAATGAAATTTAATGTGGTTGGTGCAGTGGAATTGTCAAGTAATCAGAAATACCAAATACCAGTTAATTAATGTATTAGACCTTTGATATAGAATGTATCTGTCATAGTTAATGACGTCATTAGTATTTAAAATACATTTTGAATTATTTAGTATTTAATGTATGAAGTCTGGATTGATTGCAGTGACAGAGGAAGTTTTCAGATATGAGTCTACTCACTGTAAAAGTACTCTTTAAGGAGGAAAAGTCAGAAACTGTGCTCAGAGTATTAAGAAACTACTTGATGTAAAACATGAACCTCTGTAAAATCTACACCATTGCATAATATGATATTAGATCGTTATCAATAATACATTAATGAAAACAAAGGCTTTTGGTCACTGGACCGTAAGCTCTTTCACATTAGACTCCTTAGAATTTTTATTATACAATGGGGAAAAAAACTGAACCATTTAGTGGCAAAGTGTGCCTCAAGGATTAATGCCTTATAAAACTGGAGAAAAAAAACCCTGGATGTAAACAGTGTCACCTAGATGTGTTCAGCTAGATGTACCTGTTTTAATCTTTCTATGTCCCACAATAGGCTGCCTGTGTGGTTTCAGGAACAATATTACAGTGGTAATGTACATTCAGTGTTTCCCACACACATTTTAACTGGGCCACCTATTCAGGTAACACAATGGTCGGTAAATCTGGCAACACATTTTAGATCTGCAATCATTTAATACGTGCTCACTCTCAGCTTGCTCCATTTATTCACAAAATATTCTTTGTGGCCGCAAACCCACCACGATTGTCCAGTGAAAAATGAAGAAGCACTAGAACAAGTTTTAAGAACCAGCCTGTAAAATCAAGCAATACAGCACCAACGTTGCAGAAGGAACATTGCATTATTTATTGGCTATGTACATATATTTTTTTTATATTGCTTTATTCAGGTTGTTCCCACTAATAGCACATTTTTTAATTTAGCTTTTTTCATGTTGTCATTTGGTCTCCCTCATCATGTCGTCTTGTACTGTGGATTGTTTGAGTAAAAAGAGGCAAACTCACTCACTGTAAAGCATATCTACCTACGGGTACAAAGAAAGTAACATGCTACCTCACGTCACCTTTTACCCGCGAAAGTAGGAAAAGATACAGTTTTAAAAGTTTTTGAACATTTATGTTCTCCTTCAATTTTCTTGAAATCCAGACACTGAGGCATATTAAATTATACATATGAGTAAATTATAAATATATTTCTGAGATAGAGAGTGTTTAAATCTTACACTTCTCAAAACTTCTTAGACTACTCAAACTTATTTTCAAGTCGTGTAAAAATAGGCAGTATATAAACAAGAATACACACAATTCAATATATAGGAAGAATAAAGTTACCTCAAATAAATGGATGATGAATACATATTAGCTTAATTAGCTGGTTTCGACCTCAACTAAACAAGCTAAAAAAGGGTCTAAACTATGTCCCAAAATAATCTGCTTGCTGAGATAACACAAAGTAAAAATCAACAAAAACAAAAGACTCACACTTTCTAGTTGTTTAAAGCTGATCTCTAGATTCTGCTGGGCTTTCTTGGCATCAGACAGGTGCTGAGGAAAGAAGAGGTAAAAGATGATGACAGAGCAGGGCAGGCTGCAGCCTTTTATAATAATAATACATTTTATTTATAACACACTCTACATTTGAAGCAAAGTGCAGCAATTTGGAATTAAAGCATTAAAATAAAAACTATTCACTCTGCAGAGAGGGTGATTGGCTGCAATCTACCATCTCTCCACGACCTGTACACTCTCAGCACCCTGAGGCATGCAGGTAAGATTGTGGCCGACCCCTTTCACCTCAGACATGGATTATTTGAGACCCTCCCCTCTGGCAAGAGGCTGCGGTCCATCAGCACCAAAACCTTACGCTATAAGATCAGTTTCTTCCCCTCTGCTGCCAGCCTCATTTATAATGTCCCTGCCTTCCCCCCATCCCCCTCTTAACACAGACTCTCACCCAGCCCCGCAGTCAGAGAACATTAAAGTGATGTGAAGGCTTAATCAGATTTTATGCGTTACATTATCTCACACTAGACTTGAGCATTTTCTGTTTATACTGCACACTGTGTGGAAACTTATACTGTAAGATATGTGCACTGTAAATCATGCACATACCTGCACAACTGTAAAGCTCCTCCACTGCATGTTTTGTACATGTTGTGTTCTTTATATTCTATTATGTATTTTTTATATTGCTTTTATCTTATTCTATTTAAGTTCCCTGTCAGCCGGAGCACTGCTGTTTTATTGCGTCTTACTATCTTTGCTTTATTTCTTTGGTAATTGTTTCGCACCATAGCACCAAGTCAAACTCCTTGTATGTTTAAATGTACCTTGACAATTAAAAAAACAATCCTGACATAACTAACGATATATCACGTCAATCTGCAAAATCCCCAGTCCTTCTTTCTCCCATCCCTCCCTCGTGTGCTCTCCCTTCCTCTCTCACTGTTTTGCGTTCCTGTTTGAGATCCTGAAGGTATTTGGTGAGTTCCACACAGATGCCGGTTATCATGTTTTCAGCAATGAGCTCCCGTTGGCCGGCGTAATCACTCAGCTCATTCAGGATCTCCTGTAACGATGCATGATTGCTGAATCTGCAACACGGAGGAAAGACAGTAAAGAAAAGCATCAACAGCAGAGAAACAAGGATTAAACTTAGTGTTTGCTTAGACCTGCCCCCAAACAGAAATTTAAGGATAATGTTTATAATTTTATTTTGCCTTTCTAAACTAAAAAAATACAACAGCCCTGCGTGTTTATCTTATAGACTGTAAATACTAGTGGACAAAGCCTGAGTGATGTCATTGGTTATTGTAGGGGTCAATTACATTCACTGCGACATAACACATTTCATGTTAGTTAACTAACTAGCTAGCCTGCTAGCGAAACTATCGGCGCAGAGGGGCAGGAAACGTTGCCTTGGTAACAGCGAGATCCACTAATCAGAGAAGTCGCTGACATTATGGCTAATAATCAAATCAGCGATGGAGAAAATACATGGGATTTTTACTTCCAGAACCACACTGTTGAGCTCTGGCCTATCTCTAACTATCTGGGAACTCAAAATGTACTGCAGTATTTTAGTAAAACGTTTACTACCTTTAAAAATCTACAATGTTGGAGAGCTTTATATGCTTACAGTAGCTTATCTGCTTACAAATAAAATTGCTAGGTAAAATAAGGTAAAATAGGGGCACTGATGGCCTAGAGGTTAGGTCGTGCCCCATGGATGGAGGCTCTAATCCGCCAAGCAGACAGCCCAGGTTCAAATCCGCCCTCCCTTCCCACATGTCAATCCCCACTATCTCTACTAGTTTCCTTCTCTATCTACTGTCCAATCTTATTACAGCCAAATAAGGTCAAATAAGTGTAGTGAAGGAAACTGGACATGATTTAATTCTCTTACTTGCAGTCTTGTTCGTCTTTGCTCCCTCGTTTAGCGTACTTCTTTGAAAGACTTCTGTAAGACAGAAAACAACAAAGCAGATACAAACACATGAATGCACAAACACGGACACAATCCAAAATCATGTGAATATAACCCGACATTTAGAAACAGGCTCATTAACCTGAGGCACACCTGAGTTGCTTGGCATAACTTTGTTCAATCTCTGTCCGTTCCTTCACAAACTTTATGTATCGCTCCACCAGGTCGAGACCTGACTGCGTGTGCTTGTCAATGTGGTCATACTGGTCCTAAAAGAGAAGACAGAACACACGTTTTAATATTTCACATGTATCGGCACACAACCACCTCAAGCATTTGTTTAAAAAAAAAAAAACACCATCAACATACACTTACAAAGTGCAGTCTTAATGATTTTGTGCAAGTTTATTTGTAACTTTTTTGGGGGGCTTTATTGCCTTTATGGGATAGGAGAGCTGAAGAGAGAAATGAAATGCTGGGAGGAAAGAGTGGGGGATGACATGCAGCAAAGGACAGAGGTCGAATTCAAACCCACAGTTACTGCTGTGAAGACCATAGCCTCCGTACATTGGGGGGCACAGCATAACTACTAGGCTATCTGACACACCTTGTTCATATTTATATTGTTTGGCATGGTCCTCTGGTGCTCTATGACATAAAATAAAGAGTGCGTTTACAAGGACTTGAGTATCAATTTCAACTGAGTGTTAAATTAAAGATGAAGTTAGATCAGAGTCAGTGCTATGCACAAAGAAAATGTATTGTGTTTTATAATGTGAGATTGACCTTGAACCTACACACAACAGAGACAACCAAGTACTCATAGGTCCAACAAAATGAATTGCTTCATCTGTTGACAAGTGAAAGCAAAAGCAGTTCAAGTAACATCGAAAGAAGAGAAGAAGAAGTGAATCTGTCTGCAGTACAGCCTGATGGAGTATCACTAAGGAAGTGTCTGCTGATCCAAGTGGATCGAAGACTCCAAAGTACAGCTCAAATGCTTTGTTTTTTCATTTAACTATTTCATTATAATCTTTATCACACATTATATCATCGATCCTTTATTATATGATATTTCCTTTATGATATTATCATCAGTGTTGTCTTCTGCTCCTATAATAAATGTGTGCAGTCATATAGAGTATGATGATTATTATCTTTATTTATAGTATTTGATTGATAAATTGATCATCTCTTTTCACACAAACAGACACACACACCCGATGAAACCAAACTCTCCTTTCAACATTCCTATCTTGCTATTCACATCTAGCCTTCAAAACACTCGTAAAAATACACACACACACACACACACACACACACACACTCACACAAACCGGTTGGACAGGTAACACAGTGGTTTAAATCTACATCTACAGACTTACAGTGACTTTCATTGAAATGAATGTGAGCACAAAACACAGAAGAATCAGGACACACAAAGCAACAGGGAGGTTCTGCTGTTGTGAAATACAAAAAAAAAAGACTCCACCTTTTTAGTGGTGTGTGTGTGTGTGTGTGTGTGTGTGTGTGTGTGTGTGTGTGTGTGTGTGTGTGTGTGTGTGTGTGTGTGTGTGTGTGTGTGTGTGTGTGTGTGTGTGTGTGTGTGTGTGTGTGTAAGTCATTTGGAGCTAGAGACACAGATATTTAGTCCTCAGAGGAGATGGGAAGCTAAATGGAGATCTTACAGTAACACAGATAGAAATGTCCTGGATAAAAGCTGGCCTGGGGAAAGAACCGGATACTTAAACACCAGGGGGAAAAGGAGTAAAATGGAAGTTTTAGCTGGGAACAAGCTGGAAATCAGAAGGACAAGAAACAAACAGCAGATGATGAAGAGATTAAAGAGGTTTATGGAGAGATATATTCCTGCATGTTTTTACACTGCTGCTACGCTCCATTACTCCTCCTGCATGTTTGTGGGAGCGGAGGAAACACTGATAGTGAGACGGAGAGGGTTCAGGAATGAGATAATCATTAGCTCAGTGTGAACCTCCGCCCTGTGACTGACGGTCCCAGGGGCCTCTCCAAACCCTGGAACCAGTCAGACTAGTCCCACCCCTCTCTGTGACGCAGCAGCAGCAGCAGCAGCAACAGAGCGGCAGCAACAGCAGCAAGCAGAGGTGTTTCCTGAATCCAGCTTTAGTCAGAGGTCAAATTCTAGCTCACCTCAATCATAATGAAAGCTACAAAACAGCAGGACTTGGAGGAACCAGCAGCGTGTAAATCCAACCCTTAGTTTGAGTGAAATCCTCAGTGTTGTTTACAGAATATGTTTCTGATTTACTCATGAAATTAAAAAAAAGTTTTATCTGTATATTTAGCTGATACATTTTGGTTTAACAACTTCAACTCTTTTACAACAAATGCAGCGCTAAACAGACACACTGCATCACCCGGCCTGTGTTTAACTGGAGGACTAATCTCAGAGGTGCATCATCATAAACTACGAACACATATTCACAGCAGGATTTAGGAAATTAGTCTGTTTGCTCTTCATAGCCATGCCATAAACTGCGATCAAGAACACTTACTGTAGCCTACAATAACATGCAAGTTATACCACATATTTGGTTGGTTTGAATCTGAAATCATTGGCCTATTAGTCCTTTGTTTTACAACCTAAAACTCTTTGATCTTAAAAAAGTAACGTTCAATTTCGGCTATTTGTGTTTCTTTATTTTTTTTAAGTGTCAAGCGTGACGGATAACAGATTACAAGTTACATAGCAAAATGTCGAAGATTCCTTTCTGTCTGCGTTTAAATGTGAGGATTTCCTGCCTTCCTGAGTTGTAGGAGGTAGTAAACAGGATGTCTTTTGGATTTGGACTGCTGGACGGGCAAAAAAGCTGAATCTGTTCTTACATTTTCCCCCCAACTTACATACATTTTATAGACCAAATAACTGACGGAGGAAGGCTATTCGAAATGAAACCAATAGTTACTGCTCTTTAAATGCTCACTGACACCACATGGAGACACTTTCGGTGGTGTGAGTGATGATGAGGAGGCTGTCTGACCTGATAGGAGACACTGACCAGATACAGACACAATTAAGCTTTCAGCAAAGTAGACAACTCTGCCAGACAACTCAACACTTTCTCAAGAGTGCTGTCACACAGAAAAGCTCAGGTACAAGCATGTTTGGAGGTGTAGGACACCCTTAGTCCACAGGGTAAAGATAAGGTGGCCAGAAAGGGTCATAAAGCTCTCCTCTCTGCTTGTGATTAGGTATGCAGCAGGAGTTGCGAAATCCTCCTCTGGCTGCAGCTTTTACAGACACACTCCTGCTGTTGTCTCAAGATTACTTAACCCAGGCCTGTCGTGGAAAAAACAGGAGCCCAGTGTAGCCTACATACTGTGCAGACGACAACAGCAGGCTATAGCAACACGAACAACTCTTAAGGGACGTTGGAGGTATTTCTTTGTATAATGACTTCTCTGTGTCAGCTGTCAAACTCACCCAAAGGTCTGTTCCCCAGTCCATATCCGCAAACGTTCAGCTCCTCTCTGTTGTTTTTAAGAGCAAAGAAAAAGAAAATAAACAGGTGGTGTTGAGGCGGTAAAGGTGTAAAAAAAAAAAAAAAAACTCCTCTCCAAATTCAAAATAGATTCCACAAGAAGTTTTGCGTCTCGAAAGCGGAGATGGCGAAGGAAATGTTTGGAGGAAGTCTACGCCTTCTCCTTGGCACGGAGGCGGCTGTCCTGTTTCTTCTAGCAAGGGAGAGAGAAAAAAAAAAAAACGTTCAGGCGCTTTTTCCTGAAACAAGTTTGGGTCCCAGAGAGAGAGAGAGAGAGAGAGAGAGAGAGAGAGAGAGAGAGAGAGAGAAACCTCCCAGCAGCGTCTCTGTTTGTTTTATCTTAAAGAAGCAGCTGGCGGTTATTTCCATCATAAACGCTCCTGAACCCCGGAAGTTTTAAATAAACACATATAGCCCACTGTCCGCCACTAAAGCAGGAATGGGACATGCCTACATTTAGTTAGGCCTATAGGCAACACCTGGGAGAATCCACTTCAATCGGCTAAATCATAAACTTAGGGCTATAGAGGCTAACATATTGAGCAAGTCCTGGATAAATCATCGTCCACAGACTAAACTAATTTACCAATGAACTGATTTTTATTCTCATTTAATTAATGTTGCCAACATTCACTCATGAATCCTCTGTATTGATGGTTTTAAAAAAGAGGGGGGGATAGGGATAGATAGCCTACAGTCTACAATGGAAGTGGAGAAAACTATAGGCTATTTGCCTAGGCATAAATCACCTGTTTATTGATTTTTTGTAAATCTTGGCGCGTAAAAATGCGTAAATCTGTGAATGATCAAACAGCCCCCCAAAAATAGGCTGTTAGTGCGGTGGTAGACTACTCACCTTGAATTAGTCTATAATAACTGAAATCAAATCTTTTATTCTCCTTAGAGGCTTAAAAGTGAAATAGCCTATCGTGTTTTAGGCCTAGTCTATGTCTCTTTTTGTCACATGACTGTTTAATTATTTGTTTTAATAGGCCTATTAGTCTATTAGTAGAAGGGGGAATCGGCTGCAGTATCTGGGTCGGTTTTGGTCTCCTCTTCAATTCACCCCTCCCTCCATGTTCTGACTTCTGTTTTCATGCGAGAGGTGATGTCAGCCTACCTGTTGAGACCACACCTCTCTGTCCCATGAAGGCAACACAAGGGCGACCCCGTGTGTTTGCTCAACCTGCACCCTGCCTGTTATAAGCGTGCACACCTGAGACATTCTCCTGAAACAGTCCTTTTAAAGTTTTAAAGTCTTATTTTAATTAAACATTCACATTAAAACATTTTTAAAGAGGGAGTTAGGGCCACACGGAGGCCTATACTTTTTTTAGAAGCTTTAATTATTGTGTAAAATAGCCTATGTAGGCCCAGCTGTTGGTGTCCCAGAGCTGACAAATTGTAGCAATTCAGCATTATCACACAAGAAAGAGTAATGTTGCTGAATATCGGCACTGCTGTTAGTCCATTGCAGGCCTCCAGTAGAGCCTACAGCATGTCGACCTTGAGTGTGATATAACAGTAAATAGAGGAAAACAGTGTAAACAACAGAAGATTGAAACAAACTCATGTCCAAATCTGAACTGAAACTGACCTGTTGCCAAGCAACTCAAACATTCTAAGGTACTCTTGCTAGTTGCTTCTGTGTGTCCATGGTTACTGCTGAGAAACAATTTCTTCATGTAGCCTTTCTATTTGTTTGTTTTAAATGACCATACAGCCAGAGAAATGAGAACGTGTGAGAGATGTGTGTGTGATTCAGTAGTTCCCAATGTTGTTCCTTGGAACCCCTCCTTCTTATATCTAAAAAAGACCCCTCTCCCCCAACACACACACACACAACACACACACACACACACACACACACACACACACACACACACACACACACACACACACACAAGCTTGTCATTATTTTAGCTCATATTTTCAATTCTAACTCTTGTGCTCAGAGCAGACAGAGCCTCATGCCCTTCCTGAGAAAAGGGGTGGAGGGCTGTTTTCCAGTTTGGGAATCAATGACCTAATCTAATATTTCTCAGCTGTTACACAATTGAAAACAGTGTTTATAGGTTCGGCATTTTTGTAAATATATTGTTTTGTAGGCCTGTTGTCTGATGTAGCCTATTCCTGCTCTGGCCTGAATCTGCAGGATAAAACAGCAGAGCTATAGAAATTTTGGATGGATGTGAGAGCCAAGAGATTGATCATATATACAGCGGCTTTTATAGTAATTACTTGCACTGAAAGTGAGAACCAGGACCAGGGTGTGTATTTTGTGAAAGTTCATCTTAATTTGATGCTTAAAAAGTCATCATTTTATGAATATTGGACTGTTGTGTGAGGCTAGACATTAGACATGCTGACACATAGGGCCAGATTTGCTGTCCTATCCTTTTATTTCCCTACAAGAGGAGTGGAGTCAGTCTCTGTCTGATTTTAACAGCACAGTTATTAATGGCTCTCACCGAGCACAGAGAGACAATCAAACCCCTGGCCTATTGAATGATGAACCAGGAGAGGGCCAAAGACGGTCAATCTGTCTTCCATTCTCATATATTTCCCTCCTTTTATCTTAATCTCTGTAGAGAGAGAGAATGAGTAAGAGAGAGAAACAGAATGACTGCAAGAGAAAGAGAGAGAGCGAGGTGATTTTCTGCCAGGTTTGGTTCCCGTTGACATCTAATCCATGCTAATAAATGGTTCTTGAGGTCATCCCGATGTAGCCGGAGGCAAAGTAGGAGAGATAGAGAGGCGGGCAGAAAATAGCTTTCTGTGCTTGCATACGTGTGATAGGACAGTAGATAGAGTAGGAAACAGGGGAGAGATAGAGCGGGGAAAGACACGCGGAAAGGAGCCAGACCTGAACCTGGGTTGCCCGCCGGAGGAACACAGCCTCCCACATGGGGCGCGACCTAACCGCTAGACCATCTGTGCCCCATGTGAAGATTTTTATAAATTAATTATTTGATGCTATAAAACAGTATAAAATGACATGATTTACAGCCTTGTTGATGAATGCAGCTCCTGATGCGCACTGTGCACCTGATTAGTACAGAAGAAACAATGAGAGAAATCCTATCGAACGCAAATACAAGTCACTGAACATTGAAAACTGTGACAGTACCCACCTGAGAGATCTTTGACGTTTTACTAGTAAGTTAAATGTTAGTTTTCGTTAAGGTAAGAAGCCTGATGTCAAACACGGCTCTTCCAGCCGATGCCTGCCATGCAAACTCTGGTTGCAAATTTGCAATATGTCAGCGCCCATCACAGATTTATCATGGTTTCATCCGGTTCAATGGAAGTTATCCAAGGGATGCTGTCCACTAGTATATACAGTCCATGAAACAGGAGGAAATGAGAGACAACGATTATGTTCTGTTATTTCTTTTTATCTTAAACTTGATATTGTCTCACATGTTCTTTGATATTAATGTGAAAGAAGATCTGCATGTGTGTTTTATGACATGATCAGTCAGCTTTTTAGTTAACAGTTTATTTATCAAAGCTCCTTCTACTGAAAATATATGCCTATACTAAACTACTTCACTAACGCAGTAAACAGGGGCAACAAATGTATTAAATCTAAGCTTATTCCTTATGCATACACACAGACTATAGGCTATATTAAAACACAGCCTACTCTTGTGTTTTAACTGGCAGTGATGGTAGCGGATGGATGCTGCCAAGTGGGCTGAGGTAAGAGGAAACCATGGCTCTGCTTGGATGTGGAGAATCACAGGGATATGAGAAAGTCAGGTAAGGAATTCTGTTACAATTCACCTTTGATTTATCTGAAATAAAAAACAATTCTTTCAGTATGTTTAAAATGAAATTAAGACTTACCTCAAGTATTTTTTAAATAATTTATTTTACATTTTTGCCTTTGACTGATTGTGAAAACTGAAGAGAGACAAGACAGGCAACAGAAATACATCCTCATGTTTTTTGTTAGTCTTATTATGATTAGCTCTTAGAGTTGATCTGAAGCATGACTCTTTACTATCTAGATAAAGATTATTGAGTTGGTGAAAGTTTTAAGACATGAACCAAAAGTTTCTCACAGAAGCTTTGAATAAAGGAGACTTATCAAAATGAGCTAAGCTTTACTTCAATCTGCCTTGAAGGAATATCTCCTATGTGTTGCAGGTAGGTGTTACAGAGACAGGATTCTAAAAAAAGTATCCGAACTAAAACAATGATAAAAGACATCAGGGCTTAATACTAGAATGGCCCTGTGGGCACAATTAAAAATACTCCAGGCCAGCAGATTGTATGTTCAAGGCGCTGCTGACAGCTTCACCTCTGTGAAGGGAGCACTATCAATAAACTAGTAGGCCTACAGTTACCCAACCTTTACATATAAACCTGTTGAAATGAAAGGCAAGCAGAGAGTACATAATGATAATGATTCAAAGAGTATTATGCCCTCCGACACAATGGGGTATTTTTTTTACAGTGACAACAACATTATTCTAATGATAATGAACAAAAGTAGCTACTTATGGTAGTTATACATTTGCACATTATATGGACATGGTTCTCGTTGGTTTCTGTATGCCAGCCGTGTGATTTACCTGAAAGTCTGAGGTAATTATTTTGTCAATTCAGAAGAAAAAGAGCTTTTTTCCCCTTATCTCGTGTGAATGGAATATGCTTCCGTAGAATTCTGAATGTATTATGTAAATAATTTGTTTCCCTCCCCTCAATTTTTTTGTCATTTAAATAATTAATAATAATAGGTGAACATTATTTTGAAGGACTTTGTGTCACAGGTGTCTTAATGTGTATTTTCGTTTCCTCCCAGAATTACCACAGTCAAGGTCGAGTGTGTCACAGAGAGCATATGTTCACTATTGAGCTCTGCTTCTCCTGAGCCAAAGACTGATGGACTGTCAGGACAAAATGTTGTTATTTTGACTCAAGTGAATAAATGAATGTGCTGCTATTTTCTTATTCACTTTGGCTCGACTCTCAAATAAGAATAACTTTTTTTAAAACATTAATTTCAAATTTGTGAATGATTAGTTTGTTTTCTCAACAGATTAGAATTTCTCATTCATTCAGGCAAATTGCACATGTTTTGGTACCTGAATGCAAAAGAAAAAGTACAATTTTCTACAAATGTTGCCAATAACCAACTGATGGTGATTCAGATAGTCGAAATATAATTGTATTGAACAGTAGGCAGTCAGATATTTTTATATGAGATACTTTGCAGGGTTGACTGACACGTGACAAACATCAAAAAGATGAAAAAAAGATCTAAAATGACT